TTGACTGGTCTATAGCATAACCCACCTGTATATAGATATTAGCTACTAAGCCCTACTGCCTAGGTGGTAGGCAGAGCGTGCATAGTCTCTGACTGAAAAACGCTCTCTAAAATGGAAGAATAATAATAATAATAATAATAATAATAATAATATATTACTGCCCTTACCTAACAACTCCTAATAGATGCTAATAGATCCTAAAGGATAAGTAAGAAAAGCTTAGTTAGCCACAGAGCACAAAAGTGATCTCAGATAGAGTAGATAGTTGAAATCTACAAGCATTCCACAATTTCTTCAGAATCCAGTATTAATTAAAAGAGGGCAGTTGTTTGGTCCCAAGCTCCCTTGGTCAAAATCTGGCTGTAGTAACCCATCTCGGTGTAAATATTCTTCGTCAGATAGCTGGTGGGTACTTGAGGGCCCAGGGCTATGTCCCGGCTTCTTAATTCTCTCCCACATGCTCTAATGAGCCCGTCTTAATTCTGGTATCATGTGCATGTTTTGCAGCCGCAATTTGGTCTATCAATGGCTTGTTCAGAAGAGCTTGGCGGGCTGCTTCATCTCCAGCAATCGCTTTATTGAGGCCATGACCCGATCCCAAGTGTTGATTATTCCACCCCCATCCTGTGAGATACACACCGATGAAGAATGTTTGCATACCTCCTTTCATCTGCTCTGGTGGTCGTTCGTCAACATACTTCAGCTTGACCCCTTTGCCCATAATTTTCTTTGCTAGAAGTTCCTTTGACTTTAGCGTTTGTTGTGTCTGCTTTACCTCAGAGAGCTTTGGCATCCACAATTGCACCAACCAGCTTTCGGCCGCCTGGTAACCATTTACTGGATCTGATAATATCACAGCCGCAACATAGGCCTCAAAAACGTCTGCTTTGGTTTTCATCCACCGCTTTGGTTGACTCCTATGATCCTGTGGCACGGCAACTTTCTTGTCAAAACCATACAAGTCTGCATAATGAGCGAGTGTTTCATTTTTGACCAAGTCTTCGCGGACTTGCGACATACGCCCAGAGGAAAGGCCGGGAAAACGATCCCAAATAAGCCTAGTCGCAATTGTTTCCACATAGGCATCACCGAGGATTTCCAATCTGTCATAACTGACTTCCCTCGATGGTTGTGCACTGCAATTCTTGACCACGCCTGGATGTGTAAACACTGCATGCTCAAGTGAAGTGTCATGAACTGGAGGAAGACGAGGCAAATTAGATGTTTCAGTTGTCCGCAGGGCGTCATTGCAAGTCTTGGGAGAGGTAATTGAACAATCTGAAACCTGAGCCACGGTGGCTTGACTAATCGCTTTCTGCAGCTGCCTTGCTGCCTTTATGATGTCGGAACCACCGGCCTCTCCAAGATAATCTTGAAGCGCTTGTGGATGGTTCAAGAGCTCTCCAGAAAGCTCCTCTAACTGTGCAAGAAGATCCTTAGCCTGATTTTGAGGTTCTTCACTATCGGCGCGTAAACAAGAGCTTTTTATGTTTACTGCATTGCGATCAACCTAAATCGATCAGACGGTAGTCAACATTGGGACATCAGTAGGATGTACTCACCTTGATTCTCTTTTCTTTACTAGATGAGATATCATTCGAATCGATTTGTGGATGGCTCCTCTTAGAACCCATATTCATAGAAAACTATTCAGAAGGACATATTGCGTTAACAAAGGTAATCTAATGGAGTGTGTGCTTGCCATTTGCTACTCCATAATTATATCACGTGATGGCATTATCCTCTGATTTTACGGAGCCTGCAAAGACCTTACGGAGTATAATTTGACTTGGCCAAACCCGGGGTTACGGGCTTCCACACTCTTTCCTATCATGGCGTCTAAGTCCCGAATACTGGATCTTGTGAAGGTTTGCTCAATGTTACATATTGAGAATATTTTCTCAGAAGACATTGCTAAGACAGTTCTCGCTAGGCTCAATGCCGGATTTTCTCTGCGACTTTCAATCCACAGCAGCTGCGGCTGGGGAATAAGGTTTTGCGACAACGATTGCGTGGACCAGCACTTGCTGCATGGTATCCCAGGAAAACTGTCTCATTCCGTGACCTACAAGAGACTTATCGGCCTCTGGGACTTACGATCTTTGATGAAGCGGAAGATGACCGAGAGGAAGCAATTCAAATGTATGAGAGATGGCATCTTGCCGCTTATCTATAGCATGCTAATGATTAATTATCCAGTGCGAAGTTACGAGGAAAGGGCAGGCCAAAAAAGAAGAGAACAGCTGCAGGTATTTGTTTCCCAATGCTCAGAGTTGATATGGACTTGTCATTTTAACTCTAACGCTCTTTAAGAATCGAGATCGGCAAAGAAGAAGAAGTGAAGGTCAACATTATCTTATCGATGTACAACATTTCAACTACGTGATCGGTTTCTAGCAAATGTTTCCATACACCATGGTGAGCGCTGGGGGATGGAATTGTCGACGGTCTGCCGGAGACTGGTATACAATTTTTTTTCTGCAGCTCAAATATGGCATTCAATCTCACATCTTATTCCCTTAGTCAATATACTGTATCTTACGAACGGATTCCTGTTTTGTGATAGCATCACTTAGGTTGCATAGGTAGATATTGTACTGGGTTTTCAAATGAAATCACGTGACTGCAACGGGAACTGACATGCTGATGGTACCCTCCTGAAATGAATATTTCGGTATCATCCAACCACTTATTAAGAAGGCGCTTTTTGCTCCTAGTGAAATCATTTCTTAATTACCACTTGCTTCTATCCTTCTCGACTGCAGAAACTTCCAGCAACTACTACTGTATCATTGTACCACACTATCCAGCTATCTTGGCAATATGCCGGCTGTAGCGCCAAAGCTCACTAAAAACCAGCTCAAGAGAGCAAGAAGAAAAGCCAAAAGACATGCTGTAAGCTTATACTACTTTACACTGAAAGTTATATGTGCTGACAAGGTTCACAGGCTGCAGATGAGTCGAGGAATAATCCGTCTGAAAGCGAGTCTAGCAAGACTGAAACATCGATATCCAATCCCGACACGGACGACGATCACTCAATACCTAGTCTCCCTCTAGAAACAGATGATACCTTGTGGGAAATGTACAAGGATGTTATTAGCAAATTCGAACCCGGTGCTGGGGAGACCTTGGATAAAGAACCCGAGAAGCCTCAGGTCTACTTTGACGATGACGATGAAATCCCAGATGAAGAGGAAGAGAAGGCGCCAAAGTTGTCTAAGAAAAAGCGAAAAGAAATGAATAAGATATCAGTGGCAGAACTAAAGGCCTTGGTTCGAAAGCCAGAAATAGTCGAGTGGACGGACACGTCAGCTTCAGATCCACGGCTTCTCGTCCATATCAAGGCATATAGGAACGTAGTTCCTGTCCCTGCTCACTGGTCATTGAAGCGAGAATATCTCTCCTCCAAGCGTGGTGTGGAGAAGCCGCCATTTGCTCTCCCAAAATTCATCCAAGAGACTGGCATTTCAGAAATGCGTGATGCGGCTCTGGAGAAACAAGAACAGGCGACTTTAAAACAGAAGCAAAGAGAGAGGGTTCAGCCTAAGATGGGTAGACTAGACATTGACTATCAAAAACTATATGAGGCTTTTTTCCGATTCCAGACCAAGCCGGAACTGACCCGCTATGGAGAGGTCTATTACGAAGGCAAGGAATATGAAACCAACCTTCGGCACCTGCGACCTGGCGAACTCAGCGATGAGTTGAAGGAGGCGCTTAATATGCCACCAGGGGCACCACCACCTTGGCTGATCAATCAGCAAAGGTTCGGCCCTCCACCTTCCTATCCTGCACTTAAAATCCCAGGACTCAATGCACCTCCACCCCCTGGTGCGAGTTGGGGGTATCACCCAGGTGGATATGGAAAGCCCCCAGTTGATGAACACAACAGACCTCTATATGGTGGTGACATTTTTGGTGTCCTCCAGACTCAGCAAAATGTGCAACAAGGAGAGCCTGTTGAGAAGGATCTCTGGGGTGAGTTGCAGCCACCTGAGGAAGAGTCAGAAGAAGAAAGTGAAGAGGAAGAAGAAGCCGAAGAAGAGGATATTGGTGAAGGTTTGCAGACGCCTAGCGGTCTGGAGACACCGAGTGGTATTGTGTCCACGGTGCCTTCTGAGTTTGGAACGGCAGAGAGTGTTTCTGGGGAGTTCGATGTTCGCAAACATCATCGGGGAACGGAAACCGAAGAATCTACGCAGCCCAAGACCGCCTATCAAGTAATACCAGAACAGAAGTCTCGAGTCCAGGGATTTTTCGGCGGTGATAGAGTATATGATCTCAAGGCTGTTGAGAATAATATTCCAGTCCTTGGAGCTGATGAGGAGACCCGCAAACGGAAGAAGCCCGGCGATGTTGACGTGTCAATGGATCCCGACATGTTGCAGAGTCATGATGGAATTAGCAAGGAGAAGCTTCAGAGTTTATATGATCAAGAGAAACAGCAGGAGCATTCGAACTGGGGCTTTCAGGAAGACCTCAGCGATATGATTGCAAACGAGAGCCGCAAAAGACTGCGAAAAGAGGAAGAAAAACGCAGTAAGCGCTGATATGGCCATTGCTAGGGATCTTATGATGGGGCAGGAAGAAATAAAATAAAAAACGTTTTCTTTATTCCCATTACTGTTTTTTATTTTGATGTATTGATACACACAATCGTCTTGTATCCATAGCACATGTCCTGAGATGAAGACAGTCTGCTTCAAGGATTTAACCCTGGCACCTAAGTACTAGAATAGAAGGCTTATCTGAGGTTCCGGCTACTCTTTTAACTGGCGTTATCTTAACGTACTATTACTATTGCTGAAGCTTTAGAGGTAGATACCTTAGGTAGGTACCTGCTGTTTCTCTAGTTTCTGATACCCATAGGTAGGTAAATAGGAAGCTAAGAGTCTAGACACACTCATACTAGCATGACATTATTTACGAAAGGAGAAACCTTGATTTCTAGGAGTAGGTACTTTGAAAATATTCATGACTAGGGCTCCAAGTGAAGTGACTCAAGTGAGGGCACCAGACTGACCAGAAGGGGAAACATCCCAACAGTTCCATCAATATAATAATCCAGGGTTAGCATGCAACTCCGTACAGAGTATATTCCGTAGATACCTCCTACCTTCTTTAGTTCCATACAGTCCTAGTACCTACCTTAGTATGGAGTGAGAGGGCCCGCCACAGGGCCCGCCACAGGACCCGCTCCGGACACAGATCACCTAAGCCATAAATAGTTAAGCCTAATCTGCGGAGTTCAACGTCATGGCCATTTACTCATAGGTACTCCGTACCTAGGTACAGAGTACTTGCTGGAAATTTATTGACTGTCCGTTTGCACCTGTGATATTCCCAAACGGATCAAGAGCTGATTCACATGAGAGAATTACCGATTACCTTTACACACTCATCGGGTTTGTCCCTCGCATACTTTGCATCGTCCCGGATCCCTTTGCAATATGATAATGGATCGTGACCGCGGTAGAAGGTTCGTCTTCTGGTGTTCAAATTTTCTGAACCCATTTTCTCGATACTTTTTTTTTTTCAGAACAAACACTAATGTGAGTTTTACATGTCAGATTCGATGATCGTCGAGGTGGAGAGAGTTATCGCCCATCAGAGAGAACAGGTCGCTCACGTTCTCGCAGCCATGTTCGGCGTGCTCGGTCTCCGCCTCGCAATCGATCTCCTCGTCAAGTCGCTGATACATGGGTACCGCATAACAACCGTCATTCTAATCGAGCACGGAGTCGGTCACCTGTGTCTTCGCGTCGCGCTTCTCGCAGCCCTCCGTATCGCCCGTATCGAAGAACACGTTCACCTTTGAGACAGGATCTACCACGACGAGAACGGCCAAGATCTCCTCCCGGGTCCTCTTGGCGCTCTAAATCGCCGTATAGACAGCGATCCCCACGGGAGTCTCCGTCCAGGTCCTCTTCAAGACTTTTCCGTGATCCGTCTCGAACCGGATATGTATCTAGGTCTCCTAGGAGAGATCAATCCCCACCTCCACCGCATAAGTACCAGAGGGCTTCGCCGCCTCGAAGACAAAGCACTCTTCACGAAAGTGAATCCAATAGCACACTTCTGCGTCGTTCACGGAGCCCAATCCGCCGTGAAGTATATCCTAAGCACTATCCGGACAGCATCTCCAGGAGACATACACCGTCGCCTTCGCAGCCAGTTTCGTCTGCACATGCTTCTGTTCAGGGTTCTGCATCTACATCGCGACGATCTTCCCCCCCAACTCATCTCGATAGTGAATCTAGGTCTTCGGTCCCGCTTGCTTCAGTTCAAGAAAAATCTCATATTCGAGTTCCAGCTTCTCCTATGCGCGATGAGAAGAAAGTCTCCCCCTTCAGTGAAAAGGAAAATACTTCTGCGGAAAGCCAAGAGAAGAGCAGAGTTTCGGATTCTAATGCAGCGCTGCGGGCTGGATCTCCGCAATTATCCGCAGAGTCGTTTCCCTCACATGAGCAGCAGCAACCAAAAACTCAATCACCAGGTATTTCGCGCAACCATACTACGTCGCAGGACACGTCGTCGAACGGAAATGCGTTCGCATCTATACAGAGCCGTGGATCCAGTATTTCTTTACTTTCTGCTCCAACCAGGCCACGCGGAGGGCCCAGTTTTAACCATCGAGATTCTCCTTGGGCTGGAAACGTTGCGACACGTCGAGGACCCGGACCATCTGGTCATCATGGGCCTCCAATAGGGCCTCGAAATAGTTTCCTGCAGGCGCATTCTAGTCATGATCCGCACCGGCATTCTTATCGGCATAATATCAGTACGCCTGCCACAAATTCCCGCAATCAGCGAGCCGTTAATCATCTTTCCGGACTCCCCGCCATCACCGCAGGCGGTAAAATCTTGCCTTCAGTATTGGATCCTGTAACCGAGAGGCGACTTGCACAACTTGAAGCCGACAGGGAGAAGTTGCTTGAGCAAGTTATGGAGAAACAACAGCTAAAGAGGATCGGCCTGAAAGACTGGAACAGACTGGATAGAGAAAGCATGACAAATGCACTAAAGAGCGAACTCGCCGAAGGTCATCTTCAACGGATGGCTGAGGGTGAGAGTCTGGAAGGAAGCGCCGCATTCTAGGCTATATAAACTCGCTGTACTCTGCAGTCCATCTTCCTCCAGACAGACAGCTGTCATCGCCATTGAAGTCTTATTGTTATTAGTATTTATGATGTATGAGTTTTGACCAAATACAGGGTGCCATTTTTAGTGCGCAGATGTATTTCCTGAGCTACAAGCACCAAATAAATGCTCTAGAGATGCAAGCAAGCATCGAGAACTCGTATGGTCTATAGAGGGGCAAATCTTTTCAGGTTCTGCCTCGGGCTGTCAATCATGCGAGTATTATTTATACTCCGTATTACGCCAGTACAAGTTGAGCCTAGGATGCTTTTTTGCTGTGGGGCTTAGCAGCGCGCGTTCCGATGCTCCTCCCCTCGCGTCTTTGGTTCGCTTTGTTAAGGCTGCGTGTCAACAAATCTTTCCATCCCCTCCAAGAAAAAGGTAAGCTTCAAGCTTCATACTCGATAAGCAACCTTCCTGCAGCGAGTTTATGGCGATTACATCTTCTAGTGGAATTGCGGATTCGGGAACAAGCTCTCTCTACTTCTAATTAACTCGGTTTCATCGTATATTCGTGTACCAGTCTGTGACTATCACCATGAATATCTTCAGGCTTTTAGGTAGGATGTCGCCGTATAATATCAACATCTCGAGTCTGCACTTATGGAAATGGTGTGCTGATTGGCATGAATCCAGCGGATTTTTCCCACTTAACATCCATTTTTATCCTCCTTCACAAGATGAAGTCTTCTAGTGTAAGTACATTGCCCAACTCTGTTAGTGATTCTGAAATTTGTCTAATCAGACCAATAGAGCTGTTCCGGCCTCTCTTTCAAATCACAGGCTCTGTATTTGATAGTTTTTGTAACCCGATATTTAGGTCAGCCCTCAATCAACTTGTGCCTTTCTTCTGGTACTTATCTTTGCGCCATTACAGACCTCTTTTGGACGTTCACAGACTCTGCCTATAACACCATATTTAAGATCCTCTTCATAGGGTCTTCGACATATACGATTTATCTCATGCTCAATGACTATAAGCCTACTCACGACCCCAATCTTGATACCTTCAAGGTTCAATACCTTCTTGGTTTCAGCGCGCTTTTAGCAATTTTATTTCCCGAGCGATATTCTATCTCTGAAGTGAGCTGCCAATGACCTGGTATATGATATTTTGAAGGCTTGAATGACCTCTGACCTGCGACAGATTCTTTGGACATTTTCTATCTGGCTTGAGTCCGTTGCTATCCTCCCCCAACTGTTCATGTTGCAACGCACTGGCGAGGCAGATACTATCACCACACATTATCTCTTTGCACTAGGGCTTTATCGAGCGCTATACATTCCAAACTGGATCTATCGTTACTTCACCGAGAACTATTTTCATCCCATTCCAGTCATAGCGGGCATCATCCAGACCGTACTCTATTCAGACTTCTTTTATATCTACTACACAAAGTATGTGAACCCCAACTGCTTCGTTTTAAATTAAAACCTTTACTTACCATACTCCAGAGTTATGAAAGGGAAAAAATTCTCACTCCCAGTGTGAAACGACTCGGGATGTATAAAGAGATTCGCGTCCAGTTATAAAGGACGGTATTGAGAAACCTTCCCTGGACACCTACATGTTCTCGACCGAGAGTGTGTTCTCTGTGTTGCCCTTTTATAGTATGTGTATTACTATTTGTCACGACTTTTCAAGCGACCATAGAATATGCTGGGCCTTTCGGTTTCTAATATAGAAATCAGGACATGCAATTAATCCTCTTTTAATTGGCTTTGTGCATTGCGTCCCATGCGACCTGAGCTCTGGGGTCGCCTCAAATGACATATTAGCACTGCAAGCAAGCAAGCAGGCGATTGGTCCCATTGGATTGATGACTGCCAATTGCGTCCGCCACTTTATTGCTGTAACCCATTTTCGAACGGATTGGAAATAATCAACCGAGCAGCCTTGTGATGGTTCCTTTTTGCTGTCTCAAATATGTTTCACGTGTCTTTATGGTTATGTTTTTCGCTGCAGAATAAGTGTTTCTGATTGGTGAACTTTCGCGTTGCAACAATGTTTAACGGAGCTTTCTTAGAGATTTAAGATGCATGTTTCTCAGGCGGAAGAACATATGTCAATCGGGTCAATGGGGAATTGATACTCTAGATTTAGCTTCTCATAGGTATTCCACAGTTGACTAGGCTGTAACATAAGTCATAACCCACCTGTACTATATACAGTCTTTCAGGGAAAAAGCCCAAGTCATTGTTGTCATCAATTAACATGGAGGAGACAAATATAATACACTGGCCGATGAACTACTGTATTCGAATTAGGCAAACGTGGTCTTACTAATAATAAACGTATTCTTCTATAGACGAAACATTTGACACTGGTCCAGTATTGTATAACCACAGTGCTTTTTTTTTACCATATAAACCCCAAATGTGTTTAAACATCATACTCTAGTATAAGAACCACACATTCTGAATGATATCAATACTTATTGTATGTATGTACATGTGAGCATATGGATATCTCATTTTGGCCATTGAGACGGGTGTCAATCAAAGCAGTTAAAATGAAGCGATATCATTAAGGGTAATATTCTTTGTTGAATTCACCATTTTTGCATGATCTCTGAATATAAACAGGTGGTATATATTGTGCATTATTGAGGGATCACAGAGGCTACACATCGACAAGAGATATTACAGTAAGAAATACAGTATACTAGCAAGGAATATATAGCATGTAGTAAACGTATCAAACAGTACTTCCGGAAAGTCTAAAGACATTGCTGTTACTTCTACTTCAAATCATAATCTCGCGCCCCAAGCCAATGAAAGACAAATGATGCAAGTGATCTCAGGCTTTTGAGTAAAGAGCTTTTTTATAGACACTCGACTTTCTTACCACCATTCACTACGAAATGCACACACACGCAGAGAGAGAGAAAAAAAAACCAAAATTTACTCATACCAGGCCAAGATAAAGCAGAACGTGAGACATTGAAGATAGAGAGATATTATCACATGTGGACTTTGACGATATGAATCGGAGTCTCGGAATAATATCTGTTTCGAGATGGTACCCATACAGAGAAAAGAAAGGGTATCTCTGACCTCATACGAGTGTAAGACTCTTCTCATGTAAAATATCACACAGGCATCCAAATGCATGAACGTCAATAACCATGATACCGAGTACTTCCGTGCGTGCGCATGTAACCAGAATTGTAATTGACCTGAGTCGAAGAAGTTGACGTTTCATCCACTAATGCGTTTGATGATGTCGATGACGAAAGGTCAGTGAGGAGACCAGCTGGTGGTATAGTGAAATGATTGAACGGCCTGGAACTTAGATGCAGTTGGCTATGAAGGTGGGCAGGACTGTCTGTCCAGGCAACGTGACCTTGAGCGAAGCCATCCGCCTGTGACCTCTCTGAAGAACCCGGAAGACTGTATGTAGATTTCCGTCTATACGTAGGATCAGGAAGTGGAGGAGGTGGTGACAAAAGCTTTGGCGAAGGCAAGGTTGCCTCAAGGCGAGGCGAGCCTCTTCGCGAATTAGGAGGTGTTAAATGCAACCCCCCACGGCGAACCTGACATGTTGGACATATCTTAACGAAGCGGGAAATGAGCTCTTTAGGTACCCTGGTATTTTTTTTTGCTGTCAGTGACGTCGAACAAATAGAGTAGACATGGGATGAGACAAAGTTGATAAAACGGCAGTAACGTGACAGAGTGCCAGATCGCGAATGGATCAGTAGCTCTATGCTATCACGACAATAACATGATCCCTTACCATGAGTATATCTGACGGACTTGGGCTGAGGTTTTGTCTCTTCCGCCGTGCTGGCATTGTTGATGCGCTTTGGTTAGGATCTTGAAAAGTTTTTCTCGAATTGCAACTGGTTTTCCTTCATGACAGATCAATTTTTCGGACTAGGACCAGGTCAGATAGTGCAAAATTTCTGACGTATGTTTTGATACATACATCTGGTGTTCGACCATCATCTGGTTGAAGTTTGAACATCTTTTTGACCCAAAACCTAAATACTGAACTCAGCGCCATCCATTGACTCAGAAAACCGGTTACAGAGGTTAATGCACTCGATAAACGAATGCACAAGAATGACACCGCACCTGAATTGAGCTGATTCAACAGCGGTATCTTTTGGGTCAACCAGCACCGTCTTGATGTTGCGTGCTCTTTTGGCATGGATCAATGCCTTATCCTGTTTCTTGATGGATAAATCATTGACATAGCTAGATGGTTATCTTGTAAGCCAGTGAGTAGCTATGAGGGAAGCAGGAATTCCAAGACACGACAAACAAAAAAGAGAAAGAAAGAGAATCAATCAGATAGTCACCTTTGCATAAGTTGATCAAATTCTCGAACATCTGGAAACCCTTCCAATGGAGGTATAACTGGCTCTGACAGCATGGTATCTTCATTTGGAGACTCTTGACTTTCAACCTCGGTCTCAGGGAACATGTCACATATTGAAATCAACCGTGTCGCATCCGGATATCTCGAAGGACTCACACAACGCTGTTGTCGATAAGATGAGTCCTGAACAAGAGTCTGATGATGTGCTGATATTTGACCGAGAGGCGAACGCATTTCGGAGTTTTGCCCGCCAACTGAAGTTGACTGAGCATAACATGAAGCAAACTGGGGTGCATAAGAACCAAAAGGATGGTGGGGGATGCCGTATGGATTTGGGGCATGATAGCCAAAGTCATTTGCAGAACCTTCATAACATTCCGCCATTGGGATCTGATGATCGGTAGCGTAACCGTTATGCTCGTGGGGGCTGCGTCTCCTATAACCATTCATAATGACAAAGATAGATTGTTTTCACCAGACAAACCGGATGCAAACCACTCATTGAAGGAAATGACCGTTGGCTATAAAAATGACAAGAAAAGGGGAAGTGTCGACAACTTTCTCTGGCAAAGAGGTAAGGCCTTTTCTCTGCTAAGATCGCTGCTTTTGTAATTGTTGAAGAATTGCAGCTGAAGTAAAGGGCAATTAATGAATGACAGAAGTGACGCGGAGAGGGCAAAACATAAAAAGAACTCTCTTTCTCTTTCGTAGTTCGAAAACAAATACAATAATGCACACCAATCTTTCCCTGAAATCCTCTCTCTTTTTTTTTCCCTAATGCCCGGTTAGAATACCAAGGCAATGGAACTGTTTTTTCTTCCCGTCAGGGCGAGGCCAAGTTGAAAGCACGGAGTATGGCGGTCAGCTCAGAAAAGGGACACAGGACTATGTTAAATAGAATGGCTTTAAATAGGACTGAGGAAGAAAAATAAGGCAGGAGGTATGTATGTATGATGCGTTGTAGATTCATAGATGACTGGCATGATGAGAGAAGAACAACACGGAACGATTGAACCCTGACGTGCAGGCAACCAGGGGATTTGGCAAACAAAGAAGCATAGAGAAGGGACCCTTGTTAAAGAAGGCGAAGACATGTAACGGCAGTAGGCTCCTGTAAGGTACGCAGGCTGCTTCTCCAGTCCATTTGTGAGAAGCAGCTATGGCTGTGGGAGCCACATGGGTTTGAATAGTTTCAGGAGCTGGCCTGATCGATTCACCCGGGCCATGGCTGGCTCCATTGGAATATCTCGATTTCCAAGGCGTTAGTAATGAGAGGCGCGAATTCGGCCTGAAGATGGACAAGCCTGCCTGGCATGGGCCTCGTCTTCGTCTTATCTGTGTATTGCAGCAAACAGCTCGAGAGATCGAGGGCCAGCGCCCGTGCCGGGCAGTGCAAGCCCAATGAGAGCAAGCGCTTCCAGAGCTTTCGTCATGTCCGGGTCTCACCACGGTGGCCTTTGAAGTGGAAGACACTTAAGATGGTCTTCACGGAGCCACGTTGATGTCCTCTAATGCCTGTCTTCATTACCGCCGAAGTTGAGATGGACCAATAACGGAAGAGTGTTGACGCCGGTGCATATGGAACATCAACGCTGTCAACTAGGGTCATGATGCATGCCCAGTAACTTAACGCCCGATGTTTTCATCGTCCCTCGAATCATAATGTTTGTGTTGTACTGTGCTGTACTGAGTACCTGTTCCTCATAGTCCACTGGCAGATGATTGGATGTCTGCATTGACTTGACACCAGCTTCCTGCGCTGGCCGAAAGCCTTGGTCGGAGCCCGACAGGCTACAGCTTTCCACTGCGTCACTTCCCTTGGCGTCCGGGTCAAGTATCTGCGCGTGTGAGCCGCTGGAGATCTCCAAACCCCTGCCACGCCAAAAGAATCATCCAAGTGTCACGCTCCAACACATCCAGGGCCTGTCTCGTGTGACGTATGTAGAGTAGATGCGCTAGATATGGGGTCTGCCAGTGTTGGATTCGAGAACAATAGTCGGCTAGGCTGCCTTGGCCCCGAGGAAGCGACCTCTTATCCCTCACGAAGATCGAATATGCGGGTTGCGATCATTCTTGGCCTGGGTGGAGTCTCTTGCGTTTTGACCACGTTTGGCTATGATCATCCCGCTTTCGGAAGGCTAAAGAGCTTGCTTGCTCTTACACGTCTGATTCTACAGTCTTGCAATTAGCCTGTGTACACCGTCTTATCTGCGACTGTACTCGAGATCCCTTTACCTTGACCCTTTCCCCCCACCCTCCCCCCCGAAGATGTGGGTTGCTACCCAACTGTAGTAGATCTGTCGCCGAAGTTGGATAGGTTGAGGTACTGCAGACTATTTTGACAAATAGAGTGCTACCACGCTAGGGCATTGGCATGGTCGGGTCTGTTCAGTATTGTAGGAAGTCTCTTCCAATTATGTCCTGTCCAGGTCCGAAACTCTTTGAAATGGGTTAGATCGGTTCCGTGCGTTGCGCTCTTTACATGGATTGTGTTGAAATGCATGGCGTTCTATTAATTTCAGTGCCCTGACAGTGGCTATGCATATGAACGCCGGAGTGCAATTAAGATCTGGTCCGACACCCATAGCTAGAACTGGTGTAGAACAGTAAACATCGCATTCCCAAGCATAACGATATTTGGGGACCAATCTGCTGAGATGTTGCCTAGGCTGTCCAGGATCTTGATAGAATAAGTCAGTAGCTACAACGATCCGTTTCTCGGTCACATTGTGGATACATGTAGCCACCGACAGTTCCTAGTGCTCCGAGTGGGATAATGGATGCAATACTGTGTATACAGCAGCAATGATCGCAGCTCGGTTTGAATCTTTTGTCTTCCCTTTCTGCTACCCTACTTCGTTCTTTGTTCAAGTGGGAGTCGGAAGTTTAACGGGGCCAAAAACAAAAAAAAAGGGCGATCTCCTGGATCTAGGATTCAGATTGGCTGATGAGGCTTGGACTTGGAGATAAGACTTTCGTGGACCCTTTACACTGTCCATCCTTGATGATTCGTAAGTTCATCGTCAGCGATGTATGTTTCCGAACGATCATTGACTTCCCTGTCATTGCCAAGGGTGTTAGTGGACCCACAGTACTTTAGAAGACATTACAATACCTACAGACTATGTGTTGTAAGTGTCTTAATGTGTTTGGCTGAGTTCAAGGGGCAAGGTTGCTCTGAAAAGAGCGCCTCTTGTGTTGTGTAATCTGTACTATTTTGTCATGTGCAGGTCCGGGACGTTTGACGATATTCGATGATTAGATATAACTTAGTAGCTAATCAATGAATTAGACCCATTGTGGACATAGCTTTGACACAAGACCGGTACCATTGTTTGCAAAATTCTGCAGAACCGGCTAGTCTTGAACCGTCCCTTTTGTTGAGTTTTGTTAAATTGCAAATCCAGTTTACATCATTGGTGATGTCCCTGCCAAGTGCTGGCTTGGAGGAGTTACTCCTGTGAATCCGGGCAGGGCCGTGACTTGCTATAACTGGGGGGCACGGTAGGTAGTCACTATCATTTCCATATCGGGAAAAATTGTAAAAGCTGTTTGTGATGGCCCAGTATGGATAGGGTTGATATACTAATGTAATCAACAATAACATGAATCATCCCTAGTTTGTAAATTCGGCATTACTCTCTCTTTTTTTTTAGATACATGGTTCTTCCAGCGCAGCTGTCATTAGCTGTATACCTAAACATGTCCACTAATCCCTCTAGTCCGCAATCGGCCCAGAAATTATCCAGATCATGTAGGTGCAGTATAGTTTTGATGTACGGTGTGCATACATGTCTCAACATACCCCCAAGTTCATGATTCCGGTAAGAAAGTTGCATGCCCAATGCACCTGCTTGTTCATTAGCATAACTGCAATCATGGATACTATCCTAGGGACGCTTTGCATATGGATCGAAGAGCCTGCGCAGGGAGCATGGATAGTCCACACATCGATACTCCGAAGTCGATCAAGTTCAAGCATGGCCTCCTGGGCCGCAACTTGCCAGGGCAGACAAGCTTGCTTGATGCAGTATCCCAGTCATACCAATGGGAGCTTCGGGTCTTTTTTACCGGTAGGGCCCAGAATTTTCTTTGCCGAACTGAAACCCGCATAGACCTGTGCCTGGCCCGGAGAGCGGCGCTCTGGAACTTCTGATGGGGCTGTCGGATCTATAGGAAGTATCATGTCTCGCTGCCGGGATCTCACCGGTGAAACGGACTGTCCGGATTACTATCTAATTGGATCATGCGGCAGGAATTCATCGATTCGCATCGGACCAACCGCTGCACTCCTGCCTTATGGAATGATATCCACTAATCGGTCCTTAGGCACGTCGAGCAACAGATCTCCAGACTGTCAAGTTGCGTCTCTCTCTTTGTTTTGTTTACGGCAGAGCAAGCTCGCTCTTTCTGGCGTTCCATTTAGTAACATAACTTCCCCCTTCTCGGTCGCTTTCTTCTGTAAACCATGCTTGATATTTCCTCGAAAGCCAAGAAATGACAGTCCCTGGTGACCTGACCAAAATATCTCCATGAGAACGAGAGTAACCCCAAGGCCCTCGTCCTGAGACCTTGTCTCTAAACTCCTCTCCTCATTTGCTACCTTTCGCCAAAGTCCAGCAGCTTACAAGAGCGAGAGATCGAAAAAAGAACCAAACATAGACCTAAATTACAAAGGTGTACAAAAAGCAAGATATTATTACATGATACAGTTGCAACTTAAACATCACACACAGATGATCCAGGAAACCCGGCATCTGCACACAGCAGGAACCTCGAGAAAAGAAGTTGGTATACGACAGGCAAGAAGCAAAGCCGAAGCAAGACTGCCAACGCCGCCCAATGGAGATAAGACAATAAGGAAAACTCATCTTTTTGTCATCACTCATCAGAGAATCCTTGACGATTCAGGCGGAAAAGTCGTCATCCGCTTTTGTCAACGGGTATTCTCTTTCGTCGTCAATATTGTAAAAAAAAGGGACATAAAGGAGCAGAAGATTAGCCACTCTCCCGTCAAGGGTCTTGTATAATGGCGGCCATATTTCTTTTCCTTTTTTGTCCCTTCTTCTCGAACAAGTCATCAATGTAAAGGTGTCGTAACAGTCATTATAAAAAAAAAAGCCATCGTGCCTCTTCGTTCAGCGTCTTTTGCTCATCTGCTCAGGGTCGAACTGAGAGATGAGAATGATGGCAATGCGGTGACCGAATTCATCCTCGTCCTCATGAGCAACCATGTCCTTGAGCACCAAAGACACCGCCAGATGCCACCAGATCCCGGATAGCCCATCGCCAACTATCCCCAAGTCTTCCGCGATCAGGGGCGACCCATTTATCGACTTTGCGTCTCCACTTTTCTTCCTCAGCTCTCTGTCGCTTGACAAATTCTGGCCCAACATCAAATTCTTCTGTGATGGGCCACTCCTCTGAGGAATCTCCACCACTTTGGTCATCCCAACCCGCAGACCCATCGAATTCGTTCGAACCGCCGGATATGGTTCGTCCATGTCTAGCGGCTGGCTTCTCTTGAAGGTCATCTAGACCGGCAAAAACATCATCACAGTCGTCATGCACTACTGCAACCGTATTGTTCCCTGGCTGGATAGGAGCAAGCTTGAGCCAGCACATCCGTTGCGGATCAAACACCATATCACCCACAATTTGGACGCCCTGTACTGCACCCACACTAGTAATGAGAGCAGGAGCAGCTTTGGGAGACTTCGGAGAGCATACAGCGTCAAATTCGGCAATTGCATTTTCGTTGCCCTCCCAGCGTTGTTTGGCCGGGTTGTATCGCATCCCTTTGACAGCTAGAGAAAATAATGAGATTAACGCCCAACCCTTTCATGGAGGTCAAATAAAACTCACATTTAGCTTCATTGACGCCTGATCCCATTGGCTTGATCAGATGCGGCCTGGATCCCGACGTCTGTGCTGTCTTTCCCCGCTTACTCCTCAAGCTCAATGTAGTATCCGATTTTCGGGAGCTGGCCTGCGCTTTCCAATTCGTACTCAGTGGAACAAGAGGCCCACCTTCGCGATCTCTCATAGGGACAGAAAAGGAAGCAATGCGCTGTTCTCGTGCAATTCGGGAAGCATTGGTATCTCTAGCGAATCGGGGGGTGAAATCATGCGATCTGGAGGAATTAGGCAGGTTGGAAGGGACCGGGGTCCCTGTCCGTGATGGTGATACGCCTGTGCTCTGGCCCAGACGACTCCGTAAGGATCTTGGAGCACCGTGTCCGACCGGGTTTTTCACAAATCGACTCTCCACGGATGCAGAGGTGGGCAGATCGTCAAACGACTCTAGTTCGGATCCATCTCCAAAGTTCCGCCGACGGGTGGGCCGAGTAACAGTACGTTTGGCAGCAGCGGCCAAGGCTTCGCTACCGATTTCATGAAGGCTGCGACCAGGAGTGTCCGGACGTGGAAGGCCCGAAAGATGGGACATGGATCGTTGCCAAGTCGTATCACCCGAACTGTCGGAGTTGGGACGGCGAAGGTGCCTGGGGTACTTGACACTGACATGGTGGGACTGGCTCTGTGACGAACCTGCTGGAAGAAACGGTACCTGAGGTCTACGGTTCAGACTTAACCTGGAGTCGGTCGTTGTCCGATCCACCGGTGTCTTTGGCCGAATACTAGAGGGCGGACGACTGCTGCCATCTTGACGAGAGGGCGGGCGCTGGAAAGGTGGTGCCAGCGTAGACGTCTGGGAAGCACGCATGGCCGGCATGGAGCGTTTCGCCTTCAAAAGCTGAGCACTCGTCGTGGTCGGGTCACTTTTTAAGCCCTCTCTCGAGATTCCCGACCCCAGAGACCTTCGGCCTACAGCTGGAGGTGTCGATGGAGGAGATGGGACGCCTGCACTAGAGACAGATGGATGAGTTGAATGTCCTGCAAGTCGTGAATGCGGTCTCCGAAACTTGGAGATGGGCGCACCGCTTTCCGAGACGGGCTCAAGATTGGAATGAGATCGGTCGTGACCAGATAGCCGTGGGATCCGAGTTCCGCCAGGAACAGGCTTGTTCGTGAATGTGATAGTTTTCGCGGAACGACTGGGACTGGGAGGACGGGCTATTTTACGTTTGATGTTCGGGTTTAAGGTTGGCTTTGAGGACGTAAATACATTACCGTCTCCAATTTCGAGGTCTGCAAAGAAGTCGCCGTTGTCGTCCGCCGCTTTTGATAATTTGGCTTCTAGACCGTCTTCGGGCTGTGAAACTCGAGTCTCAAGCCGCTTCCTCAAAGCCTCTTCGAGGTTGAGGGGCCCATCAGGCAGCACCAGACCATCCAAGACATCATCTTCGCTCTCGCCCGTCAGACAGCTGGAGACACTGGGACTGAGTGCCGAGACAGACGAGCTGTGAGTTGAACGCCCATCCCTCTTGGTCCCGCCAAAGCGAACGCCGATACTGCCCTCTGCCCACTCGATATCCAAATCATCAGCATTGTGGCTAGGGGTGTTAGTATTGTCTTTGGGTGAAGAGAGCTTCAACGGTAGGTCATCTGCAGGGAGCTCGAAATCCTTCTCAAAGTCCTCCGCATCGTCATCAGCCTCCAGAGAGCCCGAGAGGCTGGCAACAGGTAGGCGGGTCTGAGACGAGCGTGATTGGGCGACCTTGATGGTGGGCACATCTTGCCCCTCGGATGTGTCATCTTCTCGATGCTTGTTCAAGGGAGAAACGACTTCGGTGGATTGCAGGAAAGCAGTGGGAGAACCTATGGGAGAACCTAAAGGAGAACCGACCGCACCAGAGGTCTGAGACTTGACCGGACTTGACAAGGACGAGCTGACCTGACGGAGAGTCTCTGGAAATGCTTGTTCATCTTGAGTTTTCAGCGCTAGCTCACCGTCGACACCCGGTAGTTCCAAGTCCTCGGACCAGTCATCGACGAAGTCTTTCTTCGCTTTCTTGCCGCCGAGTTTTTTGATCGTGCCACCGAGCAGAGCCGATCTGGGGACATTATTGGGGATGGGGATTCCCGCATTGTGTGCGGAGGCAATCGCTTCTTCGGTTGCGGTTTCATCGTTATCACGAAGCAAGACCTGCCAATCTTCGTCGCCAGCGTTAGACTCCAAATCCGAACGGGCCGACCGGCGGGACGAGATGGAGTCGCGATGACCGGAGCGTCGAACAGAACCAGTTACGGATGTCGCAGCTGATATGGTGTGGAATTGAATGTCATCTGTGCATTGTAGTTCTCCGTCGTCATCCCAGCATTCAATTGACTCTCCATCCTGTCGCAGACGAAGAGTTTCCGCCTGCATATTGGAAGGAGCGAGTCGTAGAGTGTGATCGAAGGAGCGAGGCGACCATGTACGTGACGGTCAGGAGACAAAGCAAAATCCTCGACAAGGCTCGCTCGGTCGGGCCCAAGAGTTAAGAGATACGGGGCGGTGACGTTGAGCTTGACGGAGGGCTGAATGACATTCCTGTCGACAGGGACAATCAGGGTTTGGGCGATATAGCGTCCGGGGTCAACTTTTGGACTCGGACGACCGAAGTAGATAAATAACCCTGGATGTGAGTTGATCGAAAACTGCGCGTTCCAGCTCGACAAGGCAATCCCAATCAGGGCGCAAGCAGAAGAAGAGGAATGGGAGCGTGCTCGTGTGACAAATTGTGAACGAGGCACGTCTCACGGGCCGTTCCGCAGCAGTCCTGATAAAGGCGGGCAAGAATGCCGAATTGAAATTGCGAGGCTGAAGAGAAGGCGGGCGATGGGGATGCAAATGCAGAGGAGTTCATGAACACGGTGTGGCCGTGGCAGTATCTGTCAGAGCATGGCGGGAAGAATGGGCACGGGGAGGTCGTGGCTGGGCCAGGATTTGAACTTGGAAGACCAGGAGCGATTATTCCTTTCTGGCGAGCGTTGAAACTTTGGGGAGGCACGATGGTGGAGGTGGAAGGGGCAGGGGCCCGTGCCGCAGGGCTGGAGCCAGCCGTACTCCTAGAAGAATGCCCACGCACGCGCCAGACGCGTCGCAGATGTCACCCGCATGTCCCAGCTCTCGTCATGATCACACCGCGAATACGTCAGTGCGTCAGAAATGATAACGGTAGTGATGATGAGAGGAGTCGAGTCATAGCCTAGCAGATGAAAACTGGCCGATCAACACAACAAAGGCAACCAACAGCCCAGAGTACAGCGAATAACCATTCTGTAGGTCGTTTGCACCTGGAACTGGTCCCACTCGTTTCCCGCTGCCTCCATGAGCAGCTGCAGCCTAGTCGTCGTATCTCGTTCCCAAGAACGCCAGTATGGAGTGCTATACGGAGTCTATCTAACTTCCTGAACGCGCTGATAATCTATTATTAAGATGATATTTGCCTCGCACAGTTCCATCTCACTCTACCCCGCTGTCCATCATGTCCGACCAGGCCTGTGTCCTCCGTATTCCCAGGTCTGACGATCCCACCACGTTTGTCTTGGTCCATGTCTCTCGCTCCGGAAAGGCTCCCCTAGACCTAAAGCTCGTTGCGACGGAGGGCGAAAGTCCCTACGTCGGTGCAGGTGCGTCTCTACTGCCGCTTTGAAGAGTATCCTCCTCGTCATGGTCCGCTGATGGCGTCAGCTCAGTCAAGCAGTCCCATCTCAAGAACCTCCGCTCTAAGAACTATCAGGGAAGCGATCAGGAATTCGAGCAGATCCTCACCACCGTTCTGGGCCAATGTTCGTTTGCTGTCCATCCGGAGACCGGGCGCAAACCTGGTCTCGAGGTAGGCGCCTCCATACGCGGTTCCGGTGACAAGAATAAGGAGCTGGTCATTACCGTGAGGAAAAGGATCGATAGCATCACGGTAGGTGTATACATTGCTGGAACCAGCTCATCGCATGCCACCTTACTAAATGCCCATCCCATAGCAACGAGTGGCCTCCATTACTCTCATGCAGGATGACGATCAGACCATCGAGCTTTTCGAGTGGACCAGCCTTATGATTTCGAGAGCGGATTCTCTCGGACAGCAGATCTCCTCCTTGACTGAGCGATTGCAAGCAGCTGAAGATACCATCAGCAAACTCAATTCCCAGCTCGAGGAGCTCGTCGAGGCCAAGAATGAGCACGAGAACCGGTTGATGATGAACTTCGTGCAGGTCTTGAATGAGAAGAAACTCAAGATTCGAAACCAACAGCGCCTGCTGGCCTCGGCCAAAGTTGACATGGGAAAGGGTATGTCTTCATCGCCTCCACATCAGCGGAAAAGTTGGCATCTGGCTAACTGGGGAATTTTTTCCCCCCTAATTCAGTGTCTGAAATCCGAGCTGCAACTTCAGGTCGCGGACACCGGCCTACCGAGACGAGTCGGTCCAACAAGCGCAAAGTGGCGGACAACATGCCAGAGACTTCAGATACAGACGATGAATTCGAGAGAATGGATATCGACCGAGCGAAGGATCAAGATGACTATGGTGAGGATGAGGTCACAGACCTCGAGGGCCGGGAGACGCCTCAGCCTTTGGAAGATGAGACCGAGACGGAGGATCAGGATGATATGGTATCTACTTCTCCACCTAGAATTGATAGGAAAGATGAGAAGCGCGGCCAGGTAATGGACAAATCAGATCGCCCGAACCTGGCACCTCCTACCAGCCCTCCTCCCCGGAGGGATCTTCCGTTTGCTAGGAAGGCTGCAGCGAATGATCAGGCAAAGTCCTCCGTACCGCGACGAGATCAACCTGCAGAGTTTACTGAGCAAGCTGATGAGACGGCCGGTGAGACTGATGATGATGAGTTGTAACTGGGAAAAGCGTTCGATAGGTGCACGCTTAACACATCCTTTTGCTACTCCTCCTCCCCAAGTCGCCAACTTGGTCATGATCGAGTGGTTGTTTTTGGTTAGTAAATGATGTAGCTATACTTGACTATCTTCGACGCTGGGACGCACAAATTTGAAGTAGCCCGTCTGGCATTCTTGAACTCCCTTTCGCGAAAATAGGAATTAAAGAAATTCCGTTGCATTCGAGCATATGACAAGTCGAACTGGCCAGGATTGATTTGTTGTGTCTATCTCTCCCTCAATCGATCTCCTGTTCTGGTTCTTTCATAATCTAAATTTGATCCGATTTCATCTTATATACAAGTTCCACCGTTTAATAATACCTAATGGCGGAGAGATCGATTACATCCGCAAGTCACCCTGACACGGAGGCCTCTTGGGAGAGAAAACAAAGGAGAATGAGAACAGTGATAGCATAATAATGAAAACTGGGAGAAAGTACAGGCACATAAAATAGAAAACTCAGGTGGTACAAAGACAAACGCCTAGACCGGAAATAACGCAGTGATAGAATTGGCGTGATGTATTTCTTTTTTCAGCCAAACATTGCCTGAGGAGACAGTTCACCCGGGGCCATGAAATTTGTCTCGGGGTTACCGGTAGCCTTGGCAGCGGAGCAGCGTGCCATCGTAGGTGAGCTATACCTCACAGTTAATAAATGATCCAAAGGACACTCGACTTTTTATGACGAACCTTCGAGAGATTGAATCGGTGAAGTAGAAGTCTTCGATGACTTTCTTGAAAGGCGCTCCGCTCGGCTTGCTGCCCTTATTCTGATCTACCAACTGAACCTTGCTCAAAGAACTTACAGAAGTAGGTTCAACGACATCATACCGACGAAGCACGGGACTGATCTCTTCCATACGGTCACGGAGCGCCTCAACATCGTCGTAAGGGAGGGGTACCCCCAAGAACTCGCTGACAGCACGAATGATCTTCCAGTCTTCACGAGCAGCCCCTGGCAATGAAGTGGCCGCACGCGTCATCTGAACACGTCCCTCAGTGTTGACATAGGTTCCTGCCTTCTCTGTATACGCAGCACCTGGGAGGACGACATCGGCCAATTGGGCACCCCGATCTCCGTGGTGGCCCTGATAGATAACAAATGCATCTTTTGGAATGTCACTCGCACTGATTTCGTCGGCACCTAACAGCCAGACCATCTTGGGGGTTGTGTTGGCAACTTCTGGAGAAGGTGTGGTGAAGCCCACTTCGTAGGCTCCTGCCCGAGAAGCTGCACGCTGGAGCACGTTGTAACCCTGCCACTCGGCGGTGTTGAAATTTGAAGCATGTTTTTCGACAAAGCTTCCCACCGTTTCGAAGATTGCCTTTGCGTCGGTATGCTCAGCGGCAGCGCTACCAACAATTATCATCGGTCGCTTGGCCGAGGCCAGCTTCTTTCCAAACTCGCCAGAGAGAGCATTCTTTAGGCTGGAAAGATCATTTCCGAGATGTTCAAACTCGAACGTGCTGTCGAAAGTCTCGCCAACAAGCGCAATCTCCAGATCAGAGCGCAGCCACTGTTTACGGATCCGCGCGTTTAGGACGGCAGCCTCATGGCGAGGGTTTGTTCCGACCAGAAGGAGAACATCTGCCTCCTCAATTCCGACGATCTTAGAATTGAAAAGGTAGTTTGATCGCACGTCGACACCGTGGGCAATTGGCGAGCTGCCTCCAGGCTGGTCAAGCGCAAGGTTGTCGGAACCTAGCCTGTTGGCTAGATCTTTCATCGCAACGAGGGATTCAGTTTCAACAAGATGACCAGCCACGGCCTTGAACTCGTTTGCTTTCGGACTCAATTTCTCATAGGCAGATGCAATCTCAGTCAGAGCCTGCTCCCAAGTTGCGGGAGCAAATTTGCCTTCTCTGCGAATAAGTGGCGTCGTAAGCCTCTGGGTCTTCAATCCGTCACACGCAAATCGAGTTTTGTCATTGATCCATTCTTCGTTGATATCATCATTGAGTCTAGGGAGTATCCGCATCACTTCCATGCCTCTTGTGTCCACACGGATGTTAGAACCCAGGGCATCAAGGACATCGATGGATTCGGTATGACGCAATTCCCAGGGACGAGCTCGGAAGGCATATGGTTTTGATGTCAGTGCACCCACGGGGCAGAGGTCGATGATATTACCCGAGAGTTCAGAGTCAAGATTCTTCTCCAAGTATGTTCCGATTTGCATGTCGTTCCCTCTCCCGGTAGTTCCAAGCTCCGGAGCGCCAGCAATATCGTTCATGAATCGGACACAGCGAGTGCAATGAATGCACCTGTTCATCGATGTTTTGATCAAGGGCCCAATGTTCTTTTCCTCTACCGCACGCTTGCCCCCGACCTCATGGAATCGGCCACGATCGGCACCGTAGCGCATCGACTGATCTTGTAGATCGCACTCCCCTCCCTGATCACAGATCGGGCAGTCAAGGGGGTGATTTGCAAGTAAAAATTCCATGACACCCTCCCGGGCCTTGTGCGTTAAGGGCGAGTTCGTCTTGACAACCATGCCGGGTTGTACAGGCCAGGCACATGATGCCACAGGCTTGGGAGCTTTCTCCACCTCAACCAAACACATACGGCCTTTACCATTGTTAGCCAGGGCTTTTATCGGTTAACCAGCACGACTCAGACTTACAGTTCCCTGCAATCATCAACTTCCTGGAAATTTCATCAGTATGTATGCCACATTATCGCTGAGGAGGGGTAGCTTACTCATGGTAGCAGTATCTGTATCTAAAATCAGCTCATGTCCGCCACATTTCTAGATGAATAAAGTCACGCACCTTGGAATAGTTACACCGGCTTTCTCACAGGCCTGAATAAGGGCCGATCCCGCTGTTATAGTATGTAAGAGAATGGCCATTAAGAGGAAGGAGGGAACTCCAGGTTACCTTCTATCGAGACCTTCTTGCCATCTAAACTGTCAGGTCAGTCATAGAGTAATTTTTCCTCGAATATTGCCAGCACGCACCGATCGTCAGTTCCACCTCGGCTCCCCGCCGCGTAGTTGTTGCAAAGGTCCTGGGATAATTGACCCTAGCGACCTGTCTCGAACGAGCGGCCGCACGGAGCAATTGCGGCCGCATTGTGTTAGAAAAACGCGATGGAGGATAGGACAAACAGAGAGTTACTCTGTAGCCAGTTAGGAGGGGGGAGGGAATGGAGAAGCAGACGCAATGGAGGAGGCGCTGTTGTTCTCAGTTGAAGCAACTGGGAACTCTCGGGTTCTTTGCCAAGGCTTGCCCGAATGGTGTCTTCAGCGTCCCAAATCAGCGCCTCCGGATTGGTCCGGAGATTCGGAAGGTCAATTTATCCATTCACAGTCAATTTTCACTTGTTTGGTGTGCTCTGCCAGACCTCTCTTTCCTTTCTCTTTCTACCAAGATACTCATTTCCCACGGACATGATTATTGTAGGTGGTAGGAAAGGCCTTTCTTACACGAATGGCCGATGTCTTCCTCCTCTGCTACATGATCCAAGAAAAACTTTGTTGCATCCCAGCTGGAGCGACTGAAGATGTCCCAATCTTCGTGTTTGGGGCATCTCATGATGGGTCTGTTCTTTACTGCAGGTTGCAACATCTCCCCGCAACGTATGAAATCTCGAAAGCGACGAAAGATGGCAGATGGCTGCCTGGTCCAATTATTTTCCCATTTTCTGCAGCTAGCCCAACATGGGACTTAAAGATCCCACCAGCGTTGCCATCCAAAGATTGCAATTTTCTTATTTGATATTGCTGTCTCGTAGGATCTCTTTGCTGCTTCTAGGAGGCATGAATATTCTTGCCACATACGCTTTTTACGCAGTTGAAATTACTCCGGGGTAGCGTTCCAAAGTTCTCTTTTGCGTCGGTGTTAGAGTAGTAAAACCCAGTAAATAATCTCACATTTCCGACGATTACAAAATCAAGTCCATCTTTCACGTCCGATCATCTGGTGCATATTTGTTATTCCAGAAGGCCCTGAAATGCTTCTGAAGGCCTATCTCGGAAATCTCGTTGACCTCTTGTGGCGTCAGTTTGAATGTGAGTGCACGGAGGTAGTCACTGAGTCGAGATTCCTTGCTACTGGTTGTAATCGTGATGGCACCTCGGTCGATTGCCCATCGAATGGCAATCTCGCCCTCGCTGACACCGTACTTCGCAGCCAGTTCTGACAGTATACCATCCAATGGTCCCCCTTTTGCTCGAGATACCGGCGTGAGAGGTCCGTAACTGGCCGTCGCTATTCCTTTCTCTTGCTGAAATGGCACGAGGTTACCATGTTGGAGGTATGGGTGAAATTCGATCTGGTTGATGACAGGGGGGTACTTGGCTATCTTCAGCGTAGCCTCAAGTTGAGGCTGGGTATAATTTGACACTCCAATTGCCCTTGCTTTTCCAGATTCTTTCACCTTCTCTAGGGCAGCCCACGCTTCTTGGAGATCCTTGTCGGATTTCGCGAAAAACGGTGAATGGATCAAATATCTGTTCGACAAGTTACATTAGAAAAAAAAGGCTCGAGAAGGGAAGACAGACTAGACACATACAGATCGACAAAGCTGAGCTGAAGCTTCTTCAAGCTTCTGTCAATGGCATTAGGGATATCGGTTATACTTTTGGAAACCTTGGTTGTCACAAAGAGTTTTTCCCTTGCAACGCCGCTTTCCTTGATCGCGAGACCCAACTCGGTCTCTGTGCCGTAAGCTTCTGCAGTATCCAAATGGTGGTAGCCCAGCTTGATGGCAGTTTTGATTGTCTCGACAAGCTCGCGATCTATACTGGTATCATCACCTTTCTTGTACCAAGCAGTACCGGTTCCAAAACCCAGCTAAAAGAACTAATTCAGTAACCAGGCCTGTCGATTCCGTATGAGGGACTTACGATTGGTATGGAAACGCCGTCTGCGATTTTCACCTTAGGGATATCTACGACGTTGGCCATCTTGCTTGAAATTGAACTTAAGGTTTGATAAAGTCTGAGCATGAATACCGAATAGCAGGAAGGAGAGAGGAAGTTCCTACCCTCTGCCGGCAAATTATACAGATCTTCCGGAGCACACGCCGGCTATAAGCCCGCCGACTTCTACGCCATCATTGGGCAGTTGTTACAACGCACTTCCGGAGACGTTGCCGAACTTAATTATTGTTTCGTGATCTCATTGGTAATGGAGAAGAGTTCCCGGAATGTTGCAGATTGGACGATAAGCACGGCTATGATGAGAAGAATGTCATTGGCATATATGTAATAGCAATAGAGACGGTTTCGCGGAAATTAATATGATCGCACGGAGCTGATGATATATGAGTAAAGACATCGGACTTTGGGGGTTTATTTGATTCATTGCCACAACATGCATGAATCGGAATGAATACTGATATGGTAGTGGTACCTATTGCAGCAAATGATGTCACATTGCCTGAATGGACTGCGGGGACGGACCGGCGGACCGAGAGGGGGGGGGTAGGGTCGCTTGCGCAATTAGTGGTATGTAATCAATTAACTCAGCAAATACGGAGGCAAAGGCTCAGTACCTAGATACCTATGCAATATATTACTCTTACTGTTTCTGTATTCTAGTTCCCTTGCAGTTTGTTGTGATTTTCCGACGACCATCTTGTATATGTTTCGTTACAATCTACCCCGTCATTCACGAACGATTCGGAATCGCATCAGCCAGATGGCATCACAACTATCCGATGAGGCTAGCAGCCAGACAGCTGGGGTCTCGTTAGCAGAACTACCAAAGTCGAATGTCTTTACCTCTAAGCTTCCTCCAGACCCGGCCTTTGAAACGCCCGAGTCGTCCCATAATGCACCTCGAGAGACCTTGGGTCCACGCCTCGTAAAAGGGGCCATGTACACGTTTGTTCGGCCAGAAAGGGCAGAAGAACCGGAGCTACTTGGTGTGAGCCCAAAGGCAATGGAAGATATAGGCCTGAGGCCTGGAGAGGAGCAGACGCCGGACTTTAAGGCGCTAGTCGCCGGAAATAAGATATTCTGGAGTGAGGAAGACGGAGGAGTTTATCCTTGGGCACAATGCTATGGAGGTGAGTGGCTATGAGCTGCAAAATAACTGAAGGATCTCCTAACATATAGAAGGTTGGCAATTGTTAGTTCTTAATAGCCGCTGAGATTTTTTTTTGTGCCTGGTTAGTTAACACAGACGTAGTGGTTCCTGGGCAGGCCAACTTGGAGACGGGGTGAGTGTCCTCAGCGTTTACACGCCGTAAAGGCCCGTTCTGACAGTGCCACAGCGTGCTATTAGCCTGTTTGAAGCCATCAACCCTAGGACTAAAGTCCGCTACGAACTACAACTGAAAGGTGCGGGGAGGACACCATACTCGCGATTTGCAGATGGGAAGGCTGTTCTTCGATCAAGCATTCGTGAATACATAGTCTCTGAAGGTCAGGACCTCGGTGATCACCCAATGTTTATTCCTTTTTTAACAATGTACAGCTCTCCATGCTCTTGGTGTGCCGACCACCCGGGCTCTTTCTCTTACTTTGCTCCCTAAGTCCAAAGTTCTGAGAGAGAGGATCGAACCGGGTGCTATCGTAGCAAGATTTGCCGAGAGCTGGCTCAGGATTGGTTCTTTTGATATACTGCATGCACGCAATGATCGAGACCTGATTCGGAAGCTCGCGACTTTTATAGCTGAAGATGTCTTCCCGGGGTGGGAGTCCCTTCCAGGATGGGTGCCTTTGACGAAAGAGGGTGCTTCTGCAGATGAAGTAGTTAACCCAGTCAGAGGTGTTCCACCAGAAGAAATTCAGGGGAAAGAAGGAGCAGAGGAAAATCGATTTTCAAGATTATATCGCGAGATTGTCCGAAGGAACGCTAAGACTGTAGCTGCGTGGCAAGCGTATGGCTTCATGAATGGGGTTCTGAACACGGACAATACGTCAATATATGGGTTGTCACTTGATTACGGCCCATTTGCATTCATGGACAACTTTGACCCTCGTTATACGCCGAACCATGATGATCACCTGCTCAGGTATTCATACAAGAATCAGCCTTCTATCATTTGGTGGAATCTTGTGAGGCTTGGAGAAGCCTTGGGCGAGCTCATTGGCGCCGGTGACAAGGTAGACGACGAAACATTTATTGCCAAGGGCGTGACCGAAGATTATGGCCCGATTCTTATCAAACGTGCTGAAACGATAATTGAAAGAACTGGAGAAGAGTACAAGACGGTATTTCTGAACGAATACAAGAGACTAATGAGCCTACGGTTGGGCCTGCAGACACAGAAGGACTCCGACCTTGAGAAACTTTTCTCTGAGTTACTTGACACTCTGGAGAAGTTAGAGCTTGATTTTAATCACTTTTTCAGAAGGCTTTCAGAGGTAGCGTTGAACGATATCGAGACTGAAGAACAAAGGAAGAATGTTGCCCCCATTTTCTTCCACAGTGAGGGAGTTGGTGGGATTGGGAATACAGAAGACTCTGCCAAGGAACGCATTGGCAAATGGCTAGAAAGCTGGAGAAATCGCGTCCTTGAAGACTGGGGTCCGGGCAAGGATACGGAGAGACAGGAAGCGATGAAAAGAGTTAATCCGAAGGTAGGCATGATTTCCAAATTAACCCCATGATCGGAGCTGCTCTTATGTTTGAGTAATGGGCTTTGTTAATTGCGGAGCTGACGCGTCTTTAGTTTCTGCCACGGTCTTGGATTCTGGACGAGGTTATCGAGCGAGTTGAACGCAAAGGAGACCGAGAGATCCTTGGTCGGGTTATGCACATGGCCCTTAACCCATTTCAGGACAAATGGGACTTGAACAGAGAAGAAGAGGAACGATTCTGTGGGGATGTCCCTCGATTCAAGAGAGCAATGATGTGCACTTGCAGTTCTTAGAATTCTTCTGTAGCTGGATGTCATGCCAACCCAGCCATTGAATATACATACATTCAATGTTCAGGCGTCGATATTTTCCTCGAAATGGCTAGGTCTTGTAGGTGAATTTGCAATCCCATAGCAACTGGGCGGCTTTTGGCTCTTTTTCTTTGGAATAGTGCCATTTCTTCGCATGTAAAGTTGCACGGAAAAAGAAAGTAGACAGGATGACATGTTCAAGAATTCGAAATTAAACAGAAGTGACATTCGTGGAAGACCTTTTTTTTTGGATATGGCTACAAACAGAATGGGCCGGTAGAGAAGGAAGATTTCCCCAACCATCCATTAAGAATCGAGAATTTCCCATGCGTCATGATCATGTTTTGTGTGCTATGATGTTCCCTTGTGGAGATTCGTCCCTCATGAAGATCTATGGACGTTTATTTGAAATTTTACGGTTCCAAGAGAAAGAACAACACTTGACAGATTTTGTATACGCATCGCCACTTCTGTGGGAGGAACCGACGAGCGGCCTCTAGAAGATCCTCACCCTGTATGCATAGCAGACGAGGAGGATTTTTGGCATTAGGAAAGTGGCTGGCTCAATTTTCGATCGAAATCAACTTCAAACATCCTCACACATATCTAGTGACATTTCTTTTGGAGAAGTCTTTGCTGGAGAGACATGTCGGAGATGCACCTTCACAAAACCTTGAAGATACTTCGATAGCTCCTTAGAATGGGAGTCCATTGTAGTCTGCTGGTTGCGACCTTTGCTTTTTCCACGTAGAGCAGACGAAGGATGTATAAGACCTCGATCCTCGTTTCATTCCCAGACCGACACACTACGATGCTACAAGCCGTTTTTGGTTATGAGATTCTCTCCCTGGTACCAGAAACACCTGGCTCCCCTCACCCAATCATCAATTGATCCCAGAGGTGTCGTTTAGTTTTTTTTTTTGCTTTTCACCATCGTTTATTTTATTCTTGCCGGACAGAATGTCCACCTGGCAGTAGCAAGACTTCATGCCCAGCTCGTGTACAACTTTAAATCAGAAACCTGCATGATCAGGGCTGATGTCCGAGCCTTAGAACTAAAGGATATGAGCTCCAAATGTGGATGTCCCAGCGCCTAGAGAGAAGTTATGAAACCTTTAAAGAGGTAAAACAACAATTTTAGAGGAATCTGGGAAGGTTTAAGAGTATAATAAGTACTTTATGTCGATTGGGTTGCCTGGAATCCAACAAGCAGCTGTAATGACAGATTTAGGATGATGGTCATCGCCGTTTCAAACGCTCTGGAAAGTCGTTAAACTAGTCAGATAATGCATATGAAGAAGGACATGGGTGCCACGCTATCCAAATAGTCGGCTGATTGAAAGCCAAAAGAAAGGGGAAAAGCGGCGAGAAGGAGGGGAAACGAAAGTAGCAAGAGAGGGAGGAGGAGAATGCACTGCTACTCTTTGTGAGTTTCATCCTGCAGTAATTACATTTTCTCTTGGAGAGAAAAGCTTCTCACTGCCTGCTTATACCCCCCTCAGTATGAAATGAGGAATTTTTTGCAAACTGGGGATAAATGATCTGAGCTTTCTAGTGTCATTACCCCAATGATATCTGTAACAGCGTCTGTGTTATAATGCATTATGATAAAGACTAGCACCTATTTCCCTCCCTTGGCTGGCAAGAAGGCTTAAATTGGTTGACTCAAGTTGCATTGTTGACCAATTTTGTAGCAACAACTTCTTGCAGTTTTAAGATACGAAATTTGGCATGTGAGCATGAATGTTCAGGCAAGCTTCAGGCATGCGACATTCCCTTAGGGCGGCAAGACTACCTGGGAAGAGGGTGTGAAAATGATGCTGGAAACAGCGTCAGAGGTGGTCATTTTCAGTGTCGGTTTCTTGTGCATATATATTCTAGTTGTAAAATAAGGCGAGAAATGAAAAATCGTGTAGTACGAGATGATAAATGGTATCTTGATGCCATAGTCACCGCTGAATAGCTTCTGCTGCTAGACAAAGGGCTCATGCTGTGTATCTCAGATTAAAAAAAAACGCAAGGAATAAAAATAGAAATGAGAAGAATCACCAGACTCCTCTCCCCCTTGTCGTAACCTATCAACAAGTACGGATTTAGCAGCATATAGGCAAGTTCCGTACTATACTTTTCATCTAGTTGGGACAGGCAGCCTGGACATGGCCGGGCTGCTTGCATTTGTAGCAGACACGTTCACCATTGGCTTCTGTAGGACAATCGCGAGAAACATGCCCGACCTCGCCACCTGGTAGAATGGATCGTTAAACAAACAGAACACACACATAGTAAGTATGAACAAGTGGAACATACAGTTATAGCATTTCTGGCCTTGCATGCAGTCGCGGGCCATATGGCCATACCCGCCACAGGAGTAGCAAGTCTGCTGACGACCCCCAAAACCTCCATGGCTGCCTCCGTAGTTGCCTCCGGGGCAGTTACGGGCAATGTGTCCAACTTGACCACATTTATAGCATTCTTGGCCTCCGGCACCGCCAGAGTAGCCGTTTCCACCGAAGTTACTGCCAGTACTGGCTTGGGTGCATTCACGTGAGATGTGTCCTGACAGACCGCATCTGTAGCAAGACTTCTCCTTAGGAGCTACAGTGCATTCCCGGCCTAAGATGGATGTCAGCTTGTCTTCAATCTTCATTTGATGTGGACACAAAGGATTGACTTACTGACGTGTCCCTGGCCTACACAAGATGACTTCATTAGGATCTATTTGTGATAATCTCACCAGGACTCCAGAAACATACCACCACAGTTATAGCTGAACAATGTTTGTCAGCAATTTAGACAGAAGAGCAAAGAGGCACACAAGTCCTACATACCAAGTAGGAGTGCCTTTCTTAGGACAATCACGAGCCTGGAACCAAGTCACAAATGAGCTTTCCAACTTTCAAAATGTGGGCTTGTGGGCATTGTTACCTGATGAGAGGAATCACCACCTATATACATGACAAAGAATGTCAGTAGAGAGCTAAAATCAACAGCTGAAGATGGTTCTAAATAGAAAAAAATTGTTGAAGACAATAGAATTGCCAATGATGCCAATGAAACTCGAAGTTTACATTGATCATGATTTGATTATTGCTATAGCCTCAGAAACAGGAAGGGAGAACCATTGCCTACTTCACTGAAGAGCAGTGGGGTGCAAAATTATCTGCATATATGCAATCTGACGCGCGGCAATAAAGGCACCACGATCGGAAAACTCACAGTTGAAGCACCCACGGCTCCCAGCTTGATAGTCCATCTTTCTTTGGCGACGCAGGTTGAAGAAGGATAAAGAGCTTCAGCGGGGTGAATTGGAACGGAACCTGGTTAGGAGATCCAAAGGTTAAAAATTTCATGAGCGAAAGCTAAAGGCTCAATGATGCGGGGAAAGCTTCAGCATTTGCTTCTCAAGTCTTACCTTAGTTTGTCAGTTCCAATGAAAGAAACTCCTGCCAAATTTGGAGCGGGAAAGGTCAAGGTGAAGGGACGAAAAGTGGCAAAAGAGAGAATTTCAAAAAATCAAAAGTAGAAATTCCTGGCTGTGTGGAGTACTGGTGTTGCTTTAGCCTTTACCGCACCGTACTCGCTTTAGTGGTTCGAGCTTGCAGGAAGTGGCGCGGTAAAGAAGGAAACATCAATGAAGGTGATCTTCAGCCAGATAGGTGATCGACATATGGGAATTTTCCTTGCCATTTTTGTAGTCAAGGAGGGGCATCGCGCTCCATCTGGGAGAATTCACGTGGCCTTCTGTCACTGTTGTTTGTGTCCACACTAGCTTGCTGATCAGTGTTCAGCACTCCTTCATTAGTACCTAAGCATGAGAGTGTATGTACATACATTTGAGCTTCCCAGGTCATCGCATATTCATCTTTTATCTATTCAATGGTTTGCGATAATCACATAATGTGACCAGTGTCCTCATACCCTGGCTAGAGGCTCTGAGGCTGGTCCATATGGACTCTTGTTTTGCCATGTCCTATTAAGAGTGATTGCAGCATCATGCAATGCTTTGTCGGAACTTTCATATTCATCCGAAAGAGCTCGAAATAAATAATGATACGTCGCTCGAGTGCCCAATTCGATCCCATGGAATTCTGAAACCCCTGAACGGAGCAATGTCACACACAGGCGACAAGACTGAGAAAACAGAAGGCGTAAGAGAGAGAAGCGAACTTCTGCGTAAATCATGAACGATCCAGATTCATCAATGACGGTCGGTTCTCGAGAGAACTAGCTGTATATGGTACTTCCCAAAAATCCTCTTTCATGGCTCACAAGGTAGCATAAGGCAGCCATCCTTCCGAGTGGAGGCAGTAAACATCGCGTCGTAGATGTGCAGACAATGCTTTTTTTGATGCTCTGATTCAGCCGCAAAAATGGAAACGTCATTGAGGACGGTTTGAATCTGTAGAACCTGTAGATGTGGATGTATATGCGGAGGTAGTTGGCACACGAGTCCTGCACCACAACGAATCTAGTCGGGTTTTGCCAGGGTTCTTTGCAGGGGTTTTATTCTTAATAATGCATGTGCTCCGGGGTCTCCCGCAGCGACGGAGACGTGCAAGCAGAAGGGACAAGTGGAAATCGCACTTTATATTGACTATATATCGTAATGCTCTATGTTGGTACCACCGCCAATTCGCCTCTAAATGGATTCTATGTGAAGTCGTAACATTCAAGTAATTGGGTCCCGTGTCCTCGCTCACGTAGCACAACTACCTGCTCCTCATCAAAACCCACCCAACCTCCGGTGCGAGTTGGTTCGTCTGGTGTACCCTCGGGCTCCGTCTTAAATTTCTGGCGCCCCCAATTGATGGCTTCGGATATTGTGCGGAATCCAGAGGGATCTCTCGGCGATTTGTTCTCAGGGCTAATCTGGACGCTGCTTTCACTTTTCAGGGCCCTCCTCGAAGCGGTTGGACATGATATTACCGTTTCAAGTTCCCAGATCCGGATCTCGTTTCCACGCGAGCTCACAGATACTGCCTTGCCACGGTCGCTGACTTGCACACCTGAGACCGACGATGTGTGACCCCATAGACGCCGAGCACCTTTGATAGCGAGTTTGTCTGAAGTGGAAACCACGAGATACATGGTCAGAGTGTTGTCCTTATGGGACGTGAGAAGATAAGGGTGAGAATAAGAGAGCGACGTAGGAGGCTCATTGTGTCGTATGGATGGATTTGATGACATCGTAGAATATAGGGAATCCACAGGGCTGTCAAAGGTGCCCAGGTGGCGCTTCATCTTTGTAGGCTCGATTGGCGTCTGCGCATTGTTCGCGCTATATTGAGAATCGACTGTTGTTGCCAGGCGCGAGCTGAGATGTTCGCCGTCGTGGCTAATATGAAGCTCCTGAATTCCTATGGACCATCCGCAGCCAATATGGTAGAAATTGTACGCTATGGATGCTATAATTTCGGATGGCGATGACCGGATGGAGAGGGACATTGGGGCTAAAATGTTGTTGGCCTCTAGAGAGGCTAACAATCGAGGCGATTCGACGGGTTTGTCAACGCTTGTCGCTCTCGGAGACGCCTTATATAAGGACAAAACTTTGTGCTGCGATACCATCATTAGGTACGGTGGTGAGGATGCTATCGCAGTGATAGCCCCAGGGGTTGATCCGACGTGAGAATAATGGAGCACAAATTTCGACTTGGCAACGTCCAGGTCATAGACATCGAAAGTGCCATCTTCAAATCCTACAATAACCTCAATACTGGACGTTTGGGATCCCTGGGTAGCGGAAAGAGCGCTGGGAGCGGTGTCAGGTCTCAAGAACGAGACGCTAGCGAGGTATGTCTTGTGATATTTGATAGACCATGCTCGTAGACCATGCTCCTTGTCCGCCGTAAACACAAACCCTGAGTGCAACCACACCAATACCGGCGGAGGTGGCGGTTGGGCTACTTCAACCTCTCTGACTCGACAGATTCCCTTAGACCAGTTGTGCCTCAGACGGTACTGCGTTTTCCAATGCGTGACTTTGCCCTCCTCCGCAAGATGGCTATGGCCAAGCCATTTTGAGACTTTTGGAGAATAGTCAGTCCCTGAAGAAAACTTCGGGTGTTTGAAGTAGGGCAAACGGCGTGCCCTGGGCAAAACCCATCGAGAGAAGTACTGCCGCTTCCATAATTCCGAATCCCCCGCCAGAGCATGAAATCGACGCGACAGCCTATCACAACATCAGTAACGAGGGGATCTGTTACAACGCGAGAGCGAATACCTTTGACAGACAATGAGCGACGGTATCGGTAGAAATGACAAGATATGGAGGAGGATTTCATCGCTTAAGGATGACAGACGATCGACCCGATCTACCTCACCGCCGCAGTGACGTTTCGAGGGAGGCGAATCTGTTTGTTCGTCGTCCCTACATCGTTTCGACATGCCGAGGAGTAAGATTCCTCCGGCCAGAAGTATTCGGTCTTTTGGCGATTAACGCGTTCAGACGGGGATAGCTATCGTTTAGAGGACTGCAAGCTCAGCGAGAATATGATAGCTGGTCAAGATGCCTTTCGGCGAAGGCCGTGCCACCTTGATCGCTTATCTAAGGTGCTTGTGCGGCGATAAGATCCGGGTGGTTCCTGCTTACCTAAAAAGGTATAATGCCTATTCCGCGTTTGCAGCGCGTCGCCGAAGCCGCGTCTCTCGCGGCAGCAAGGCAGACGGACAGGATCAAACCTCTTCACGCTGCAATTCACGCTGCAATTCTCCATGTGTATATTTTTTGTCTTCAGGTGTTGATGTCCCCGGTGCTGTGCTCCACGGATGGATATATTGAGAAAACTTCAAGCGTCACTCGCTGAAGATTTCGAGCAGTACTTTGACCGGGCCTATCGCGATTTAGCCGCTGAGGTTGCTACTCGTGATGCGAAAATCAAAGACCTTGAGAAAGAAATCGAGCTCTCGAAAAATGCCCAAAGAGACGATGTCGCGCGTATACGAGAGTTAGAGAATCAGGTTTCCCGTCTTCAGGAGGACCTACGCTGGCAGAATATAGGACCCAAGGATCAGAGCGCTGTCAAGGACAAGTTGGACGAATTGCAAGAGACGTACGATCCCGACAGATTGCTCAAGACTGTTCGCGAAGCCGATCCGAATAACCCCGATGGCAACTTTCGTCAGGCCCTCGAGCAGCTTGAATGCAGCTACCGTGCTTTATACGAAGACGTTAGAACTCTTCTTAAAGTAACAGGTTCCCTCAGGACGCAAGTCAAGAGACATAAACATACAGTCGCTCAATGGCAGCGTTGGTTCTCTCACAAGAATTCGGCTACGCCTGTCGAAGGGACTGTGGTCAGAAACAGACGTCTTGACGGAACATCCAAAACTCTACGAGGCCCCGAGAGCTTGACTGATGGCGAGCTGGCATTATCGCTTTCGCAAGGGTCAATATCGGATCTAGTTCCACAGAGCGCCGTGGAAGCGCCTACCGAACCTTCCAATCCGAAGGCTGATTCATCAGTCCCGACGGTCTCAGTCAGTGAAAATGCTATACAACAGCCATTATCGCCTTCCTTTCCTCAACCTCAACCAGATCCTATTCATTCTACACCGCAAGTGAAACAGGAGCGCGATGAATATTCGGACCATGTGGTTATGATGAATGTCCCCGAATCGGATCCGTTATCGACACAGTCTGAGGAACCGACTAGTGCCGGCGATAGTCGTCCACCCCACGATGCTCCATCTGCATCAGAAAAGAATCCAGAAGGTATCCATGTCGAAGATCGCGCCCAGGTGAGGCCTGTTAATATAAAGAGCGAGGATCTATCTTCAAGTCCGATTCAAAGCACCTTTCAAAGCCGCGAATCAAACCCTTCAGGAACGCAGGATTTGGATGATGTCGGTAGTTCTGTGAGGACACCAAAAAAGCAATCTTTTGTTGTATTTGAGGAGACAACCTCGAGCCCCCGTCAGCAGGGGCAGTTTAGACGGGACCAAAAAAGTCTTCGTGCACTTCAGCCAAAAGACGACAACAGAAAAAGCTGCAATCAGGCCGTCGTATTTTCTAGCTCGAAACGAATAAAGGTCTCTGAAAGGGGAAGTGCTGCAATTCCTGCTGTTACAGAAGACGGCGAAGACGAAAATTTCGGTCCCCGCAGAAAACATAGGGATGAGATGTCTCGGAATAGTCTTGAACGTGTGCCACATTCCGCTTCTCGAAATCCAATGGCGCACCGGAGACTCGATGATCTCCTGGAGGCACATTCACCACTGAAACGTCAGATACTTTTCCAAGGATCCCCTAAGACATCTGCAGTCTCTTCGCAAAATCGGAGCAACTTTGATTTAAGATCTCGGAAGGTCCCGTTAGAACGCAATCCGCCTTCAGAAAGCCCGTGCGGGTTTGATGGCTCATCAGAATTGCACGTACGAAAGAGACGCATCACGTCGAATACCAACGGTTCCGAACCAGACAATGGTGAGAGGCCGAGAGATGTTTTGGAGCACGTTCCTTTGAGAGCACGACCGCTTGAATCTCTCGACCTGAGCTGCTTTAAGGTCAATACGGAAAGGAACGATGGGCTCGATTTTGCTTTCGACGAGGTCGTCCGCAAGCAAGATCGGCGGATATGTCTGCCTGGCTGCATGCGTGCAGACTGCTGCGGAGACAAGTTCCGCGCTATGGCACGAGCCGGAGGTATTCAGTCGGCGGACATAGACCGCCAGATATTGGAGGAGTATCTTGGTGATCAGAAGCATGTGCTCGACGAAATCAGCGACCAAGACCGGGAAGATCTACTTGTTGAAGCGAAGGCCAGGTTTCTAGCAGACCGATTTGGTAGACACAGATATGCACATGAGCGTCATCGTTCCCCTCCCGGTTTCTGGCGTACAGATATGCCGAGCACGCAGGAATTGGCCAGAGATCGAGAAGAAGCAAAGGAATTAGAGAGGGAAAAGATTAAAGAGCGATACAGAGAGGCCATGCGACCTGGAGGGCTCTGGAAGTTTGCTGATGAGTAAGGCAGGCGAGAGCAGCCGTTATTCCGAAAATTAAACGGACCCAGCTCTCCCTTTTACACCTCATTTCAGGGTAATATATGTCCTGGGTTTCTTGACACATGTCGCGATTATGCCGGATGGGTTTCTACGGGGGGAAATATTGTATTATTTCCAACAGCTATTTGCTTCTGTCCTTGTATTTTTAATTTTTTCACTGGTATCATCAACAGGAGATTGGTTGGGCTAAATTACTTCTTGATAGAAAGCTTTTCAATCTAGAATCGAATTGGCTTGGAATATCATAGCCTATCCTTTTGTCTTGGGATTTTCAGGACTGGTTTCAGCCGACTTCGACTGCTGCCTTCCCTTTCTTTGATGAACCATTTGTCTACGGTTCTGATCATGTTTGGATGGATCTTGTCCAGCTGCCTTATAATAAAGACGAGCGACATTTTTTTCTCGCCAGTTTCAAAAGCCTGTGAAATTCTGCCTTCTAGTCATTGATGTGGAAACCCTTGGGATCTGTATTGTAACTGACATCTTGGGAAGCGGCCTTACTTAAGAGCCTGATTCCTAATAGACACCCAAATCGATGTCCAGCTGGTGACTTCCATGAAGACTCTTGCTAATTCATGGTCGTGGATGTGATCAATTGGCACCCTGAGATCTAACTTTTGCTCGGTCCTGGTAATCAAAGAGCCACTGGATATAGTGCCCGCAATCGTCCAGTCCTGTCGTGAATAAGCCCATGTGATGTCTGTTGTATACGAAGAACCGGACTCCTTGAAGGCCTCCAGGGCGATACGTAGCTATAGATGGCTTAGCATATTTCGGTCTTCTCTCCGCCGTTGAAGCCGTCGGTATCGACGTTCACAAATGCTCCATCCTGTGCAGCCACGGTAACCGTTACGCAAGCCCTCTTCACTCACATACGTCCCTTCGACAAGTTCAAAATTTCCGGGAGTCTCGAACGCGTTTGCGGGACGAAATTCGGATCAGAGGTTAGAACTCAACAATCGTATGTACCTTTCGTCTTTGACGAGGGCAATGGTGACCGGTAGGTATACCTTGTACTGTACACCGGTGTCACCGACGATAGAGATCTGCTTAGCTCATCAAGCAGCCAGACCTTGAAATGAGAACCCTTGTGTATTAACTGTAGGATACTTCTGGATAATAATATGCACAACAAAAAGAATCGTGATCACCACCTAATTCAGTGGGAGGGTGGGTAACGTAGAAATAGCATCCGTATATAGCATACATCTCAGGCTGATTTGCGAAGAATCCATCATCAAAAGTAACAGTGATATAAACCATTATTACTTGGCTATCTTTTGTATGGAAGTATTATAGCGAGTGTTTGTGTGGATTCATAAAATTGTCGATTAGTGGACTAATCAACTGCTACCGCTTAGATAATAATACCATCAGTAGTTATCAGCTGACTGTCAGAATATATATTACCCAAATAGGCAGGTGAAGGTCTGGACATGGGCCTGGGTATAATTCAGCACTCAAGTCTAGGCCTTTTTCTTTTCTTCCCTCGGGTATGATTCTGCGCGGTAATTATAAATGTAGTTATCCATTCAGATAGAAGTTGGACAAACACAATAGTAGGCTGCACCTTTTCATACAAGCCTATACGGTATATGCCATTATTTGTCAGCGTCTAGAAATGTAGCGATCAAAGCAAGAAGCAATTTGATACCAGGATGGAGATGATCTGTATTGGGCTTACATGAACATACTTTCTTCTCTTCTTTTTTCCCCCTTTCCCTTCCGGTTTCATTTAATCATACCACTTATTCTGTTGGTGAATGTCAATGCTTAAAGCAGTAATGCATTGTTATGAAGGATAAGCAATGAGATGATGGAGGAAGGATTCTCCAACTACGTACAAGGAATGGAATATCCATACCCAAGTCACGGGCATCCCATGTGACTAGAGATGGAACCTCCATGCTTTCTGTCAAAGGTCCTTCCCTCGTGGATGCCGCATTGTACCGCGACAGTGAATATTCTTGTCCCTTTTCTGAGCAGGTTGTAAAAGGACGAAAGGTTTTATAGGAGGTTACTATGTATAGCCTCTATCATATTTTCTTCTGGCTCGGTTTAAAAGTAGACAACGCTATCGTTTGTTCTCTTTTGGTAAAATATAACCTGGTGGCTGTCTATATATTAGCAGAATGTCACTAGTTAGTAAAGGAATAGATAGATATTAACATCTACTAAGATAATTATTTTATATAAAATTTTTTTTAAGTAGAATTAGAACTATAAATTACACCTTTTTTTTTTAAAAAAAATAAAGACCCTCTTCTAAACAGAGGCGTGGATATAATAATACTGCCTTTTAATACTGTATTGCATCGACCCTCAACTTTCAAAGGATCCTCCATATGGTACTTCGTCGATCGCAGTTTCTGAATGCTTTTCGAAGACTATGTGCCTTCTTGTCTTGAACGATTGACGTTTCCTGACTCGCTAGTCTGTTTGCTAAAACCTATTGTGGGCGAATCATCCGCTTGCGAGCTACGCACGTAGGAATGTTGATTTGTGTCGAGTCAGCTGCTGGTCGTCATGATAACGTTGATGACGGTGGAGAATTATTTTCCTTTTTTTTCTCCTCTCATTTTATTTTTGGCTGGAAATAATTCGAACTCGGTATGAGCTGGTCTTACGATGCCTACCCTCTCCTCACTGCCTCGAGAGCGAGAGAAAGCCTTTGATTGAACTGACTGGATGATGCATTGGTCTTCATTGACGCATGATGATGCCCTCTGCAGCTTGGCTTTGTCCACACCGCAACTGTTGACACGTTAGACCACGAGGAAGATACTTCTGCCAGGCTGGCCTCCTCCCAAGAAACTTTCCTTTTGTCCAGTCCTGCATGCGTTGGCTCTATTTCTCAATTGTCTACAGGCTCTGATGAAACTTCCACGTCATACATCATGTACTCTATGTGTACAATGCACTCACGCAGAAACTGACGTGGTCCGACATTTTTCAATAATTGCATGTAGCAGCGCCTGATACAATGAGGTATCTTTCGCATGCTCTGGCGTTGCCACATCGTGGCTAGGAGTAGTAGTAGAATATCCTTTCTTTCTTTCTTCTTTTTCTTTCGAGCACAGGCTCCTCTCACATACGATTGTGGTGTAGTGGCATGTGGAAAGGAGAACATTTAGGATAAGCTACTTCCAGGCGGGCTTCCCACTCATATTATATTCTTCGCTTTATTTCATATGGTTTTTATTATATACTTTTATTCCTAAATAGAAAAAAAAGGTGCTTTATAATAATCAGATTCATGTGGCGACAGTATGTTTTGCTCTTATTTGTCTGATATTAGACGGGCTGAGTAAAGACATCCAATACGTTCGAAACAATACTTTAAACCCGTTTTGAACGGTTGTAAACACCGCCAATATCCAATGACAACCACATAATTGTGACGATAGCAATCACAACGAGGGAACCAGGATTCTCATTACACTGTGAAATTAGAGCCCATGTCATGAAACCCCACGATGGCAGGGCTCACGGCCGAGAGGACGTGAAACTGGACGTGCAATTTTCGCGGGTTCTGGAACGACGCCCCACGCGTCAAGTTTGTTTCAGCAGCCGATTGTGGAGAGGGACCAGCTCCTTCATCAAAAGGATAGCACGAATCAGCTGTTTTATTATTACTTCGAGAGCCTCGATGGCTTCTGGAAGACGTGATTGCCGTTGCAACAGTCCAAACTTGAGGCGTCCGTTCGCAACCTGGAAGCTCCAGCAGGAGAGAATCAATGAGAGATAAAATAATCCAACGGCTTTAGCTGGGGACTCAGGCCCAGCCTAGCCGGGGAACCCTGGCGAGCTGCTATAGCGAGCCAGAGGAAATGAAGCTAGGAAGCGCGTCATTGTCGGCTCTGGGGCGTCAAGCAGCACGACTGCAACGGGCCGGTGATTGGCGCCTCTGCGAGTTAAATCTCCGATAGGCTGGCTCTGGGCGGGCTAGCAACGGCTCCAACCCGCCAAGATGCCTTGGGTCGTCAGTGATCACCGTGGCCGACGCACGCTAAATCCGCCTCGCCCTTGGTCGTGAACGCCTGGTCCACCCCAATCGCCTCAATTCTCTTTTCTTGTTCTTCCTCGAAGGTCCGCTTCCTTCACCGCTTCGACGCACCCGACGATGCGTTGTCCCTCACCATGGTCATGGTGGAAGACGTCTGTTCAGGGCTGTTTTCACAGTATTCCCGTGAGGTGGGCGTCTGGCATTCCTCTCATACGGAATACGTCCCTCGCAAAGATGGCCTCATCATTGGCAGTTCGTCTCAACAATTTCGTATTCAACTTTCCACACTGGCAATCATGGCGCAGACGGGACAGCATCTGGAGCGTGCGGAGCACCGAGCACCGTCCGTTCTAGAACTGATTGCCTGGTACCATTGCCCAACGTGCTTGGACTATGAAGTTGAGACCCGCATCCTATCCACCATCCATCCCCCCCGCCGGAGGAGCAAGTGACCGTTGCATGATTGAGGAATGTGGACGAGTATTCTGTGTCTTCAGATCGGGAGCGGGAATACGGAGTACAGAGTACGGAGTATGTAGGGTGCAGAGTACAGCGTAGCAGACCGTAGCAGCTCGAACCTCATCTCCATCGGTTTTGTGGAGAGGATCATGATTCATGGTAAGTCCTGAAACGAAAATGCCATTACGAGAAACTTTAATCTGCCCCCTTTAGGAGAAAGATGGAAACTACTCCATAATCAGATCCGGTCCATGGCCGGCAGTGAGCAACCCGTCAACTGCCATCTATGGAGTAGTAGGACCGCAGTCCCCAAACCCGATTCAGATTCAGCCAGCCTTAGGCTTTCAACCAAGCGATGCCGTGCAGGGCCAGGCTATACCGCTCAACATAGTACGTACAGTGCAACAACGCGTCAGAGAAGGTGACTCTTGCGCTTACCGCCACTCGATAAGTGACCTGTCCGTCGGCCCGAGCATGATGAGCATGCTGCATCGTGCACTCCTTGCGTCCGCGGAGGTCTGGCGGTGACTTCACCGCCTGCACGCACTGGAATTCGTCTGCAAGATACTCTTCGCTCCTTGCTCCTACTGGCTGATCGCGAACAACGCCTTCAAAAACAGGTAGTTGCTCCTTCAGATCTCGATTGCAGACGAGTCATGCTGACTAACGGTCCATGAGCTTCAAGGTTTCCCCTCCGCATTGTGGCTGCCACTGCGTATGGCAGGAAAAATCTTATTTTCTGATTATTGCCCTCGGGTCGAAACGCCTGCCAGGGCCGCCATTCAGCAATGGTCACGGAGAACACACGTTCGCGGTTTGAGGCTTGATGTTTTTAATGACCGATGCCAACAGTCAGGGTCCACCAGTCCCGCCATTCGAACGGCGGCAGCCGTCTCAGGGCTCTAGATTAGCAGGCGATCAACCGTTCATGATTCATCCGTCTCATCCTAGGGCCGGAGCATCCACTGCCTGGCTTGCACTGTCTCCTCGACTCCTCAGGGAGTCATGCCTTCCGTCCTCGCTGCCTTGGGATCCGTTTCGACCGTCTACAGCGGCCCAGGGCAAAACACGCGATCGCTGCAGGTTAGCAGCCAGACTACTCGGCTAAGCCACCACCATCAGCCCCACCCTATCCCGGTAATCTTGCTGGCTTGGATTGTCCTTCATCTTAATTTGCTGAGGCTCTTTCGCACACATTGTTTATCTTCCTTCGGGACGAACTCAGGTTGCAGTTCCAGCAACGTCTTCCGTACCCGAACTTTAATGACCGCAATTTCATGGCCAGGATCTGGAACGGTCGTCGAGTGGGCCGCCATCGCTGAAATCGGAATGTCTTCTTCAGAAAAATGGAAGAAAGAACGCACAGAACGAGAAGTCTGGAAGAGAGAAAAAAAAAGAAACGACGAAGAGAAAAAGAAGTATTGATGGCCAATGCGGGAGAAGTTATTGTTGATGCCTAGGAGCAATAACATTCAAGTTTAAAGCCCTGGATAGCCTCTGGACAGGGGTCTATCAGGTAAGGACATGGTAGATCACTGGCTCAGCATCACCGCCACCGCACAAATACGACGGCCAGAGGATGCAGACGCGGTCAGCAGCTGTGACCATGTGGGAAAGCTCAAGGCCAGGCACGGAAAAGCAACCCCACCGGTTGACTGGACTAATTGCTGCACTCCATGGACTTGCATCCGTAGGCAGATATCTATCTATCTATGTATGTATGTACATGTATTGCAGAATGATCGGCTTTCTAATTCGGAAATAGCTCCCTCCCACAGAAGAGAGACTTCGAGCCAACTGCTTTGTGCAGAAACAGCGTGGCAAAGTACTCGACTACGTCAGGTTTTCTATTTTCTGTTGCAATCTGTTTCTCCTGCACCGCCCTGGCGCAGCAGCTTGCTGATTGACAACACAGCAGTACACTGTACCCCCCATCCCCGACTTATCCAAGCTGGTCCACGCACGACATGTCAGAAGATTGGCTTCAGCACCCTGGCCGGGCTCGCCTTGCAAGTTTCAACGGCCAGCGCGTAACCCGAACAAGGATGGGTTCGCTCTGAAATTAGAAGCCATCCGGACCGGTCCGCCAATCGTAACTGAATGGATACCTAGCCAGCAGCCGTCAAATAATAGCATCAGATGCATAGGCCTTATGCCAGGCCCGTCTTGACCTGACAAGTGGACATGGCCACTGAGTCTCCAGTCAGTGGAGAGAGGCTGGAGCATGGCATGGCAGCTGGACGTTGACGAACTAACTCTCTCCCACACACCCTAAGCCTCATCCCGTCCGGGTCCCTTTAGTAGTGCCAACCATGCCAGAAACCAGAATCTGAGACACGTTCGATCCCAGATCCCGGCAAGGCAGGCTGTAACGGAGCTGACAGGGTGGCTGACCGTTGGAGGGTTTAATGAACCCTGTCCCTGTCCTGTGGAAAGACGTGCCGGGGGCGCAAGATAATAGGTTATGTAGTTCCTTTCCTGGAACACTGTTCAGCCAGTTATCTGCATGAAAAACAAAGTCTTTTTGACCATAATGCCAGCAGGTTCTGATGACATGGTCGTTCTTACTCCGTAAACGTACTCTGCCAATTTTCCGGGTGCTTTACGGAGCATTACTTTACAGAGTATTCCGTAATGGCGTACGGAAGTGTGGATTATGGAGTCGTCAGTCGTAAGGCTTTGTCTAGACGAGTTGAAGCGGTTCGTCATGCCGATGACAACTCCGTCCTCCGTCTTTTCGAAACCAGACCAGAAGATCAGTTCTCCACCTGTAGGGACGGTCCGACGCTCCGTAGGGGCAGGGGTGGTGGTGAACATGTTCCTTCCATGGAGGATTAGGAGGCTAGCTAACGTTAGTAGCTTAAGTTAAAATATTAATATTATTATTATTATCATCCCTGCCGCGATGGACCTTAAAAACTGCTTAACTGTATTGATTGACTCATCTGCGTATTTACCGACTGACTACTTACCATGATTGTAAGTTTAATCCCCTCCGTCAGTTTCAACCATGTTCCCAGCTCAATGGTCAATCGGCCTTACCCCCCTGGCCCCTGACCGTTGAGATGCCACAGGATCTCGAGACCCGTAATCCTAATCGTAATCCGTAATATTAATTCCCGACGTATGAGATGTCCAGATCCCGGATTGTCGCAGAGGCAAAGAAACGACAGTCGGTATATGGAACACCTTCTGATCCATCCATCATTGGTCCACAGCCCCTCTCCCTTGACCCTGGGACATATCCAACCCCAGTCCCGTCAAAATCGTCATCTCTTGCAAGAAATGAAGCTGCGTAGACCAGCTAGCCTCTTCTTTGGATTAGAAAGGCAGGGCTTTTGTGTGTGGGTTGCTGTTTCTGTGGTATGGAGAGTGACTTGTTGTGTCTCTGACCGCTCCGCTCCATAATAATCAATCAGATGTCCTGTCAGTCCTGACACAGTAAGTTAGCACCGTTAGGCTAGGTAGGTTAGGTAGATAGTTAGCGAATCCACCTAAGCTAAGATCCATAAGGTACATACATTAGGTTGACAGATGGATACTCCGTTAGGTACAGAGTACATATGGGGTACTTCCATTAGTTCGTGCCGCTTCGTGGTTGTCAGAGCAGAAAAACAAACACGATCTGGAACAAGCTCGGGTGGGTAATTAATTAGGTACCCAGGTAGTATTCTTATTATTAGCTATTTATTATCATTGCATGACAAGCTGGTTTTCTTTTTCCTTTTTCTCTTTTTCTTTCGTCAACTAAATCTTATTTTCTCTCTCGTCTCTAACGCTTTCTACACACCCCCCCCTCTAGCTTCCGCTGTCAGATCTATATAGCTTTGTTTCGACTCCGCCACAGACACTCGCTTTTGTGCCCAACCAAGAAGTCTAATCGGCTTGAAGTCCTGGTCAGCCACATTTAATTCACGCCCCAGACAGACGAGACTGCCCGATCTTGACGCACGTGTCTGACAGCCAGCTGGCGCATCGCCCTCGACCAAGCCCTAACCTGGTCGCATTTATCGCCTCTGCCTACCCTACGTACCTAACTTGGCAGCCTTGGATCTCAAGCCCTGGCTTGATACGATTGGCATCCCCAGAAATACCGAGTCGTCGGTCAGGTTAACGCAGTCTAAAGCCAACCCGCCGTCTGAGCCACCTTCCTTTCAGCCAGACCCGTCCACAGGGCTTATTGACTCGTGTCACCACAAAGGCATCGTCAGCCACTGTTAAATCGCCTGCAAATCTGCTTTATTGCGTCTGCATCCAATTTCTCTCGACAATTTCTGAGAATTTTTCTATTTGGTGTGCACAAGTATTCTGTGCGTTGTGCCTCGCAGTTTTGGTCCCATTGCAGAGCACCGCAGAACAAAACCCCAACCCCCTCTGAAGACGCGCATATGATCCTCATACATCCACCGCAAAATACAATATCCCCCGCCAAAGTGGATATCTCACTGCTTCTGAAGCGTGACGATGAGGAAGAAGCGCCATCGGTATCTGCTGCATCTTCTTCCAGGCCTTCTACGGCACCCGTCGTGACCACGGCCATGCCTGCAACAACAGCAGTCTCGGCTCCAGCACCCACGACAACCACATCTCTTGCTAAGCCTGCGCTCCCGGCGTCAGCCGGGACAAAACGCCTCCAACCCGCGCATTCCAACGAGCCACCGGCCAAAAAACAGTCAAAATGGTCCCCTGAGGAGGACGCGTTGATCATCGAACTGCGCGGAAGGGGGATGAAGTGGGAGGACATCAGCAAACGGTTGCCGGGGCGAAGCGCAATCAGTTGCCGTCTTCACTACCAGAACTATCTCGAGCGTCGGAGCGAATGGGACGAAGACCGAAAGAACAAGTTGGCTCGACTGTATGAAAGGTAAACTCCACGGAAATCTCTCACGCAGCGCATGATTCCCAAACTTGTCTTGCTGACGCCTGCGCATCTAGGTTCAAGGCTGAAATGTGGTCCAAAGTCGCCGAGGAAATGGCGATTCCATGGCGCGCCGCGGAAGCCATGCACTGGCAGTTGGGAGAGCAAGAGATGGCCCGCAGAGCCGGTGTTGTGCCGTTTTCCCTCTCCAGTGGATCGGGGGAGTCTGCATCCAAGGCTCGTCGAAGTAATACAGTGATGCCACGGCTCAGGAGGCCCTCAGTATCACAGCGACCGGCACCACCTCAGCTGCCGTCTGTTGAAGAACTCACTGCGGGGGTGCCAGCATATTCATCGCCACTCACACGGACGATGACACAGCCCATCGTCGACCCTTATCGGATGACAAGGCCTCCTCCGCCGCTGAACATCAGTCAACCTGGTGATCTGCCTGGCGCAGATCCGGGTTCATTAGCACGCACAAGGCCGTAAGGGAGGAGACCGGTCCCTAGAGCCCTCTTAATATTGCTTTTTCCTGTCTTTTCTTTTCTTTTGTCTTGCATAGCGCGGTGGGAGGTAGACAGTCATGATTGTGCGAGAAAAGTTTGCGAGAATCGCCTGGTTGCAGATGGAGTCATGGTCACGTCTCTCACGATTTGATACCTGTTTGCACACACAACTTTACGATGTTTGTAATGACCGGCGGTGAAGGGTTTGATTTTTCGAAGCAACCACTCCGCTATTACTTCTTGTTGTCTTTGTTGTCTGGCGCTCGCACAGCAACAGCCCACCAGTTGTCTTTTTCATACCCCGATTCCAGGATCAGGCCGCCTGCGTTGCGGATGTCTTTTTCGAGCTCATTTTCTTCATAGAGATGGTAATAGCGATGAAATGTTTTTGTGGTTTGGCGATCATCTGTTCCTTTCCCAGCAGTAGCAGAAGTAGAATTATTGCTTCTCATGACCCACGGGACCATCACGTCCTGCTGGTCGCCTTTGTCCCAGCCTCTGCGACTGGTCTTTTGCTCGAGCGCCCACACGTAGATCAAAGCCTTGCCACCTTGGCTCGTTTCGGTGGGAGGCTTCAATGTCTGGAGAATTTCGCGTATAGCGCGGACTCTCCTGTCCGGGGTCGAGAGATGGTGGACCACTGCAATGGAAATGGCAAAGTCGAAAAGCGAAGGGGGATGCGGTAGATTCAATATATCAGCCACGATGGTTGAATGCGGCTGATGCTTTACAGCGATCCGTGCCAGAGCCTCCGACCTGCCATTGAAGAATCAGAACATGCGTATATAAATACATGTTACTATTTTCCTTGCCCATTACATGGAATATTCGAATATACCATGTGGCCTCTCCCCCAAAAAAAGTGATATGTATTCCGACCAAAGTACATACAGCCGGAATGAGCCACTTACCTGTCGGACGCGACGATGAAGATGTTAGGATTTACAGGCAGATATTTGCCATTACCGCAGCCAACATCTAGCCCAACGGAGCCTGGTTCCTGATTCTGGAGAAAACGCTCCACGATCGGCCAGGGCTATGTATGATGTGTTTGTTCAGTCTCAGTATGGATCCATAAATCAAGAAAAAAAAACTAGGGATATGGATATATGTGTATATACCTTGTACCGTGTCGAGGAAAAGTGCTCGGCGATCTGCTGGTACACCTCATGCACGTGTTTTTCCTCATATGCCTCTGAGGGGTCCTTGGAGCTCTCCTTCAAATCAGGTGATGTCTGGTCAGCCGGTTCCATGTATGTAGCCTGCAATGATTTCTTTTTTGCTATTATTATTATTCTTATTTGTTGGATGGTTGGATTTTTGCGACAGTATTTAATGATGATGATGGACAGACATTGGCTGCACGGCTTGCTCCTCTCTGGTTTGCTGCCGGGAGTGAGCGAGGACAATTCCGGATGACTAAGCGTCTTTCTGCCGCGCCATCTCGCCTATTGGGCAACAAAACTATCAAAAAGAGCCTTCAGCAGCAAGGTTGTTGTTGTGCCCAAGTCTATGACTGGGTGAGAGAGACGTTGCGAGAAGGCGACGATCTATCATTTTGTACTGTACATATCAGTGATTTTTGCCGGAACGAGATCGTGCCATCTCTGTGGTCAGATCGTACATACATACATACATTACTACTACCACTATTACTAATGTAAGTACCGTCTCGTCCAGTCTTCATTCCGAGGAGCTTTGTATGATGTACTGTACATCTTGTTTGAGAAATTTGATTGTTCGATTGTTCTTATCATTCTCTGTTCTTCCAATCGTCAGTTGTTTGATTGAATTTTTTTTGACATTTTCTGCTCTTGACTTGTGCAGTTACTCTTTGTTATTTCGTATATATCAAGTTTATCTGCACCGCTCTCGAATATTATCTAATATTTCCACTTGAGAGTCAATCATGTCCTTCCAACCAACACCAACGGACGTCTCCGTCATTATCTCCACGGCCTCATCTGGCCCTGGGACAGAGAGCGGTCCTTCAATCGCGACCGAGCGTCGTGTCACGCCGTCATGGACCGTGTCACAGTTGAAAGGCAAATTGGAGACGATGACTGGTATTCCTCCGGGGAACCAGAAATTGTTATTGAAGTCCCCGGGGAAACAGGACCAATGGATTGAAGGTGACGAGAGGCTTGTTGGAGAGTGGGGTTTGACGAGGGGTTGTGAAATAGAGGTATGTTATTGCCCATCAGTATACTATCCCTTGTCTTTCCAATTTCGTAGTTTTAATTTTTCACATATTGCTGTGGCCTTATCTTGTCTACGAATGATTGCATAATTGGGTATCTTTCGCTCTCATCTTTTGCTTGTTTCATTATTGCTGCTTATTCATCTCTTATGACTTCCCCCAATCGAAATGAATTGCCTTCCCAAGATCAAGTTCTCTCCGTCTCTACTGGACGAAATAAGATACTCTGGCAAAGTCAGCTGACCAGCTAGGTTCATGATACACGCCCGCCGTCTGCAAGGCCAAACTTCTCCGACCTCTCCTCGGTGGAGAAGTATGAGCTTCCAACAGAGACCTATGAGGCCCTGCCTAATTCCGTTCTCGCCTGGAAAAAGGCCAATAAACTCGGTCGTTTCGACCCCAATGCCCAGACGCCGGAACAGCTGATGCAAGCACAGGCGGCCAAGGATCAGGAAGAGGTCCAAAAGAGAGGTGAGAAATGAAAATGACTGCAGTAGCTACTTAAAGCCAGACGTTAATACATCGTTAGGCATAACTGTATCCGCACGTGCTATTATTCTACCATCGTCACCGCCACACGTACGCCGCGGAACCATCCGCTACGTTGGACCGGTTCCTGAGATTCCCTTTCCGGGGTTGAAGGGAAAGGTTGATAATCAAGAAGGTCCACTCCCGATCTGGGTAGGCATCGAGCTCGATGAGCCCACGGGCAAAAATGACGGCAGCATTGGTGGTAAACGTTACTTTGAATGCCTCGACAAAAGAGGCGTCTTTGTGAAGCCGGACAAGGTGGAAGTGGGCGACTTTCCTCCACTGGATCTGGATGATGAATTAAATGACGCCATGGAGGAGATATAGAAGTAAGACGAGTGACGTTAGTGTTGTCTAAGAACCTCTAGACGGGTGATACCAAGGACGACCAGTTCCAACCCAGTTGATTGACAAGCTAAGATCTAGCTGGGACGAATGTGAATGGCATCCAACTGACTAAGTTATCATTGTATATTTTTAATGTGATTAACAAACGATGGTATCTTGTAGCAGCAATGCATCTATATCCAAACTTGAAGCATATGCACCATCTAAGTACAGGATTATGTATCGGTCATCGGTCATAAACATTAAGTGTATATATAATGTAAGGAAGGATGGACCTCTGGTTCCATGTGCAAGAAAAATTCAATAGTAGACATTAAATCAACGCCCGTCGACGCCGTGCAAGATGAATGGTATCTCTCGGGATGCTTTGAGAAAAAAAGCAAGCATGGCATGTAACGATGATCGATCATATGAGGATTTCGAATGTTCGTTCTCTCTCTCTCTTGATTCAGGACTTCTCACGACGCGCCATCCTGCATCGTGATCGGAACAGTAAAGTTGGTCGTTCCGGCCGTGATGTTGGCATTGCCGTATTCCTCGGAGAAGCCGCCGAAGTTGTCCACGGTCCACCGGTGCCTGACCTGGAGGTTCCAGACCGGGTAAGAGCGCGGGATCAGGTTCGCGCTGACCGTCTTGTCGGCGCAGGGCTGGTAGTCGCCCGCGACATCGGTGCCCTGGCAGGTGGTGTTGAAGCCCGGCGTGTTGGGCCCGGCGCGGCCCGAAATCACGAAGCTGTATGCGCAGCCGCCGGGCGAGCAGCCGACTTCGAAGTTCGTCACTTGCCAGGGAGCTTTGCCTGCTGCCCCGTAGAGGTGGTAGACGCTACGAGCATCTGCGAGAGGAGCGATGGAGGCGGCGAGGCCGGCGAGGAGAAGATCCAGGCGCATGTTGTCTGTTGTTGTTTCTTCTTTTTTTTTTAAGTTCAAGTGTCGAGTCTTGTTGACCGGCAGTGATATGGTTTTGGATGTGGAATTGAGTGGTTTGTTCAGCAAGAGCTCTTCTTGAGAAGGAGGTAGTGATAGTGATATAAATACAAAAACAAGAAGCACAGCACATAGGGGAGAGGTTGACTTTTTAAGTAATACATTATCCAATGCTAGAAGGATCCCCTAGTTCTACAGTACAGGACTACTTCGCCAGCAGCAGCTAGCTAGCCTACAGGAAGGCTGGCTGTCAGAGGAACGCGAAACGGCGTCGCCAAGCACTCGCGTAGTGGCCGACTCCTGAATCCTCGCCAATAGACAAGGCCGGATCTTCGATACTAACAATAGAACCATGCAACCGCATGATGTAATTGGAGTAGATCGTCATTTCGATAAAACCAAGCCACTCCGTCTGTGCCACTGCCACTCGTGCCCGACAGCCAGACAAATCCTATTTGCAGGAATTGACAGGCGTGGAGTGAAACAGATACCGGTACCTACAAAGTTCAAAAAAAAAAAATAACTCCTGTACGTAGTAGAAGTACAGTAGTATCTATAATATGCAACTCTGACCAAGACACGTTGTTAACAGCTGAGAAGTTGGATCAGGCGACCAGATATACGTAAATAGCTAAACTAAATATAACAATCAGCACGATAATTTGACATGTTCCACAGGAGAACAAACGGATGTACAGAGTACTCGGGAACACGTGTTAGGGTAACGTGACACCCAAAGACCCCCAAGAACGGCCCCAAGCACAGTGACTCCTTCCTAAGTGAACAACAACATCCAAGCGAGGCTCGAGCTCACTCCACAAGAGAAAAAAATAACTCACAAGCGCTGATCTTCCCCGAACCAGGTCCAACTATTATCTAACCTGCAGCAGTCCCACATGGATGGATACTGGACAGGTCGACAGGACACAACTTTCCAATTCTACCAGATGACAGATGTGATATAAATATAGTATGCTATATATCTGGTCACCTGGATGCTTTCCAGCTTCGTTCAGGGTTGCATTCACGTTGTGACTTCCAAGTCTCTATATATAACTTGAGACTATCGAACATGGCGTGGACTATTGTCTCGGCTCTGGATTTGGGAGGTGAATCCTTGATACCATCCAGACGTATCTTTTCCAAACTCAGTTATTCATCGACAATACGAAGGCTCTGAAAAAATCCAGGACATCTTACCCAAGGATAAGCTGTTCTGTTTAAACCAAATTGAAGATTGGCTAAGACCACAAACTAACATGCGAAGGTCAATAAGATGACACCGACTATCCCGACGTATGAGAATATATCCAACGCTGATCGATAACACTACCGTAATACAGGAGATACCTGTCGTTTAAGACATAAAGGCAAGTTTGGTGAGCTCGGGGAATGCCAGTCTTCGAGTATCATCCAACAAGCAGAACCTTGAGACGCCAAGATTCCACCCCAACCCATCGGAAAGAAAGAAACCAAGAAACTCCGTCATCAAGTGCTCCTGAAAAAGCCGGCTAAATATGCGCAATAATATTAAACAGATTCAAAGGCGTCGCAAACAACAGGATTATAGTAAAACTCATTCGATAGGCATGAAGTGAAAGGAACAATATCTATCCCCCTTTTTATCGCTTGTTCTCAGAGGCCTTGGATTTGCCTCGCCCCTTGCCTTTCGTCTGAGACTTTTCGGCAGAGGATTCCTGTTCAGAAGCAGCAGGTTTGGAGGCCGTACTCGCAGAATTATCGGCCTTTTCCGCCTTTTCTGCCTCAGTTGGAACACACCCCTGCGTGAAGAACAATCGTGCATCGCTTTGATAGGCATTCGCAAAACTATAGTAATTTCCTGTGATTGAGATTTGTGTTAGTGTCTCCTCCTCTGGATATTTCAGTAGATCGGAAGGGTATATTACCTCTGGGAACCTGGAAGACACATCCTTTCCCGGCGCTGAATTGGACACCTGATATATCGACCTGCACTCGGCCGTGGCAGACATAAAAGACCATGTGCATTCGCTTGGAATTCTTCGGCTTCTTGACCCCGCCAGGGGGAATTTCGACAATCCCCGATCCGATGAAAGGAGAACTGAGCAGCTTTGCAAAGCGGAAAGTCGAGTCCTTAACATCTCGGGTTTCAATGCCTGCTGGGGCATAGGCAATGTCTACACTTTCATGTCAGTGTTGCAAGGGCAGACTATGTCTTGAGGGAACGTACCCAGCACTTCCTCCTCATCTGTAGCCGTCTGAGTCTCCGGATTCCATTTCCTGATGTACCCGTGGAGGACTCCACCTTCGGTTTCCCAGGGGTCCGCGTGGTCTTCCTCCTCATCCTCCGATTCGTCATCTTTGCTTCTCCTTGTTTTCGACTTTTTACTAGACGTTTTACGTTTCCCTGTCCTCCTCTTCTCAGGCGGCAGCTCTTCCGTTCGGATGATTTCCTTGATGGTGGATAGAGGAAATCGCTCTCCAACTTCTGCCTCGCCGTCGCCATAGACACATCGCTCATTGCGCCAATATGCCAGAGGTCTCACTGATACTCTTCCAGACCGGGTGTGCACCACTTTTTCATCCGATGGCGTTTCACGTTTGAGAATGTATAAGCTGCGACCTTTGAGAGGACCCGTACGTTTGGCATAATTCTCAACAACTTTTTCCAATTCCGGATTCAACTGTGTCGTCGAATTCCCGGTATCAGCTCTAGAGGACTTCGCTTTCTTCGAAGGTCGTCGGTCAAGTGGCTCCTCGTCTACATTAGCCTGTGCTTGCGCTTTCGGAGGCCGTCCCGGACGCTTCCGCTTTGGCGCATTGTTTTGCGTGTCATCGGCGACTTTCTGTGAGGCACGCTTCCCATCGACATCTGCAGCAGACTTCTTTTGGTGAGATTTTCGTGTATCAGCTGCTACAACTGATGGTGATGCTTCCTCTGAAGCATCTTGAGCCCCAACGTCTTCCGTGCGGGTAGTATATTCGGCTGTATCGTCGCCATATTGATCTCCATTCTCACCAGCAGTCAAATCGTCATGTGTTTGATCGCCTAGATTTTCGTCTCCGTACACCAGATTGTTTTCATTGTCTGAAAAGTCTGCGGTAGCTTCTGGTTCAACTGCCGACTCCTTTTCTTTACCCTTGCCTCGTACACCATTCGTGACGGGAGCTGTGTTCGGTCGACGGTCGTTCAGAGGACGGCGATCAGATCGCGTGGATTCCTTGTTGTTCCGCTGGCGCACAGAGGACGGACTGGGGGAAGTTTGATCACTCTGAACCACTGGTGACGATCGCACGCCTGGTGTTCTTCGAGGTGAACCGGTGAGGCCGGTTTTCATAGGTGATCGCGCGACAGGAGGAGGAAAATATGACCCCCGCTGACCATTGGACCGAGAAAGGAAATCGGCAGGTCCAGGAGCGTTTCCTAGAACTCATGATTTGTATGAGCACAGTGCGATTCTGATAAAACACAACGCAACACAAACGTGTAGGATATCGCTAGAAACCGGTCGGCGCAAGACGTACCTTCATCCATGGACATGCCCTCGGAACCCATTATCGTCTCGTTGCCATTGTTGAAACCGTTAGGCCTGACAGGGGATTTCTCCGGCGATGAAAACATCCCATCTATCTCTTCCATCCCGTGCTCATCGCGTTTGCCCTCTTTCAGCGTAATACCGGTACGCCTGAACCCCGTTGTCAGCGTCCGCGCAAATTCTGGATAAGGAGAAAATCCCCATCCCAATTCGATATCCACAGAAAAAGAAAAGTATACTCACCTACCGGCCTTGCCAACGTTAGAATAGTCATATTCGCGAGCTTTTACAGGCCCCCGAGGAGCCATGGCCAAATTCGAAAACCTAGATGTGTGGCAACAACAGGACAACAGCTGCAAGCGACAATCCGACTTGGGTATAGGATGCGCGGTATAGACGACTTCGGCAATGCTAACAACAGGCTTGAAATGAGGGTGAAGAGGGATGCCTGAAATGCCTGCTGGAGGACTTGTGTGTGAGGGGAGATGCTAAACTGCAGGTGGTCGGCCAGTATACATCCGGCCCATGCGGCGGAGACGCGCCCACGCCCGCAAGAGCTGCGCTAGACCCGAAAAGTGCCGACGCGTCGAATGCCGCTGCTATCCTCGCTCAGTTATGCGGATTACTCCTTGTACGCCCCGTGTCCAAATCAATTGGTATTCTAAAACTCATATTTATTTTCATACATGCGAGGAAAAGAATCATGGAAGAGGATATCCTACAGGAGTCGCCCGAAACTCCCGATCAGACTCCAGGCGACGTCTTCATACCGCCTTCGATAGATCCGCCGCGCCTGCTCTCCGGAGACTCCTACACCCACTATTCCCCTTGTCCGAGTACACTGAAGCTGGCTAGCACATCGACCTCCCTGTCTGATGAAGCTGCTGATTCAACACCATGTGTTTTGGGCGTTGATGAGGCTGGGCGCGGTCCCGTTCTGGGGCCCATGGTCTACAGTGCCTTTTACCTCCCCAAAGACTTAGAACATTCGCTCCTTACTCGTGATCATAGTTTCAACGACAGCAAAGCCCTCACGCCCGGTGTGCGCTCGAATCTGATGCGTCTCCTATGCACAAGTGACCATCCGCTTCACAATTCCTGCGGGTGGGCAGTCAAGGTTCTTTCTGCCCGTGATATTTCTTCCGGCATGATGCGTCCTGGCGTAGGGGCTTACAACTTGAACGCGCAAGCGATGGATGCTACAATTGAGATCATCCGTGGCATTATAGAAGAGAGACATGTTGATGTGAGAGAGGTCTATATAGACACAGTCGGAAATCCGGCATCCTATCAGCAGAAGCTGGAGCGGATCTTCCCGTCTCTAAAGATCACTGTCGCGAAGAAGGCTGACGCACTATATCCATGTGTCAGTGCAGCCAGTGTTGTCGCGAAGGTGACTAGAGATGCTGCGCTAGATGTATGCTACGAGGCTCTTCAGCGAGATCGACAGGAGGCCTCGCAAGAAACGCAAACACCAGCTGACGGCTGGGGCAGCGGATATCCGTCTGACTCCAAGTGTGTTGGCTGGCTGCGGAGAGAGATGCATTCCATATTTGGTTGGGGCAATGAATGCCGATTTAGCTGGGGTACTGCAAAAGAGATGCTGGAGGGAAAGGAAGCGACAAAGGTGGAATGGCCTGCAGACGACGACGACACGACGCGACTCACAGATTTCGTTTTGAGCCATGGTTCTAACGAGACTGGGAAAAATGATGAATTGTGTAATTGGTATGGAAACAAGGTGGGAACCGCTTTTTGAGGAATTAGGAAAAAGTACTATGCATTAGTTTGGTGAAATGTACGATAACGAGTGATACCCATAACTCCAATTTCCAATTCCGATTTGCCTTCTTCCGACCTCTCAAACCCTGCAGTATTTCCAAGCAGCCTGTTCAACTGATAAAACATATCCCGGTAACTCCATAGTTATACATGCGAACTGTCTAGCAGTCCACGCAGCAGGATCACATTGTGCTTTCCAAGAAACAGTAGGAAACTTTCATCAAAGAGTGGCGGTCGGGAAATAGTAGTTGTCCCAGAGATACTCGTAATCTTCAAGTAATCCTCCCACGATATCTAATAGAGGTTTGCCCTTCATCTTCTCTGCGGCGCCTTTGATCCACAATCTATTATGTGTCAGTTTCCGCAAGTTCACAAACAGCAACGGTGTAGATCGACATACTTTGTGATGTTTTCGTAGAAGGCACCCCTCATCAGCCACCATCCCATTGCCCAGCCTCGCTTCCGAAGCTCTTCTCTCTCCAGACCCGTGAGCCCGCGCAGCCCTCCGGCGACTCGTTCCTTGAAGTCCTTCTTGGCGAGTTGCCGGCTTCCGTACTCCAGGGCAAAGCCGATCAGCCAAGGACTCCAGCTTCGCTTGTTTCCGGACCACTTTTGCATTGCGAGAGCATATACAACAGGGCGGAGTATATACAGTATTTCCGCAAGTTGGCCCTGCCCAGTAACGCGATGTAACAACGCCTTTGGAGGTTTGACGTCGTCTGCTGTCAGGACTTTGGAGATGAGATAATTGGAAATGTCGCTTGCGTCAGGAAGACTCGGAAGTGAAAGACCCGTCCGAGGCATCGTCCAGCTTAACTCAGAAGACCCTTCGCTTGGTGGCGTATCCATCCCATTCCAATCACCAGTATCCTGGTCTGCTTCCGCTGCCCTTGGGTCTTCCTCGCGTTCGGGAAGTGGAGGACTGACAAGGGGTCTTGAGTTGGTCAATCGGAGTAGCATCAAGCGGCAGAGGGCCTTGACGATTTCGATGATAACAACGACCCGCCAGCGGACTTTCTCTCCACGCCGTCGCGCAATCATCTCCCAGAGCAACTCAGTATACTGAATCATCTGCAGAGTGAGCGCGACCTTGTGGTAGAGAGGAGAACGAGACGTCCAGTACTTCGTATAGCGGGCATGCGGAGTTGGGTTAGGACGAGGTACAGATGGTGGAAGTCGAGCGATGGCCCGCGAAACAAGCGAGTCATGATACAGAGAGAGAAGTTGCACTCCAGAATGGACTGCACGGCATATCAGCGCGCTAATCTTTTGCGACGTCTGGGACTCACAATCTTACCGCATTCTGAAGGAAGGTCGGTTTCGCGATAACGGCCTGGAGAGTAACATACATCAGTTTCAAGGCCGAGACGAGCGGGGAAACCAGAATACCCACCAGTGAGGATATATGTCAAGGATCTCAGAGCAGATTCTATCTGGCCCACAGTATTGACATTTTTCGTGACCAGATCCTCGTAAGATGCCAACCACTTCGATGGTTGCAGCAACGCCGCATTTATCTGTTTGAGGGCGTGCCGATGCGACTCCATTTTAAAAGGGCAGTGCCGTGCATAACATAAGTGAAAAGATAAATGACGACACTGGCCAGGCGCAAAGCATAGAGACAAAGAAAAAACTCAGGAGTCGAGCACTCCTGATGCTGGTTGTAGTCCAGGCTCAGGATGCTGCAGCGACTCCGCGACAGGGGCAAGAAGCGAATGACATGCCGATGCGGCACGTGTCCCGCATCCAGCTGCGTTGCCGAGGTACGTGTACCGCTGATGCGATGCTGAACAGACATTACCCAGATGGGTTGTAATTTTTACATATTCAGTCAAGCAACTGTCCTGTCCCTTGCGCTGTACTTACTATAGTGAAAGCAGCATGGCCAACCCGCGTTGACTATCGCTACCTGTGTCTATGATCCACCAAGGGGTGGGTATACTACTAACCTAGTCGATTTATATACGGAGTAATTGACTCATTATCTTTGTCAAGACTGACTACTTCTATTCCTGGAAATTATGCAAGCAGTCCCTTGTCACGCCAGCTGAAGTCTCCATGACAAAGGCGACCGACTCCAATAGGATGGCTCTGTCCAAGGGGACCTGGCTTTAAATAGGATTGAGATAATGCTTGTCTTTGCCATATGCAAGTGATGACATGCAGGTGTTGGATTCCTTACTTCGTAGGGCTGCAGAACTCGTGGCGTCCATGTCCCTATTTGGAGTGAGGTTTCATAAAAGATGGTATAATTTATGATACCAATATAGTCAAAAAGATGCTTTACACATGATCTCAGACATCGATATCCATTCATCCTCTTGACTTCCAATTGCTCAAGATAACGAAACAGCAGACTCACTCGCCCTTCGAACAAAACAGAGAACATGGACCACCTTCACCGAACTCCTGTGAGACCTCTCTCCTTTTACAACCCGTTTGAAAAGGTCGACGAGACAAAGAAATGTCCCGCCCCAAATTTAGGACCGATCCTTTCTTGTTCTCTTCTTCTTTCTTCCCACTTGAAAAAGAGGTGTTCTTTATGTTCTTTTCACAGAAGAGTGTTCGTCAGATTTGACTGGGATGTTGAAATCAAGCATTGGAGGACGATGAGCATCCAGTCAAGGAACCTTTTCCCTGCTATGAATAGAAGTCATGAGAAAGAATAACGAAGCACAAAGAAACGCCACACAAGCATTGCTGCTCCAGGATGGACATAAATGTCTCATTTTCTCCATGAAGAGAGCGAGCAACGATGGGACGGCCCTCAAGCTACATGTCCTCAACGGATCTATTGGATCGACAACAGCCTTTGTTTGAGCGTCTCCAATTTTCGCTTTATAGCACCTGGATTGAAGCGTAGAAATGTCTTCAGGGACGGCTGACCCATACCTCCAGGTAAGGAGAAATATACATGCTCTTACTCCGAGGAGATTGTTCCAGGGAGACTAGGAAGTCACTTTAATAGAGTACTAATTGCAGCAGAGCGCAATCGAGACCGAGTGGAAGGATTCATCGACCAGAAACACATTCCCGAAAGGACTACAGAATAATGCTGAAGAGGCTTGCTACCGAAATGCGGCCTTGGTGTTATTCTTCCATACGCCTTGCCTGTTGAACTGGGCAGCAGACTTTGTTGCAAACTTCTGCGATCCCGACCCATCCCATCAAGATATACCATGCGTAATCTGCCTGTTTCATCGACTAGCAGAGATCTTTTGGTCCCCTGACGCCGATGTTAGACAAGACGATGCAGCCTTTAGGGGTTACGTGGGGATGCTTTGGGATTTCACGGCGCCAGGGGACTGGCAGGAAGGTGAGCAGCAGGATGTACGAGAATACATGGAGTGCGTGCTGCAAAGCTTTCAGCAGGAGGCGACACGTAGGTAAGAGATCTTCCAAATATTCTCTTGATAGGAATGGGGACTAGTTGATCAGCGACTCATTATCATCAGAGGTGGCAAACCTATCCTCCCTGTGTTTACTTCGGTAGTGGAGAGACATTACGCCTGTGAAGCCTGTCAATCGGTCGAGTCTTCTTCCAAGCCGGATGACTTACTGTTCCTGGGCGGGCAAGTCTCTGACGATGGAGTCAACAACAAGGAGAGGAAGAAACGGGGCATTCCCATGTGCCCGATGGACACTGTTATCAACAGCTACATGCGGCCGCAGCAGCTTTCTGGAAAGCCATGCCGCAATTGCAAAAAGGACAAAGACATGTTCGAGTGGTCTCCAATTCTTGAGACACCAGACATTCTTTTCATCAACGTCAACAGACATGGTGTCAATGGCAAAGTGACGACGCCTATTAAAATCCAAATGGGTATCGACATAGAGTCTTGGTACGGGAAAGCGTCTGGAGGTAACGGCCCGAATCAATGTACTTCCTATGAACTGTACGGTGTTTTATTCCACATCGGAGACAGCGATAGTGGGCATTACGTTGCTGTTGTCAAGGGACCGGTTGGCGGATGGATGTTATTCGATGACGAAAGTCGGCAGCACATTTCCGAGGAAGGGATTGAGGAGCTACAAGACGAACTTACGACATCTTATATTTTCGCATATAGAAAGACAAGTCAGCATACACTCCAAAAAGAGCCAGTGCCATTGGACAACCTGGCGCCAGCATATGAACAGGCGTCTGGATACGAGCTGGCATCGGGATATGAGCAGTATCATCGCCAAGGAGAATTGCAATCTTCAGGTGAAAATGCGCAAGATCCTGTGGGATCAGTCAATGGAACACCAGTCTGGCTCGAAGGTACGATCAAGATCAATGAGAGAGATCTTGAAGGTCGCATTAGGCAACAACTTCCTCTACGTTCCGAATTCGGCCCTCTTGTGAAGCAGGTGAGGACTAGGTCCAAAGCCCAGCCAGTCGTGCTCTTGATCACACTCCGTGAGGGTGATTCCGACGTCGTTCTCGAGGGAACTCTCAAAGGGAACGTGAAGCCAAAAGAAAAGGTCGTTCAAGAACAAGACACAACTTCGAAGAAACCAGGGAGGAAGACACGACAAACCGCGTCAGGAACCAGTCAATCAGCAACATCGAAGAAGAGGAAAAAGACCCCCGAGCAACCCGAAAGTAGAGATGAGTCACAAGAAACCAGGCAAGCAACCGAGAAATCAATATCTAGGAGTAAACCAGCTGCCTCTAGGAAGAGGAAGAGGGACCCTGAACAACAAGAAACCGGAGATCAAGCGTCAACTGCGGCAAAAAGGGCCAAGACAACATCTCGGGGAAGATCACGACAGCGAGGCCGGACAACAGCGAGAAACAGAAATTGAGATAACAGGCATGCTTACTGATGTTTTGTGCAGAATCAATCTGGAAGAGGAAGTGCTTAAAATGTCAGTTATACAGTTAGTGAGAAATCTAATTCAACTATGCCGTAGAGAGTAGTATATGGTTGACGGGGATCTTTATTTTATTTGCAGATTGGCGGATTTCTTCCCGCCTAATGGAGAAGCCATTCATCAACCAATAACCCTTTGCATCCATTCAAGCATTCAACTCCCAACGATGACCAATTAATCAAAGGATGAAACCGGATTAAACTACAACATTCAAAACATTTCAAACGCATATGATAGTATCCATACTGAGATGGACACTGATGATGCACGTCCTCCTTTAATACCGTGCACTTCCCGTTTCTTGACCAGTCTGATAACCCAGTTGGCGTCTTTCGAGAACCCAACAACAAAGGATGGACCTGCCCATCATACGGGAGCTCTGCTTTCTCGGAATCAAGAGCACGAGAGGGCGAAGAATACACTGTCAAGACTTCCTGCATCTGATTTATCAAGAGTGAAGTCTCTCATGCTCACTCTTCACTGCCTCTTTCCCAATGAGCTGTTACTCGCTCTCGATATCTTGGACCGGCGACTCGTGAAACGGTTCATTGTCAGAGAGGAATTGGAGCTTGCTAGTGCTGCTGGTACAGTAGAAGAAGAAGAAGAGCGAGAAGCTTCACCGCGTGGAAACGCACAACAGATTAATTCGGCATTCTCGCCTGGACAAGCCGACGAAGAAGAAATCTACTTTGTTCGCTCTATGTTCCAACCGTCGACGCGAGGAGGGCCTCCAAAGACCTATGAAGTCCGTCTTCGTTCGTGGAATTGCACTTGCCCTGCATTTGCGCTCTCCGCATTTCGAGATCTCGAGACCCATGTCGCAGAAGCGGCCTCACCATCAGCGAGGGAGGAAGACACTGCGTCCTATCTACTACCAAACGATGAAACGTGTTGGTTCGGAGGCACATTGACTCGTGACCCTTCGAGATCTTCCCCGCCGGTATGTAAGCACCTTCTAGCCTGCGTGTTGGGGGCGCGTTGCCCTTCTCTCTTTGGGAATGGGATAGAAGAAACGTCCATCGTTACACCGACGGAACTAGCAGGATGGTGTGCTGGGTGGGCTGGATGATTGCAATCCTACCTGAGCGTTTGAAAGGCCTACGTTTGAAAAGTAAACACGTATTTGTCTCAACCACCCACTTGCTTGTTTGACGGTATCGAATTCCCTTTGGTTGAGGCTTTCCCTTGCTTCAAAATGAAGGAAAGCGTTTCGAAACAGGCAACGTACCATCGAGCCAGGACCTGGAAATTCTGGCACACGGGCAAGTCCTTATATCCACACCTTCCACAGATGTATTGTTCAGAGAAATTCCTGCACATGCATGTTCAATAAAAGGTCCCTGGGGAGGACTCAGTGAGAGAAAACGAGCCCTCCTTTCGCACAAAAAAGATCGGTGATTTTCGACCAAGTGCCGATAGCCATGAATCTTTATGGGGATATTTTTTGACAAGAATGAACAGATTCTTTAGACTATCAATTGAGAAAAGTATGCATGCATGCAGACAGATAGAAGGCGCCGTCAGACGCCAAGTCATGGACGGACTGTGTATATACAACTACTCCATACAATATCATTGCATCAACTACTAGAATTATTAATAGGTCGATATACAGGGAAAAGCATTCATCCTCTTTCCGTTGGACACTTTTTAAATTCTAGCATATGTCGTTTACGAATTAGGATAAATAAATTAGTCCCATGTTGCCAATACCTAGATGATCATTGTTTTGAAAGGACGAACATCGTCTCCCCAAGATTTTTTTTGTATAGAATTACATTTCTGTAATAAGCATGCCCCTCTCTAGACGGTGCTCAGATCGATTATCATGTCTATCTATCGTCCATCATGATCCCTTTTTCTTGCTCTTCTCTTTGTTGCTATCTTTCTCTTCCTTCTGCTCGCCATTGGCGGTGCCATTCTGTTTCTTGCCCTCTTTATCACTCTTGGCAGCTTCTTCCTCTTTCTTCCCTTCCTTCTCTTCCTGCTGCTGGCGGTTCTGAATTTTGTTCTCAATCAAGTCATGGAATGCCGTGATCGCACGGATCAGACTGCTGAGATAGATGGCCATGAGTTGGTCATTCGTCTTGACACTCATCGCCCGGACTAGCTCGCTGTTCTCGATGGATGACTCCCCACCGTTCGCTGACGGAGTTGACAAATTCGGAAGGAGGTTGAAGACATCCTGAAGGTTCCCCAGAATGGCATGGTTGATGGGTAGCTCGTGGTCGATGACCTTCTGGAGGTACTGGCCGATGTCTCGCAATCGGAGATGGAGACCTTGTAATGACTGAAGTTGGGAGGTTATGCGGGTGGACAACGTTCCTACAGCCACATCCCTGATGTCGCGCAGCAGGTGTTCCACACCGATTTCCTCTGCCTCTTCCGCCTCGATTATTGACGGTGTATGAACGAAGGTCTTGGTCGTTGTTGTGCCATCCTGTGCTGTATGTAAGCCTTGGCTACTTCTGACCCCGCGCCCTTCGTCATTCGTGACCCAAAGGCAACGGCAGAGTCACTCACATCTTTGATCTCTTCCACCGCAAAGTATGCGTCGGTCGGGACGCCAACCTCCTTTGGTTGCACGTCGATAATTACCAGTAATGGGTTGGGGGTGTAGCGCTTGAAGAGCTCATTGATTTCGAGGTCTGAGGCCCGCAGCTTCGGCCCCGAGTGGTACCATCCTATTAGTTTCTCCCGAGCGTTGATCTTCTTGAACATATCATTCATGGATTCGACAAAGTTGTGATCCAAAAACCAAACGGACGGGTCTTTCTCGTCTTCTTCGAAGGGCACTGATCTCCTGGTCAGTAACCACTAGATCACGGCAGCGGACAGCGGCTTGTACACACCTGCGAAACTGTTCGACACCCGGACATTTTTGCCATCATTTTGACCGAGAAGAACACCAACAACTCGTTTTCGCGTCCCCTTTGCAGTTCGCCCGTAGTGGTCTGCAACGGAGAGGAGGACGAGAGGCGCAATAGAGACGGTGCGCGTCACGAGGGACAGCGTCTCCGCCGTGGTGGCAGGCATGGCGGAGAGAACAGGAAAAACAAAAGGGAGTACTTGGAGGCAAACAGTAAAAGACGAATACTGAAACGGAGGGTCAATGAGGAAGTGCTAATCCAGCACTTAAGGCAGGCCGGGAACGGTGGTATGGCTGGGAGCTCCGGCGCTTCTAGGCTGCTTGCTTGCTGTACGGCCTTCCTGTACGGGAGCAACTGCATGGCTGCCGTCAGCATCAGCCACAGATTGTCACGCCTTATTGCCTGAGGCAGCAATGAATGTGGCGCATGAAGTCACGTGTCACATAGTAAATCGTTCGATCAGCCTTTACGGCTATTTTTGGCATAATAATTCACAGAAATACTTGTGGAAGGCAGAATGATTATAATTTTTGATTTTATGCAATAGACTGCTTGATATCACTTCACGTCATTGTTGTGGACGTCTCTCCGCGATCGCTAGTAGCCAGGGCGGGGGGTTTCTGGAGCTCCCCCGATGAGATCGGCCCAGCGGCTTGGACGGCGGACAGTGAGCAGTGGGCACTTCTACTTAACTAAGAGCCTAACTTTACTTAGTCTGTCCTTTCCGGAAGGCAGAGTGAGCCTCGGACACGCGGAGCTTACCTCCGATCTCTCTCGCTCCGCCCGCCCTGTTTTCGCGCTCGGCCTCTAAAACCTGCTTGTTCCTCTCCTACCTCCTCACTCTCCATTCCCGAGCTCGACTCGTCAGCCTCTCCAGCTCACCTTCTTCTCCCTTGCGCCTTCCCGTGTCCTGTCCTCGGAGAGCATCCAATTCCTTCTCTGTAGCCCCAAATGGCTCCCATCACGCAGGAGACCGTCGACGGTCTCAAGGACGTCATCTCCAAGCTCGAATCGCGTGTCGCGCAATTGGAAGAGCGTCTGGCCAATGGCGGCAGTGACTCCAAGCCGAAGTCACTCTCAGAGCAGATGCGGCTCGTCCTGATGGGTCCTCCTGGCGCAGGTGAGTCTCTGTGACCATAGACAAGTTTAGGGATTGACATGGTCTTACGCATTGAAACAGGCAAGGGAACGCAAGCTCCTAAGATCAAGGAGAAGTATTGCATTTGCCACCTGGTAAGCTCACCTGCGCTTGCGCTTGAGGAGTTCGGTTGGATGCGTTTCAATTGACCGGTTTGCTCTCTTTGCCAGGCCACCGGAGACATGCTGCGATCCCAGGTCGCAAAGAAGACCCCGCTCGGGCTGGAGGCCAAGAAGATTATGGATCAGGGTGGGCTGGTCAGTGATGAGATCATGGTCAACATGATCAAGAATGAGCTCGAGACGAACAAGGAATGCCAGAACGGGTAATGAATGGTCCTATGGGTGACTCTGGTGTGGCGCTGACAGCAATCGCACAGGTTCATCCTGGATGGCTTCCCTCGCACCGTCGCTCAGGCGGAGCGTTTGGATGAAATGCTTGCTAGCCGCCAACAGAAGTTGCACCATGCCATCGAGTTGCAGATCGATGATGCGCTGCTGGTCGCCCGGATAACGGGTCGTCTGATCCACCCGGCCTCGGGACGTTCGTACCACAGGATCTTCAACCCTCCCAAGGAGGACATGAAGGATGACGTGACCGGCGAGCCTTTGATCCAGCGGTCTGATGACAATGCGGAGACCCTCAAGAAGCGACTGGCCACGTACCACGCACAGACAGCCCCTGTGGTTGAATACTACAAGAAGACTGGAATCTGGCGTGGCATTGACGCGAGCCAGGAACCCGGTCAGGTGTGGAAGAGTCTCCTCGGTGTTTTTGAGAAGTCGAAGTAAAACCTCTGCTGCAACAGGTCTGTTGCTATATTTCGATTTCGCTTTCTTCTTACTGGCTGGGTTAGAAGAGCAAGGGGAAAAAATTTTGAAGCAATCCACAGTTGGGTTGGGAACAATGGATAGAAGCTTGAGAAATATACCTCACTTGAGCGTGATGGATGCGCTCATGACCATCTCATGCGGAAAAGTTATCATATTCCTTTTTTTGTCTCGGCATTTGCTTTGGTGGCAGACTGCAGGTGAAAGGAGAAGGCGTGAGCAAACTGTACTCGCACATAGGACTGCTGCGGGAACTGTTTGCTCCTGTATAGTATGTACTGTACTTTTCTGCATTGATGATGGTATATCAAATGCAATCTCATCTGATTGACGTTTTGATGACCTGTAGATTTTAGATTCACACCTTGCAATTGTCAGCTTGAACATGAACTTCTCGTCCCAATTCAATCAGGTTCTGTGAGCATTACTAACGCATCTAGATAGGAAGCGTGAGAAAAGAGAATTTTATTTCTGATTCTGTTCAATAAGACCTGTTGTTCCATGGCCATTGGCACATGACTCTAGACTTAGGTCTAGAGTACAACACAAACGAAGCAAACCAACTTACGTACATATGAAGTAAACCTGTACATTCTCCGTTGCACGTCAGAAATCTCTTATTTCACACTATAAGCTCCTGAATGGCTGGGGGTTTTTTTTTGAAAAAAAAAAGTTCCGTATTTCAAAACTTTCACTTCTCATGCCACGATGTGCAGACACATTGTAACCGCTGTGTGAGGCTGACGCACAATGGAGCTTACCTTATGTCAAACTCTCAGATGCGAGTTTTTTTTTTCCCGTTTTTATTTTATTGAATATGTATTACTGAAATGTCTCAACAAGGCCAGACAGCCGACATTCGAGGACACGCGAATGGGTTGGGAGATACTACCGACCCCTTGGCCGTCGCATTTAGCGGTTTCCCAAAAACGTTGTCTTCTGTATCTTGTCGCTATGCTATGCTATATCTACAATTTAATTTGTCTCGCTCAGCCTGGGACAGGTCTCCTCCGACCCATTGGGAGCATGTCCTAATTTACAGCTGCAGAGGGTAGACGGTCGACTCAATCTTCTCAGGGTAGGTTAATCCACCCTGTCTGCGGACCTCATCCATGACCTCCATGATGAGGATGCTCTCCTCCCAGGGCAGTGTCTCGCTTTCGAGCTTGCCATCCCGCACGCACCGTGCCGCCTCGTCTGCCTCCCAGTACATACCATGGCCGTTGTCAGGGAAGGGGAAGGTCTCCTCGCGGATGGTCACAGGCTCGGTGGCATTCTCATCCTTGCGGGGAATCACTCGGAATCTCACAGGACGGAATGCCGGTCCATCGACCTGGATTTCACCCTTGGTACCCTGAATACGAATCGCGGGCCGGGTGGAGTTGTTCTTGTCCGGATCCGTCGCGATGCGGAGGTGCGTCATGGCGACGGCGTGCGAGGTCTGATTAGGCAGGTTGGACGGAGTGGTCGTGGGGAAGGTGATGAGCATCGTGGTCGCCTCGTCGGCGCCTGTGAGGTGGTACGGGGTCATGTGTGTCGCAATGGCGGATGGAGGCTTGCGCTGGGACCGGGGAAGAGTGTGGTAGAGAGTCTGGAAGACCCAGGTGAGAGAGTAGATACCCACTGTGTCTGTTAGTCTAACTATCCTCTTGCCAGTGCAAAAATGAAGGATCTGGGATTACTGACAGTCGAGCAGTGCACCTCCAGCCAGATCCTTGTTCACCATGCGGTGTTGTGTCCCCCAGACCGTTTCGACATCCTCGCCAAAGCTGTTATCGGCGATAACGCGCAGCACTTCGCCAATTTCGCCCTTCTGGATCAATTCCCGGACCTTGATGCTGAGAGGGAAGTACCGGGTCCAGACGGCTTCCATCAAGAACAGGTTCTTCTTCTTGGCCGTTTCGCACAGGATCTTCGCCTGCGCTGCGTTGACGGTGAAGGCCTTCTCGCAGAGGACATGCTTGCCTGCCTCCAGCGCGAGCATTGTGTTCTGGTAGTGGTGCGAGTGCGGCGTGGCTACATAGATGATGTCGACATTGGGGTCCTTGACGAGCTCCGCGTACGAGCCGTATGCGGCGCAAGGCCCGGGGATCTTGGTCTCAGCGATGAACTGCTCCGCCCGGGCCTTGGATGAAGACGAGGCGACGGCAGTCACCGTATGAGTGACATCGTTGGTCCCTCGTAGTTTGGGGTTTTTCAAGAGATCCTTTACGAAGGCTGGTGGTTCGCGATTGTTATTATTTTCCCTCTTTTTCTCATAGCATGAAGTAAGAGGTCAAGAACATAACGTACTTGCAGCAATCCCACCAGTAGCTGTAATTGGAAAACGTTAGCTTAAATTATTTCCTCTGTCAAGGCTCTTACTCAATGGAGGGGGGGATATAACAAGTTTGCATCCTCGATATACATACCCAGAATACCCCACCGTGCGTTGAACGGGCTCGCCATATTTGCTTTCTTTTTTGGTCTTTGCTTAATTTATAAAAGGGGGCAATCGATTGAGTTTTACTTGTGGGACGCGTCGTCGATTCTTGGATTGGATACGTATGGATGGGTGTATGTACTGTACAGTATGTATGTACTTCTAACAATTGTCCTGGCGGTGCACGGAGCAGAGAAGGAAAAAGAAGATAAAGAAAAAAGAGAGCTTGTTGTTCCAATTAGGTAAATAGGTAGCTTCACAATATCCCACCTACCCGCCCACCTCCCCGCCCTTTTTAAAGTTTTGAAGGCCTGGAGGACATCCGGGAGAGGGGTATCCCCCTCCATTTTAGGCAAATCTCGAATTGCTTCCAGGGTTTCCGTGGAACGGGCATGACGTATCATCGTCCGAGGGAACGGCAAGTTTCCCGAATTAATTTTGACCCACCTTTGTCATCCTTGCTTGGGTTTGGACACACCTTTGTCCTATAGATTATATTTATTAATCCTGGGGATTGGAAGGGCTTCACAGATATCAGCTGCGTTACATCCGTGTCACACTAGGACTATGGAATAGTTGTGAGTGGTCAATTTGATCACATTTAAGCCTGATCTTTTTCCCGGGGAATGGTGCTACCAGGTAATTCTCTGTTCCGGGCCGGGCCATGAACTTTCCGTCCTTGTTTTGGCTTTGGCACGAACTAAATGCAAGTAAGTGGTAGACAGGAAAAGATGGAGAAAAAAAAGACAAGATAGGACCGCCATGTAAGAAACTCCTCTTTTCAAGTGAAACACGCCTGTAAATGCATGATGACTGGAATAAAGATGCTCAGAACACACGCGCAAAACTATGCCTTGTACAGTCATTAATCCATGACAGAGCCCAGCTCAAACAAAGATTGCGCATGGAAACTCCCGCCGCCTATTCAACAGAATGTTGAAGAAATCCATGAGTAGGGAGGGAAAATACAATGAAGAATGGAGGGATATCAACAGGGACACGTAAGCGAAATCACGATACAGGTTCCGTCTTGATTCGAACCTTATGACCGGGAGAATCGGTATCCTAAGAGAAGAAAGAGTCAGTAAATCCCCAATTACTACTAGCTAGCGAAAGTATAAACCCACCTCTGCCTTGCGCTTTCCCAGCACTGAATCAGGAGTTCCTGTCCGTCCAGAAGGCGTCCCTCCCCGTCCTGAAGCCGGGCCATCTTTGGTGACTTCGGCATAGCAGCTGGCATGGTACACTCGATTACCAACCTTGACAGCGTCCTGCCAGATCCAATCCTGAACCTCTTCTGACCATGTGGACTCAAACTTCTCTTGACAAATCGGACAGGGAGCATTCCGCAACCCAACATCGTTAGGAGCACGGATCCACTGCTTCTGCGGTTTCTTTTTAGCCGCTTCGCTATCGGCCGCTGCACCTGTACTGCCGGTTACAGTACCCGCAGGGCCAGTATCGTCATCGTATTCTCGTGATTTAATCCAATCCTAGCTACCTGTCAGCGCATGCGCTCGGCATGCCAACGGACAAAGGAGATATCACTAATACTGACCCTTTCATCCACGTACCAGCTGCGGTTCTGTCCGCGCTTAGCAGCCTCGGCCATTCGCTGATTTGTTCTGAAATGCCAATCAAGGTGGCGTGCTTTCTTTTGCTTCCCCTCTTCATTGGCAAAGAAACGGCGACCACAGGTACCACACTTGTTGGTCTTTGCTTCGTAAAGATGAGTTATGAGAGTGGGACGAGGGCTACCAATTTTATCCAGAGTCAGCGACTGGCACGGACAAGGGGTATAAAAGGCAAAATAATCCTTACATTTTGATAGATGCAGTGCTCATCTGCACGTTGATCGTGATATCTGGCGTAGTTGAGACTTGGGGATTTGAAACAGGAGGCGTATATCGAATTTGACCAGGCACGATGAGGGGAAGGTTAAAAGGAGAGGAGGCTGGTGGCGTGGAGGTAACAGGTGGAAGAAGTCCCCGAGCTCTAAGATTTGCGATAAGAGTACTTTCTGGAGTTGCCGGGGTTGCAGCAGAAGGTTGCGGAGTGCTGGTCTGTTGGACTTGAGGGTGAATATTAGCAGCCGGAGGTGGAGTAGGCTGCTGACGGTTCGCTGTCGCCTTGATCAGTTCTGCGAGTGTTCCAGGATTTAATAATTGCTGTAAGTTTGGCTGCGGAGTCTGTTGCGGAATTGCCTGGGTAGGGGGAGTGGGTATAGCTTGAGGGTGACCTGCGGTAGTTGGGACAGCAGAGAGATTTTGAGGGAAATTCGATGGAGGCTGAGAAACTGGTCTTGACGCCGGTGCCAGGGCGGACACCTGGTCTCGCACAAGTTTGAGTTGGTCCTGGGGAAGCTCCTGACGCTGAAGGATTCCCTGGAGATCCAGAAGAGCTTTAAGACGTTGCTGAACAGCAACGTCAAGAGGGTTATTAGCAAAGTCGGTTCGAGCGGTTGATATGAGGCTTTCTATGTCGCGATGCAGGGCACCCAGGTCAACCTCCTGACCAGACTGAGGCGTGGAAGAAGAGAATTGCTGAGGCGTTTGCGAATATCTAGGGGGGTACGATTCGGCCTGACAGAACATTAGAACAGTCTTCTGGGAAAGCGAACAGGAAAAATCTGTACTCACAGCAGACGAATAGGCTTGATGATGGCCGTTGGCCCCATACTGGGGAGGATAATTCGGGCCAGACGAAGGCGGATATCGCGGCGGAGTGGGAGTATGTGTCCAACCTGGAGGCGTTGCAACACCACGGTTTCGCCCGAGCACATCCTGTTGCTGTTGACTTCTTGCCTGTTGCTGCTGAAGGGCTGCTGTTCTTGCCTTGATCAGAGCATTCTCGATACTGCGTGTGATTTCAACAGGGAACACGGGCCTGGGATCCAATGACCCGGGAACGGGTTCCTTCCACGTCTTGAGCATCTCATCTAGCTTCTTGCGTGTCGGCGCGTCGACCAGTGTGTACGCATTCATAAATGTCTGGTAAAGATTGCGACCCAGGAATAGAGTGTAGGGAGTCCCTACATTCTTCACAATCGAGTCGACTACATAGAGAGCAGGCAGTTTCTGTGACGGTGATGTCTACAAAGCCACAATTAGAATCGCTTCGCCCCAAAAATAACACTACGAAAACACAGGGCCTGGAGTACAGGACAAAATCAATCGATTCAGAGAGGTCAAAAGCAAGGATAGAGCAGAACCAGGGGGCAGCAGAAGACATCGACAGCAGACAGCGGAAAGGAGAGGGAGAGAGGCACCTACAGTATTAATATGGTTCTCCAGAACTCGTGAAATAGCCATAGCATGTTCTGTGTTTTCCTTGGCTATGACCGTCAAATTGCTGATCTGGAATTTGTCATTGGTGGTTAGATCTTCAAGCGAATTCTTGTAGTCCTCAGCAACTTCATCGGATGGAAGGCTCGACGACATGATGTAGGGTTATACAAAGGTGAGTCAGGTATAGAGGGTCAGAGATTCACGGTCAGGAAGTTTGGAGAAAAGATTGACGGTGACAAGTACCCGCGGGAGAAAGGCGATGCCTTCTCCTTGATTCAAGGACGATTGAGTTTGATTTGTCTGTGTTTGCCTTTTTTTTCTTCTCCTTTGTTCTCTTTCTTTTATTTTTTTCCTCTCCAGTATCTTCTTGTTACTTTTTTTTCTCTCTTCCTTTTTTTTCTCTTCCCTTTTTTTAACCAGATTCCTTTTTTTGATATCCTCTGGAAGTTCCAATCTGGGGAACGAATGTCTTCTGATTCCTTGTCCTTCCTTTGTGTTTTTCAAATGATCTCTTGGAAGTGCAGAATGTGGAATGAACAGGCGAAACTTGTAGAATGCTTGCTAGCTATCTTCGTGAGACTGAGAACAACAGGTCATGCGAACACCTCCAACCCGTGTGAAAAGAGAACCTGAAGCCACCAATAGCTCCGTATCCGCCTCCAGAATCCTGCCTCAGTAGCCTCCTTGCAGAGAAAGAGCAGCAGAAATACGAAGAACGACAAATGAAGTCGAAGCGGCGGACAAGCAAGAAAGGAAGGGGTACACCCAATAGCAACCGAACGAGGCAACGCTGAACTGGAACGAGTCGAAAAGCAAAACCGAAACAAGGAATTAACAGCAAATCTAGAATGAGAAAGGATCAAGGAGATGAAAGCTGTGCAAGCACAAAGAGGAGCGTGGAGGCAGTCGGGATGGGGGGCGTGGACGGAAGAAAGAGCAGCAAGAGTGAGAGGAGCGAATTATTATTTAGCTTTCCCTAGGCCGTCGTCGATTCACGGCTTGACTGCTGAGTCAGCAAGCAGTACAACCTATAGGGAGCCGGGGGTTGTCCCGCATCCCGAGTGACGCAAGTGACGCTCGGCGGCGAATCGCAGCCGGCGAGACAATCCCCAGCAACCCAACTCATCACCCTACGATCCTCCAGCTGGAGACCTTGCAAAGAGCCTATATCTGAACTGGCAAGTATCTCGAATCATTAATACAGTGTGTGCAATCGCCCTTCAGTGACTCCGCACGATTTGTTAACCAACCTAGTACTATTGTTTTAAGTGCCAGCACGCTCCTACCAGCAAGATGAATATGAAGCTCTTCCTCGTTGTTTTCCTATGCAGCCTCGTCCAAGTGGCCCTTGCCGTCCAGCCACATAAGTCTTTCGTTGTCACTTATCCTCAAGATACGCCAGACTCGGTTCTGGGCCAGGCAAAGCAAGCTATCAAAGATGCCGTATGCTGAATATCCACTTTTCCCATCTTGTTACTATCGCTGACCTGCTTCTACAATAGGGTGGCATTATCACCCATGAATACCGTAAGTCCCAGCTTCCTTCAATTGGTTACTCACTTCTTTACTGACATTTCTTTTCCCCTAGATCTGATCAAGTATTATCGACCCCTTCTCTCCCAACTACTGAACGACGTCACTGACGCAGGCAACCAGAGGATTCGCGGCAAAGGCTTCTGCCAATGCCATCAAGAGTGTATCGACATTGTCCGCTGCATTCAATCCCGTCATTGAGGAGGATAAGATGGTCTCTGTCGATGGCAGTTTCGTTGGCGAAGAAAATGAGTTCTAAACTCGCCGGCATTGCATTTGAATGGTCCGCAGCACGGTCTGCTTGTCGGGGGAATACCTGACATAATGGAATCCCAATATAAATGGAAAAGAATTAAGATGGTCACGATTAAAAGGTCAGGGTTCTGGACGGGGGCTTGGTTTATGGAAATTACCTATGGTCTAGTGGTGTTCTCCTTGGTGGCGTCTTTGGTACCGGGTAGCAATGTTTAGATAGTTTTCCACTCGTTCATTATGGATATTTTTGCTGCAAGACAATGAAATCGCTATCGTAAATCCTTTGTCTTTTTTTTTTTGCTTTCTTTGGCCTTGGCGGTGTTATCGCGTAATTGATTGTCCGCACGGATCTGATAAGTGACAATGCGACCGAGGCCAACGACATCGGTCCCTGGACGGAGAACAATGTGCGCTACGCGTGGATCCGCGGGCCTCTTGACACTCCTAAGTCGCGACTAGTTAGATCGGACGACTACAACTGTACATAATCCCCCACTTTGTCCTTGCCAACATGCGAAGACTTCTCTTGTTGAACCTAGCAGTCGCTTGATCACATCTTTCGATCGGCCATTCTTACTGGCCTTTCCCCTATTTCTCGCGCCATGGCTACCGAACACACCGTCGCCAAGGTCTTGCTCGAGTGGATCAACAGCTTTTCTCTGGGCAAGACCATCCGGAGCACCGATGAACTGACAGATGGCATTATTCTGTGGGAGATCTTACAGGATATTGACCCGCAGCATTTCCTCGATGAGCTACCGGAACGCAACCCTTCTGATCACTGGGTCACCAAATGGCAGAACTTGAAGCACCTCCACAAGTTGCTGATCAGCTACATTCGGAAACAGAACGATGACCAATTACCCCCGGGGCTGGACGCATCTCCTGACCTGAAGGCAGTTGCAGAGGCCAATTCACTCAAGGAGACCAATAAGCTCCTGAAGCTGCTTCTGATCGCCGCGATCAGTTCCCCCAATGCGGAGGCCTACGTGACCACACTCCAGGAGCTGAGTACCCCAACACAGGAAGGCTTGAAGGATATCATTCAGGAGGCTCAGAACGGCCAACATGATGAGTTGACGGCGGAAGAGGAGGAAAGAGATGGGATCTCCAAACGGGATCTTACTGTCGACCCCGAACTGCAGTTTGAGGAGCGAGTAGGGAAGCTTCTCGCCGAGAATGACCGTTTGGCAAGCGAGAAGAAGGAATTAGAAAAGGCTCTGGAAGATATGCACAACCGTCTAGCACGGCTGCAGGAGAACAATGATACGTTGCAGAGCCGCCTGGCCTCGACTGAGGATCGTCTTGTGACCTTAAAATCTGGAAAAGGAGAAGTGGGCATCAGCACAAAGGCCCTTGAGAGTAAGGCACGCCAGCAGGACGAACTGATTGCGAGTCAAGAGGCAAAGCTCGCCGCTGCTCAGGACGAGATCGACAGTCTCCGAATGTCGCTAGAGTCTATGCGTGTTAAGAATCAGAGATTCCAGAAACTACAAGACGACTATGACGAGTTGAAAAACGAGAGAGACCAGTTGAGTCGTAAGGCGAACGCGGCAGAGAAATACCGTCAAAAACTGCAAGCCATTCAGGATTTCGAGAAGGAGAACCAGGCTCTCAAGAATCAGGTCAGGGACCTCCAGCAGCAGCTTAAGGAGGCGGATTCGAATGCACGACGGTCATCTGAACGTGATGTTGAGCTGGAGGAATACAGGCGAGTGCTTCCGCGGATCGAACAAGACCGTCATGAGATTCAGAACCTCAAGAAACAGTTGGAATTCAACAACCATGCCCTCACAGAGCGTCTTCAGAGTGCGGAAGAGCAGCGTGAACGGGATGAGGCTTTAATTAGTGAACTGCGAGAACGAATTCGTGAACTCGAAGGTTCTCCCGGAAGCCCATCACTTACGCCCGGTACGACAACGCCCAGACTGCAGGGAACTTTGCAGAAGGATTTTGAAGACATCGGCGCCAGAGAGGCACAATTGTCAGTATGCACTCCTGGAGTTTTTGCGCATGAGCTAACCGATCATAGGAGAGCGGAGAACGAAGAACTGAAGAAGGAAATAGAGAGGCTGAAGACGAGCAATTCAGTAAGAGGATACCAATTAGGAGAGCAAAACCGTGGTGCTGACAATGAATGTTTTAAGCTGGGCTCACGTCTGGAAGCCTACTCTGAAAATCTTGTCTTAACGGCACAGCTCGCGCAAGCAAAGTCCACCCAAAGGTTTGACAGTCTCAGTTCACGTATTTTCGCCGAGGCTAATAGACTGTGTAGCGAGGAGTATTGGAAACTCTATGACCAGTACGCGGAGGTGCGACAGAAGCTTGCTGACGCCGAGGATGTGGTCGACACCACAAAGCGACAACTTGAAGATGCAAGGGCAGAGCGTAAGTTCTTTATACAAGCTTTTGTCAATCTAGTCGATCAATTCCCTGACCACTGCGCCAGTCGGCCTTGTCAACAAGGAAAAATTGGACATGCTCAACGAAGTGAAGGAATCTAATTCTTCCGAGATCGCCAAGCTTAGAGGTGACTGGGATGCGCTTACGAGTAAGATCCATCATCTCGAGGCAGAAGTAGATGCCAGCCAGGCTCTCGTGAGGGAAGTCTGCGCCGAACGTGACGAGTTGCGGTCGATACTTGAGAACAAGCAGACAGAAATCCACGCCGAAGATCAAGACTTAATCAAGGAGATGCAGGCATTGCTCGCGGAGTTTGCTGCTCTCTCCAACGCCGAAAATCCGGATGCACTGGAGAAGTCTGGCACCGAACTCCTGAAGCGTTTTGCGGAGGTTACGGAAAAGAGTGTTGAGAAATTAACGAAACGTGCAGAGGTCAGTAAACATGTTTCTTGTTTTGAACTTCACGTCGAAGCCATGCCTGTCAAGGATCTTGCTGCATACGTCCGCTCAAGCCCATCGCTGCATCTGCTTCCCGAGATCATCAGAGGCGAATTGTTGCTTGGAAGAGGTTATCTTTCTTTATAGGAATAGACAATCTATTCCATCCATAGAATACATATCTCTGTTGGCTTGCCTCTGGAGACGATGGCCGCACCCAGCTCGAAATTTGATGCAGCAGATCACAGGCTTGTGCATCATCCCTTATTTCCCCCGACTACTTGAGAATTTCTGGGGTTTTTATCTTTTCGGTGTTCTTTATTGATCAATAGCTAATATTGCAACGGTCTTATAGCACATCGATCAACAGAATGAGCTCATCAAGTCACTCCAGGAGCGAATCAAACACTTCGAGGAAGCCAACGCCAATGAGGAAGAAACCATATCTAAACAGCGAGAAGTAAGTCTAATGGATGATTCTTACCTGGGTTTCCCCAGACTTCAAATTTTGTTTCTCACAGCTCTGTTACGAATGATTCTAACAATGAATCCCGTAGCTCGAGCTCCAAGACACCATCCGCCGCCTGTCACGAGAGCTCTCCCTTATGTCTTCCGCGTGGTATGATCTTCAGGGTCGCTTGCAGAACAGCAATGTCACTGTGTCACGGTATCGTTATCCGGCATCGACTGGTGCCGGCTCTGGGGCCGATGCACAGAGGGGCTGGCTTGCGAAGCAGAGGAGCATTGTCTCCAGTGCAAAATAGTAGCAAATAACTGATGAAGGGGGGAACGAAATACGCGGTTAACTTACATCAGATTCTCGAATTCCCCTTTTTCATTGGTGCTGTCACTTCTATTCCATCTTACATTCACGGTCTGGCGACAGCATTGACTTTTTTTTTTCGTTTTGAGGCAAACACGGACGGGGGCTTACACCATACCACATTGATTTTCTCATGACTGACTTAGCTGGCATAAGTCCCAGAATAATATAGATAGATATAGTGTTCCGGATCATTTGGCTCCTATGGCTCACCTACATGTGGCATTCAAGCGCTCCTTTTTTTTTTCTTTCGTTTCCTCTGTTCTATATTCAGTGTTGCGCATATGTGGCGATTTTTTTGGTACATCTCTCTCGAATTTGGCATCTGTATCTACAGCAAATATGGATATATTGCATCATAGCCATTCTATTACATAAATTGTGTTCTATGATCATAAAGATGGAACAGAGGATGCAGTATGCAGTGCAGTGTCATTTTTATCCAAACTCTGTTGTTAGGTTAGGTACAGTACATTTTGATATTATTTTGGAATTGACTTTTACATGGCCTTGGCCCATATATATACAAGTACATAGAATGGAATTACCGCAGAGGTGGAGGTGTGAGATGGGAGATGCTCAATTCTTCAGACCCATTGTCGGGGGTGCTTCAGCACGTCCAACATTTCTCGTTCCATCGACTTATCTTCACCATCTAGTTGTTCCTCTTCGACATCCCCAGCCTCTGTCTTGGTTCCCGAAATGGGGTCCATATAGGCCCAGCTTGCTGTGCGAGGGAGGCTCATCAGGATGCTTTCCACACGAGCATTAGGCGTCCGCAGACCGAAGCTTGTGCCACGGTCATAGAGTAGATTGAACTCGACATAGCGACCTCGTCGGAGCTGCTGCCACTCCTTCTGGGCCGGAGTGAAGGGCATGTCCTTCCGGCGCTCGATAATAGGTACGTAAGAGGGCAGGAAGGACTCTAGACAATCACTGACGAAGGCAAAGAGAGTCTCTTGCGGGTTCTGCGATGATGATGAGGAGCTCCGTAAGAACTCAGCATCGAGATCGTCGAAAAAGATGCCACCAACCCCACGCGCTTCGCGGCGGTGAGGGATGTAAAAGTATTTGTCGCACCACGCCTTGAACTTGGGGTAGTACGTCGCATCATGCCTGTCGCAGGCATCCTTGATGGTTTGGTGGAAGTGCTTGCAGTCTTCCGGGAAGAGGTAAGACGGTGTCAAATCAGTGCCGCCTCCAAACCACCAATTCTTCTCTCCATGGATCGGATCTTTCGGGTCCGATGTCTCAAAATACCGATAATTCAAATGCACCGTTGGGGCCATAGGGTTATGAGGATGCAGAACGAGAGAGAGACCGGCAGCGAAGAAGCTCAGAGACTGCACGTCCGCAGAGACAAATGACTTATGATCTGCGCGCATCTTCTCAATGGCAGAACGAGGCAACTCCCCGTACACGACCGAAACATTGACTCCGGCCTTCTCGAAGACATTTCCGTCCTGAAGTACGCATGATATCCCCCCGCCACCATTGGGACGAGTCCAGGTATCAGTCCGGAAAGATTTGCCGTCAATTCTGCTCAGCTCCTCCGTGATCTTCTTTTGGTGCTCCTTAATCAACTTCTCCATCCGCAAGCGCATCGGGGAGGACTCATCGATCTTCGACTGGCGTTTAAGGGTCTCATCAATTTCGGCAATGGACGGCGACTCCGTTTCCGTGACATCACCAGTCAACTGTTAGAGACTGTGAGAAAAATCGCACCGTTGAGGAATGCGCCAGATGGGACATACCATCGAATATATCAGAGCTCCAATGAACGGAATACCAATTGCAAGGCGCAAATAGGGCCTCCAAATCGTGTACTTCTCCGATTCCCGATCCCTCGGCCAATTTGAGAATCTCCTATACTGGCCCTGGAATATACGAGAGGAAAACTGAGCTCTCCGCAAAGCTGGGCGATAGGCCGACCTCGCCAGAGGCATCCACAGTCGGGAAGACGCCATGTTTCAACGCGAAATCGGCAAAGCTGGCGGATTAGCCTCCAATTCAGACCAGTCAGGTAGGGGCTCCGTTTGACGAGAGGGAGAAATCCAAATGAAGAGAATTAGAAGGGCAGACAGGCCCAAGAGGGAGGGAAGCGAGTGTCAGCTCACCCGCCAGCCCGCAGGCCGACATGCATGGCATGATGCAGTTTGTCCTGTTTGCTGCAGTTCGCCGCTGGTACGATGCTCCGCCGAAGCTCCCGAGCGCCTGGCCCGAGACGGGCGCCCGCTGATTGGCGGGCGCCGGAGGGGCCGGAGCTAGAGCTTTGCCGCCAGAAAAAAGTTCGTGGCCAACCCCGCCGCCGCATTCATCGGACTTCGTCTTCATCTTCAAATCTTCCCCCTCAAAGCGTTGTTTTCCCTGCCTTGCGCAGACGGTCCTTCAGAACGGCAGGCCTGTTCACCCCCAATCCCATCCTTGCCGTCTGCGGTGTTCCCCCTCGAACAGAGTCTGTCCGTTCTCGCTGCCTGCAAAGCCTAGAGCGGTCTTCGTTCGCTTGCCATGCGCAGCTCTTGACAACGACGATGCAGCCTCCAGAAGGTGTGCAGGTGGACCTGGGCAAGGCCCAGGTCATCGACCATGTTCCCAAAGTGATCAAAGAACTGAAATTTGGTGCTCTGTAAGAAACACCTTCTTGAAATCTTTCGAAGCTACTTTTTTTTTCCCACTCGGGGTTATTGGCTAACATTTGCACGTGTGAATTTCCAGGTCCAATGATGACATTGTCAGCCAAGCCGTTGTTGAAGTTTCCGACCGAAAATTCTTTGACCTCGAACATGGCAGAACGGCGGTTCCCCATGGCCCTCTCGACGCGCGCATGGGTATTTCGAACAAGACCGGAACATGCCAGACCTGTGGCGGTTCCCTTCAAGTTTGCAACGGCCATTTCGGCCATGTCAGATTGGTCCTGCCTGCTTTCCATGTCGGTTATTTCAAGCGTGTCATCAGTATCTTGCAGGAGATTTGTAAAGAGTGTTCGAGAATTCTGCTTCCGCAGTCTGAACGCCGCGCCTTCCTCCGGGAGATGCGTCGTCCTGGTCTTGATAATCTACGACGCATGCAAATCGCGAAAAAAATCAACGAACGCTGCAGAAAGACCCGGGTCTGTGAGGCGTGTGGTGCTATCAATGGTGTCGTGAAGAAGGCCGGTTCCAGCGCATTGAAGATCACCCATGACAAGTTCCGCGCCTTTAACGCGTCTACCTCGTCGAAAAAAGTGACGCCGCCCAGCAAGATCGTTTTTGACCAGTCTTTTGAAGAAGCTAGAAACACAAACCCGGACGTTGAAAAACATTACAAGAAAGCCCAAGATGATCTGAACGCCCTCCGTGTCCTAAATTTGTTCAAGAAGATTTCCGATACAGATTGCGAACTACTCGGACTGGACCCGAAGGAAGCTCGTCCGGAAATGTTCTTGTGGCAATTTATCCCTGCTCCTCCTGTCTGCATCCGTCCGTCAGTGGGCCAGGACGCTGCGTCGACTGAAGATGACCTGACTGCCAAGCTGGGAGACATCGTCCAGAGCAATATTAATCTCAAGAATGCACTGCTGAAAGGAGCACCAATAGGGACTATTATGGAATGTTGGGACTACATGCAGCTTCAGATTGCAGTTTATATTAATAGCGACGCCCCCAGTCTTAAGGCAGACCTTGGGAAGCCTATCCGCGGCTTTGTGCAGAGACTAAAGGGAAAACAAGGACGCTTTCGTGGAAATCTGTCTGGAAAGCGTGTCGATTTCTCCGGCCGGACTGTCATTTCTCCTGATCCAAACCTGCGAATTGACGAGGTTGCTGTCCCAGAGCTGGTGGCGAAAAACATGACTTATCCAGAGGTCGTCACCAGATACAACAAGGAAAAGCTGCAGCAAAGAGTGCGGAATGGAACGAAGAAATGGCCAGGCGCAAACTACCTTACCAAGAAAGGACAGAATTTTAAGCTCTACCTTAAGTACGGCAATCTCAAGATGATGGCCGACCAGCTGCAGGAGGGGGATACGGTCGAGCGTCATATCGAAGATGGCGACATTGTACTCTTCAATCGCCAGCCTTCCCTTCACAAGCTCAGTATTCTTTGCCATTTTGCAAAAGTTCGGCCACACAGAACATTCCGTTTGAACGAATGTGTGTGCAACCCGTACAACGCCGATTTTGATGGAGACGAGATGAACTTGCATGTTCCCCAGACCGAAGAAGCCAGGGCAGAGGCGATGGAGTTGATGGGGGTGAAGAATAACTTGGCCACTCCAAAGAACGGAGAACCTATCATTGGAGCGATTCAAGATTTTATCAGTGCTGCCTCTATTTTGAGCAACAAGGACAATTTCTTCGATCGGAGATCGTTTACGCAGATATGCATCTCGATGCTCGGTCCCGAAACTCGGTTCGACCTTCCTCCACCTGCTATTCTCAAGCCGCAGATGCTTTGGACCGGAAAGCAGGTCTTCAATGTCCTCATGCGTCCCAACAAGGACGATCCCGTGATGGTGAACTTGGATGCCGCCTGTCGAGAATTTAAGCAGCCAAAAGATGGTCGTCCAAAGGACTTGGATCCGAACGATGGTTGGCTCGTCATCCGTAACTCAGAGGTCATGTGTGGCGTTATGGACAAAGCCACAATCGGCTCCGGAAAGAAGGACAATGTTTTTTACATCATGTTACGAGACTTTGGCCCGGCAGTTGCGGCTGAGGGCATGAACCGCCTCTCTAGGCTGTCGGCTCGTTGGTTCACAAACATGGGTTTCTCTATTGGCATTACGGACGTCTACCCTAGTGAAAGTCTCATCCGGTCGAAGAACGAGTTGGTCGAAAAGGCTTACGCAGAGTGTGATGAAGTCATCGCCAAATACAAGGCCGGAAAGCTGGAAAAAATGCCTGGCTGTGATGAGCTGCAGACCATGGAGAGCCAGCTCTCTGCCATCCTCACCAAAGTCCGTCAGCAAGCCGGAGATGAATGTATTGCTCAGCTGAGCAAATACAATGCACCTCTAATTATGGCCACCTCCGGTTCAAAAGGTTCCAGCATCAATGTGTCTCAGATGGTTGCTCTTGTGGGTCAGCAGATTATTAGCAATGAGCGTATCCAGGACGGATTTCAAGACAGAACACTGCCTCATTTCCCAAAGAATGCTCGTCAACCTCCGTCGAAAGGTTTCGTTCGCAACAGTTTCTTTTCTGGCCTCACACCTACGGAATTCTTTTTCCACGCCATGTCTGGTCGTGAAGGTCTGATCGATACCGCTGTCAAGACTGCAGAGACAGGTTACATGTCTCGTCGTCTGATGAAGTCTCTCGAAGATCTCTCGAGCAAATACGACAACACCATTCGAACGTCGGGTGCTAGCATTGTCCAATTCCAATACGGTGATGACAACCTGGATCCTGTGGACATGGAAGGTAAAGCCAAACCTGTCCACTTCGATCGAACTTTCGTCCACGCTGAGTCGACGACCTATGATAACAATGACCGGAGTTTGTTGCCTTCCGAGATCATGGAGGTCTGCGAGGAAATGCTCTCCAAGGAGCGAGCGAAGCTTGTACGCAAGGATCTTCTGGGTAATGAACTGGACTACATGGATCGGAGCGACCACGGCATTGACCAGCACGAGAGTGAGCGTGATTTCCTTGAGTCGATTAAGGCTTACGTTCAAACCAAGGCGGACAAATTGATCTCTCGCGGCGGCAATTTCGATCCGTCTGACGAGAGGAGCAGGAAAGGCTTGAACCACACTGGCAAGTTATCAGAGAGAACTCTGAGGGCCTTTATCACATCGTGTTTGACGAAGTATAAGAAGGCCCAGGTCGAGCCTGGCCATGCTGTCGGTGCCGTCGGAGCGCAGTCCATTGGTGAGCCTGGAACTCAGATGACACTGAAGACTTTCCATTTTGCGGGTGTCGCTGGTATGAGTATCACTCAGGGTGTGCCCCGTATCAAAGAAATTATCAACGCTTCCAAGGAGATCAGTACTCCCGTCATTACCTGCGAGCTCGTGACCAAGGACAATATCATCGCGGCTCGAATTGTTAAGGGCAGGATCGAAAAGACATATTTGCGGGACATTGTTCATTATGTTCGAGAAACCTGGACGGGCAAGGACGCGTACATCACGGTCAAGATCAACTGGAAGACGATTCGCGACCTGGCGCTTGAGCTCAATACGCAGGATATCCTCCAGGCGATCAAGAGACACAAACGCTTCAAGGCCGACGATCTGAAGTTCCGCCACTCTCGGTCGCATATTCATATTCATTTGGATCTGGACCCTGCCAGCAAGGCGTCCCTCTCTAAGACGGAGATAGCGGCAACCAGCGCAGATCCATTCCTCCGTTTGAAGCATCTCAAGCGCATACTGCCCGAGATCCAGGTTCTCGGGCACCCCCACACCAAGCGGGCGATCATCCGTACCGACGACACGTCTACAACGAACAGTCTCCTGGTAGAAGGCTATGGGTTGAAGGACTGTATGACCACTCTTGGTGTTGATGGCCTTCGCACCTTCACCAATAACGTGATGGAGATGAAGGACGTCCTTGGCATTGAAGCTGCCCGTGTCACCATCATTTCGGAAATCAGCGATGTCATGAAGGATATGGGTATCGATCCGCGTCACATGCAGCTTCTTGCAGATGTCATGACATACAAAGGCGAGGTGTTAGGTATTACTCGCTTTGGTCTGGCAAAGATGCGGGACTCGGTCCTTCAGCTCGCCTCCTTCGAGAAGACCGCAGATCATCTCTTCGATGCCGGTGGAGCTGGCCGTACCGACCTCATTGAGGGTGTGTCTGAATGTATCATCATGGGCAAGACCGTGTCGCTTGGTACGGGGGCTTTGGAAGTGGTCCGCAAGTTGAATTTCTATGAGGGGCAGATCGGGCCAAAGAAGACCGTTTTCGAGGACGCCTGGACGGAGATCTGTGAGGCACCACTTGAAGCGAAGAAGGCAAGGAGGAAAGCAAGGGCCTGATCGACTGCAAGAGTCTTTGTGGCGGAAGATTCTGCCAAAGATTGTATTATCTCATCTTTTTTATGTTTCATTAGCATTTGCATGGCGTCGGCGTTATTTGGGTACCCCTTTTCCATTCTATGTCGATTGACACTTTTGTACGCTTACGGTTTTTTGTTTCAGGTTTTGTGCATTATCGATACTGATGACGACCGTGATGAGGAGGTTTTGTCTAGATTTTTTTTTTCGGATAGAAATATTATCGTCAGAGCTGGATTGAAAATTTCGCTGATCAGATCGATGTTTCTGACTGCTGCTATGATACCCAAGTTAGAGAACTCGTAGTTGTATATATTCCAGAAGTTAATGATGAGAATGAATTAATCGCTGTTGACACTGGATGCATACTGGTTGGATGTATATACTAATACTTTAATTAATTAGCCTGGAGTTAGTCTTCGAGTTTAACAATACTACATAGCTAGGTTTGCTGGTGAATACCAAGTATTGATTACACGCTCGCCCCAATGTAAGCCATCTGCAGCAAATAAATGATGTGTCTCTTGAACTTGTGGGACCAAAACACCTGACAGCACATGATGGAGACCAGATGAGGAAGGTGGCTGCCAGAATGTTCCAATACGAGAACAGCATAAAAATACTTCTTTACTATTTAATATTGAGATTTCCAATCGCACAGATTGTCCTCTGGAATGGTCTCTGGTCATGTATGCTTGTTGGCATGACACGGGTCCAGTGACTCAGCCCAGTCACGGGAGCTTATCGATGACGATTCTCGTGGTGTATTCCGGGCCAACGCAGGGTGGCTGTAAGCAGGAGGATCAAGGGCAGCATGGGATTGTACTATTACTAGAGGAAAAGAGCTTCGATTGTCCATTATTTTCTATCGATTCATCGCGATTAATATCAGTATTTATTTATTATTATTGTTGTTTTCCGCCTCGTTCTGCACACCGCCAGGACTGCTGGCGAGGAACCGACAGCTGACCGCCTTTGCTGGCAGCCGCCGAAAGCGACCGACCGACTCCGCCCCGTGACTGGTCACGGCTCTCACTCTGTCCGCCCCCGGCCTGGCCTACGCGGGGCTGTTGCCTCATGCTTGCCAGTCAGTAGCAAGAGTCCCAGTCACCTTCCGACCCGACCGCCATCCATCGTCGCCTGCGTTACTCATCCCCCATCTCCTCGTCATCTCTCCCTTCCTTTCTTGCTGCCTTGGATCCTCCTCTACATCTCTGCATCGTCGCTCTGCGTAGCTTTCTACAGACCACCGCCTCGTCTGTCCATCGACTGCCTCAACTAAGCCTTATCTGATAAGTCAGTGACCGCAACTCCGTCACCATGAGATCCAAGTTCAAGGACGAGCACCCCTTCGAGAAGCGCAAGGCTGAGGCCGAGCGTATCCGCCAGAAATATGCGGATCGCATCCCGGTACGTGTCCATCGCCGTTGTTGCGCTCCTTTATCGTCGTTCCGTTACATCGTTGATCACGCCGCTTATCGGTCGACGTCAGCCCGTCAATAACTGATATTAATCGTTGTTTCACCACACAGGTCATCTGCGAGAAGGTCGAGAAGTCCGACATCGCAACCATCGACAAGAAGAAGTACCTGGTTCCCGCAGATCTCACCGTTGGTCAGTTCGTTTACGTCATCCGCAAGCGCATCAAGCTCTCGCCAGAGAAGGCCATCTTCATCTTCGTCGACGAGGTGCTCCCGCCTACTGCGGCCCTCATGAGCAGCATTTACGAAGAGCACAAGGATGAGGATGGATTCCTGTACATCACGTGCGTGGCCCTGTGTCACTCGTATTGTGTAACGTCCCGTAGCTAACCTGGAGGCAGATACTCTGGCGAGAACACATTTGGTGACTGCTAAGAGCTTTGAGTTACTCTATAAACGTGCGAGCGCTGCCAACTTGCATTCCGTTCATTAGAATGCTGGGTGTTATTCGTAACTCCGAGTGAGAACGAACTGGCTATGAGGTAACGAGACTGGCTCGACAGGGCGGGGGTGGGATTTCATCGTCCGGGCGTTTTACTGGGTTCTTGTCTTTGATTTCTACCACGTTATGTCAACGCTTGCTGTTGCAGCTGTTTTGTTTTAAAGGCCATCGATCCGCAAATTATCACGCTTATAATTTGCAGTCTTGCTTTCTTTCCTGAAGCTTCGAGTCTGTCAGGGCATAAATTGGTCAGACACAGCTCGGCACGAGTCGGCTTTGGGTGTGCCGGTAGCAGTGAACGCAAAGTAGCTACACAGTCAAAGTGCCCGCTGGCACCCTGCTATATCTCCGCTCTTGTTGCGGTTGCTTTTCTGTCAGCCTATATTATCGGATGCAGGCATCATATGTGGAAGTTCAGCTAGCTGAATTATATGACTATTCTGATCCTGATTCCTGTGGTCCAACACTTACCAGTAGTCAACATCTCAGTTTGACTGAGATGCTTCTGTTGCGTGAAAGGATATCCGATATGCAAGAATAGTCCGTCGCCTTTGAAGTAGAAAGTCCATAAGTCAGTTGCGCTGTAAACAAGGCGATCTTCCGGTCATTCTTCCAGACATTCTTGGCCATCAAATGATGCGAGAAAGAGTCAATAGTTAGCTAATAATATCTGCAAAACCGCTGCAGTAATTACCAAATTGCTAAAGGCTGGTGCGATCAGAGCCGTCGGGCTTGGATCGGGCGGCCGCGTGCCCCTTTCAGACTAGCGGGTCCGACCTCGCCAGGCCTCCGGGCCCCAAAATTTTGGATAGTCCGCCGGAGCTTTCGAAAGACTTCCCCGGAGCAGACTGTGATCGATTTTCTTCTGTCTGGTTCTCCTGCAGTTCGAGTCATCGCCTTCTTCCCTCTCTCCTTTTTTTTCTTGATCGTCGGGTCCGCGGTCGAGCCTGGAGCTTTTTACTCTTTCTCTGTTTCTATCACCCTCTCTAGTTTATCGCAATTAGATAGACGAGAAAATGTCGCCTGCCGTCGCTCAGGACGGTGCGGGCTCGGCCGCAAAGGATGTCAAGAAGGAATCCGGGACTGCTCGGTTGCTAGGTTCAGGTAGGGCGATCCAGGATATTCCCTCAATTGATCGGGTGCTGATTAAATCAACCAGGTTCTGCCGGTGTCGCAGAGCTGCTCGTTTTCCACCCGGTACGATTCATCATCTGCAGTCGTGCGCCCTGATGCTGACTGCTGTCTGCAGGTTGACACCATCGCCAAGCGATTGATGAGCAACCAGGGAAGAGTAAGTCATCTGGCTGTCCGTTATTTTCTACATGGACCAGGGCTTACACATGCTTCTTTCACATAGATCACGTCCGCGAGTGCGTTGAACCAGGTCATCTTCAAGGACTATGCCTCGGCGCCCATCGTCCGCAAATTCACTTCGCTGTTCCCGGGTCTTGGATATGCTGCCGGCTACAAGGTACAGAACATGCGCAAGCAAGCGACTTCTGAATCCTGTCATATACTTATTGTCGTCATTAGGTCCTCCAACGGATATACAAATACGGCGGCCAGCCTTTCGTCCGGGACTACCTGGCAAAGCACCACGGAGCGGATTTCGACAACGCCTTTGGAAAGGGAACTGGCAAGGCTATCATGCATGCTACGGCTGGCAGGTATGATGTTTCGGTCTGAATTTTTATATAATTGAGGTGCTGATCTGCGACAGTTTGATCGGTATCGGTGAAATCATTCTGCTCCCCTTGGACGTCCTGAAGATTAAGCGACAGACCAACCCTGAAGCGTTCCGGGGTCGCGGTCTTTTCAAGATTATCGCTGATGAGGGAATGGGACTGTATCGTGGCGCTGGTTGGACGGCGGCGCGTAACGCTCCGGGATCTTTTGCCGTACGTCGGAGGTTTTCGGTTGAGGAGATGTTGATATGCTAACTTTATCTTCCAGCTTTTCGGTGGTTCGGCCTTCGCTAAAGAATATGTCTTCGGGCTCAAGGATTACAACACGGCGTCGTGGACACAGAACTTCGTGGCTTCCATCTTCGGTGCCAGCGCTTCTCTGATTGTGTCTGCCCCTCTTGATGTCATCAAGACCCGGATCCAGAACCGCAACTTCGAGAACCCGGAATCTGGATTCAGGATTGTTGCCAGCATGGCCAAGAACGAGGGTTTCACCGCGTTCTTCAAGGGCCTGACGCCTAAGCTGCTCATGACCGGACCCAAGTTGGTGTTCAGCTTCTGGCTGGCACAGACTTTGATCCCGGCGTTTGGAAAGATTGTGTAAACTTGGGAGAGTATGGGAAAATGAAGGATTTGACATTGCTTATTCAGACCACGGCGTGGTCTGGTTTTCTGTATGTTTTATATAGAGATTTGTGTTGGGCTTGTTTCTGTCTTATGTAACTGTATGATCTAAAGAATGCACGAGATCCTCCACTTTGAAATTATTCCTAAGAACTAGATCTCATCGGTATTATGGTAATTGTCAATATCGAACCTCAGCGGTGTTGGGTGCACAATCTCAGTGAATCATAGCAAGAATCCTCACATGGATTATTCCGTAAATAATACAGCTAGCCGAGGCGAAACGGCACAGAGTCAAATTGCGAACAGAATAAATACATCAGCAATTCTAGGCACCTAGACTTAGGCATGTGAGTGTCCTGTCACAGTACATTAGACTGGGTCGACTGGATGGACGCTGTGATCAGGTGACCTGACCGAGTCTAAGACAAGCCCCACGGCAGCTTTCCAACACCGCGGCGAAAAGCGATAGCAGCATAGCTAGGAAGGTACCTAAGCTATGGACAATTATTCCATTCGCTCGGATAATACCTACAACAACCTAGAGTTTGGAAGGAAGGAAGCAAGAAAAGTAATGTTTACCCGATCTAGTGTCAAGAATTGATGGGGTTGTTTATTTGTTCATTCATTATTTATCAATTAATTCATTAGCAACCACTGAGATTATTGTCCCTCGACTGATTGCTTACTTGATTACTTGATTACTTGAGGAATCGTTGACTATTTCATTGACGAGCTGTTGTGCTCAGCGAGCTGCTTGCTGCTGCTCGAATACGCATTCTGGTTATTCCTCAAGGTACCACTCGCTCGAATTGATTTATCTTGTCTTGTCTTCTGAGTTGACTGACTGTGATCAGCGCAGCGATATCTTATCCTATCCTATCATTTCCATTCAAACAGAGCTCGGAATCAATCAATTGATTTACGACGAGAACTAAATAAAATAATGTCCTCTGCAGCACCGTATCTCATATCCAAGTGAGTTTGAGTGAACTTATCCATCCATTATTCGACGACTACCCACCTCCATTACCACCATCACCACCACCACCGGGCATTCGCACTTCTACCTACCTACCTAGACCATCCAATCAATCAATTAATCGAACCCCATACAACTCCAAACCCAGACATTCCCACTGACGATAATGATCACAGGATCGGCGACCCCATTTTCGCCGTCACCATCGGCGCCGTCTCGGCCGTGGTGCGCATCCGCCGCGAACAGCGCGAACAAGCCGTCCAGGCGGGCCGCGACGAGAAGAGTATTGGATTCGGGAGCATCCTGGAGACGGGGGGTCGGAGGGTAAGGAGGTGGTGGAACGGGGAGTTTAAGGGGTTGTAAAAATTGTAGCTACTATGTATGAATAGTATAATGTAATGTCATTTAATGGATGGTTGATTGAGTGCATGGGTGATTGAATGGATGAATAGACTCGGAAATGGTATGTATGCTGTTTTAGGAGTTTCGCGTAGCGTCTACATATAACATCATTGACTGTGTTGTGTGCGATAGACAGATAGGTACATAGCTAGCTAGATACTGTTATATGTGAGTGACTAAGTGATGAGAGTTGAAGCAAACAAGCAAGCTAGCTAGTTAATTTAATTAACTAGCATGACTCATTCCCGTGCGGTTTTCCTCTCCTAAGGAACAAGAAAGAAAAGTCCTGGGAGGTTGAGTCTTGAATAATTACATATATCCAGTAAACGGAAGACTGGGTCTGATCTCGACTTTTTTGCCTTCTTTGGTATGATATTAGGAATGGAAAGTTACCGAAGCTACACAATTCAGATCTTACAGTGTTGTGCGAGGTTTCCGAAAGAAAAAAAAATGTCCCACTCAAATTATAAACGAGGTAACGTTGATTAAATCTACTACTCATCTACAAACAGATAAATTCTATTTCTACGTGAACAACAAATGAATATTACCAGTCGTATTAGACTTTTTTACCCTAGCTAAGACTAGAGCAGTGGTTGTATTTCATAAACAACCCACAAACTCAATATCTATGCAAATTCATGACAAGCAAGAAACAAATGCCCAATTCATAAAACATCAGCAGCGCCAGCATTTACTTGTTGATCGACCATCATCAAGCAAACGTGAATTTTGTTTAATGACCAAAGGAAATAAAAAGAAAAGTACAAAGGAAATAAGAGATGATCGTCGTCACATCACAATCTCTACTCTATGGGGAACCCTCCAAACCGACTTCAATTTAGTCAAGCTCCTCAGGGCGCTCCTCGACCTCATCGGCAGTACGAGTGGCACCAGCCGCGCCAGCAGCGCCAGGGAAGGCACCAGGACCGCCAGCAGCACCAGCAGCACCGCCGTAGGCAGCGGAGATGATCGGGTTGGCAACGCTCTCCAGCTCCTTCTGCTGAGACTCGTACTCCTCCTTGGTGGCGGTCTGGTTGTTGTCGAGCCAGTTGATGGTCTTCTCGATCTCGCTCTGCAGCTTCTCCTTGTCGCTGGCGCTGATGTTGAGCTTGCCCTCGTTGATGGTGTTCTTGAGAGAGTAGGCGTACGACTCGAGACCGTTCTTGGCCTGGATACGAGCAGCCTCGGCCTCATCCTCAGCCTTGTACTTCTCGGCCTCGGCAACCATGCGCTCGATCTCCTCCTTGGACAGACGGCCCTTGTCGTTGGTGATGACAATCTTGTTGCTCTTACCGGTACCCTTCTCGACGGCCGAGACGTTCATGATACCGTTGGCGTCAACATCGAAGGTGACCTCGATCTGAGGAACACCACGAGGCGCCGGAGGAATACCAGTAAGCTCGAACTTGCCCAGCAGGTTGTTGTCCTTGGTGCGGGCACGCTCACCCTCGTACACCTGGATGAGCACACCGGGCTGGTTGTCGGAGTAGGTCGAGAAGGTCTCGGACTTCTTGGTGGGGATGGTAGTGTTGCGCTTGATCAGAGGAGTCATGACACCACCAGCGGTCTCGATACCGACGGACAGAGGAGCGACGTCGAGCAGCAGGATCTCGTTGGTGGACTTGGAGGAGGTGTCACCAGACAGGATAGCGGCCTGGACGGCAGCACCGTAGGCGACGGCCTCGTCGGGGTTGATGGACTTGTTCGGTTCCTTGTTGAAGAACTCGCCGACGAGCTTCTGAATCTTGGGGATACGGGTGGAACCACCGACCAGGACGATCTCGTGGACGGAGGACTTGTCAATCTTGGCGTCACGCAGGACACGCTCGACGGGGTCCATGGTGGAGCGGAAGAGGTCCTGGCAGAGCTCCTCGAAACGAGCACGGGTGATGGAGGTGTAGAAGTCAATACCCTCGAAGAGCGAGTCGATTTCGATGGAGGTCTGGGCCGAGGACGACAGGGTGCGCTTGGCACGCTCGCAAGCAGTGCGGAGACGGCGCAGGGCACGGGAGTTGGTGGTCAGGTCCTTCTTGTACTTGCGCTTGAACTCGTTGACGAAGTGGTTGACCAGGCGGTTGTCGAAGTCCTCACCACCCAGGTGGGTGTCACCGGCGGTGGCCTTGACCTCGAAGATACCCTCCTCAATGGTCAGCAGGGAGACATCGAAGGTACCACCACCCAGGTCGAAGATGAGCACGTTGCGCTCGCCCTCGCCCTTCTTGTCGAGACCGTAGGCAATGGCGGCGGCAGTGGGCTCGTTGATGATACGCAGGACGTTCAGACCGGCAATGAGACCGGCGTCCTTGGTGGCCTGACGCTGAGAGTCGTTGAAGTAGGCGGGGACGGTGATGACGGCGTTGTTGACGGTGCCACCCAGGTAGGACTCGGCAGTCTCACGCATCTTGGTCAGGACCATGGAGGAGATTTCCTCCGGGGTGAACTGCTTGGTCTCGCCCTTGAACTGGACCTCGATGATGGGCTTGCCGTTCTTCTCGATGACCTTGAAGGGGAAGTGCTTCATATCGGCCTGCACCTCGGGGTCGTTGAACTTGCGGCCGATCAGACGCTTGGCGTCGAAGACGGTGTTGGAGGGGTTCATGGCGACCTGGTTCTTGGCGGCATCACCGATCAACCGCTCGGTGTCGGTGAAGGCGACGAACGACGGGGTGGTGCGGTTACCCTGGTCGTTGGCGATGATCTCAATGCGGTCGTCGCGGAAGACACCCACGCACGAGTACGTGGTGCCCAAGTCGATACCGACGGCGGGGGCCATTGTGAACGGCTATGTGAGGACAGGAGGAAGAAGGGACGTGAGAGAGGAAGAAAAACGTGAGACGAGGCTAATGTACAGCGAACTCGAGAGGGGTATCGAGTCGGGAGGGGTGAGGGAGACGAGGTGATGGGATATTTTTGTCCTCAGGGAAAGTCTGTGTGTGTGAAATGAAGAAATCTGGGCGAGGCTGGTTGTGCGGGCGAAATCATTGATATAGGCGGGCGGTGAAGCTGAGTGGCCCAGAAGCTTCTAGCAGGCGGGCGCTTCGATGGGCATCCATGAGTTTCTAGGCCTGCCAGGCACCTTCCACTGGCTGCCAGAAGGCCCCAGCCGCTGCCAGACAGGGAATGCTGGGCGCCGCTGGAAGGCCCTCGTAGCTGCTGGACGCGTCCGTCTCCGGCGTTGCGATCTTCTGCTGTTTTCAGCAGCTTTCTGTCCTCGATCTCGCTGCTTCTGTGTGTTGCGATCTGGTGGGGTGGAATCATGACGTAATTTTCTGTGCGCTGCTTTGGCGACCCCGCGGCGGCACCGTCGTCGCCGTCACCATGACAATGACACGCTCGCTGCCTCTTCCGCCACGTCGGGCCGCAAAGAAGCTTCCCTTTCTTACTCTACGGAGTACAGAGCTCCAGCGCAGCGCTGCCAGCTAGCTGGTGGCGGATGAACACTGCTTGCGTTCCTCTCGAGAGCTCCTCTCGCCGCCGGGGCCGTGTCCCAGCGAGCGCTGCAACAGAACGCTCATTACCTCTTCCTTTTTCGATGCCGCTTCCGCCTGGTCAGGTGAAGATTCTGCAGCTGCTCTGACCAGCCTCAACCATGGTTGCCACATTCCCTCCCGCCAATCAGTCCCCAACACTTCACGTCAGGTCAAGCCCATTCCGGGTGGAAATACTATTTACAATAAGAGAAAGGAGGATGCAAAGGTGAAAGGGCAGGCAAAAATTCACAAATACACCTGATGAGATGAGGGTCAAAAAAACTGAATGGAACAGTTACCCAAACGGTCTCAGTCTTATTCACGTCCACTCGCAGTCAGTAACTTTCGCTGCCAGATTAGAACAGAGTGATTCACACGAATCTCTTCTCGTCAAAATCGCACGTGTCATCCAGTCGGCATTGGAGTCTCGATTGATGCTACAACCAATCATAATGAAGATGGTGGCCTAGGAGTGGGGAGTTGCAGCCTCTGTTTTCACCCACGAAGCTGATCAGGGGACATTTCAGGAGCTCAAACCGCTTAATGAGGTCAGAAGCGTCAAGAATAGTATAAAGGTATGTGCGCAGGGAATTGTTCATTCCTTCGCTGGGCGGCTTAATCAATTTTAGCTGTTGGTTTCCTTAGCAATATATCCCAGATGCTAAGCTCTAAAACGGATTGTTTCACCAATGCTTCCAAAGCCTGGATCAATACACTATTTTCGACATCCAAAACCGTACCTTGTTTGTATTTCCCCTTTCGACAGCTGGAGACAAGATCTATCGTACCTTCAAGTTGATTGGATCAGCAGTAGATCTACACAGATCGAGGCCGGAAAATTAGACCAGCCCATGATAAACTATATCTAGCCACTTTCTCCGAAGGCGCGCCAATCAATTTACTATCCTGGGTTAGTATTCAGTTGATGGACACTGCCACCAGTCAACATTTGTTTTTGCTGGAGCATGAAGCATTCCAGCATGAAAGATTAATAGATACCTAGCTAGCACCATACTATCCAAGTCTTGTCATCTTGCCATTTCAACAGTAAGGAAACGATAGCTGCTCGTTTTATTTGCTTATTTTTCCCACCTTGTCGTCCAGTTCAATTCCTGTCTACACGGAGGGGCAGAGATCACTGTCTTCCCTTGCATAAAGAGTCGATTTAGGTTAATCTGCGATCGGGCAGCGCCAGTCACGGGCGGCTTTCTGCAGGCGGTCAGCCGCTAGCGCGTTGAGCCCCGGGCCATCCCGCCCAATGAAAAGATGAGCAGCGCATGGGAGCGATGAGCCCTCCGGACCATCGAGCTTGCTCTCTCCCTTGCGACGCTGCACGACGACACTCTGCTGTCCTTTTCTTCTCTTCTCCATCGCGTATTTCTCAATCCGCCTTGTTGATCTCTCTGCGCTTTCTTCCCCGACACCATCTGGTGACAAAATAGCCTCTTCCTCCCCGCCAACGATACACCTCTTGCTGCGCGCATTTCCTACCTCTCATCATGGGTGACAACGATCAGACTACTGGTCTCAGCGCCGACCCAGCGGCGAATCCCCCCGATGCCGCGGCCGCGGAAAAAGGAAAGGGCAGGGCTGTTGACTACACTCCTGCTGAGGAAGTGAGCATGGGAGAAGAGGAGGAGGAAAGCTATGACGAGGACAGCGCCATTGAAGAAGAAGACCTGGTACGTCGGATTGCGTCAACCACGAGCGCGCAATTGTCGAGCGCCTTATAATTCGACTATAAATTGCTAACATATCACGCGTCTAGGGTGGTGTGTAACCTATCCTCCCCTCATCTTGGTAAATCCTGTGTCGTGGGCAGGACACGACAGATATGTCGCCTGCATTACTACCTGGATGATGTATTAGGACTCTACTGACCGCTATGTGACTCTTACAGATGAAGACGAGGAGGAGGGCGACAATCTCGAACCCATCTCTACGGACAACATCATCGAAGGAGGTCGACGGACCCGTGGCAAGATGATTGACTTTGCTGAGGCCGCGGAAAAGGCCAAGGCCGAGGGCGAAGGTGAATTGGATGACGATGACGAGGACGATGAGGACTTTGAGCTGGGCAACGAGGACGAGATGAACGAATAAACGCCAAACAAACAATCCTTTTTTTTCCAGTTACGGCAACGACATTCTTGGGAGGGATAATCTGATCGGCATGTTTAATCAGGCGCAAATTTCATATGGTCGTTAGGTATTTGGGTCATGCAAAATACGGGTACGGAATGGGATGTAGCGCTGGCTGGGCAAAGCAGACCAGCATGCATTACTGGGATGGTCTCTGCAGGTTCTAGCAGAGAGCATGAAAATTACGTTTCGAAAGCCCACAATCTCAGTTTAGTAGTGACAAACCAAAATTTACGGCTAAATTGTTTTCCTGATTTTTCTGTCCCTTGTCAGTAAATTTGAAGCTTCTAATGTAGCGAGCGCTGCCAAGGTAAGCTCTTACCCCATGCTGTCTGCCTAACCCACACCAAACGACAACAAAATTCGTGGAAAAGCTACTTTTATCAGGACAGAGAGAAATGCAACTACGGTAAACATGATATATAATTTTGGTTCGTAATTTAACTTCTAACTGTGCCATATAAACTGTGCTCAGGTTTGTTTTGTAGACAGTATTCCCATTCCGGTCACGCAGAGACTCCCACATGGCAGCTTTCGGCTCTCCCCGAGAAAGGAAACGGTCAGCAAGCTGGATAGTTTTTCGCCGCAAAATCATCTCCGAACAGAACAAGAAACAAGCAGCCATCCACCATGAGGATATGAGCCTTGCTGCTTCATAACGATTCTATCTGGTTTGAAATTATTTTATTGGTGAGCGCCTGAGAACTACTTTCTATTAATATCAGCCGCATCATGGCATCACGGTATGATAACGTCGCCCACGCGATTCATGTTTCCATGCCAGCTAATCGACTCTTGGCCAGATTCCCACACTCTTCACTGCACCAACGTGACCCCCGCGCTTCTTCGTCGCTCTTCGATTCCTACAGTGGTAGCAGCACCGGCCGCTCACGGCCTGCGAGCAGATCGCCAGGACGTGTCGGCGGTTATGGAGGATACTCGGGATCTATCAGCGATGGGTATATGAATGGCGGGCTGAGTACTGGTAGTACTGGCTATCGAGCTGCCACGCCGAATTCCAAGTATGTGGTTCCTGTGGCTTGATGGCGGAGGTTCAGTTGCGTTTCGCTACTCTGGGGGAGCTGTGAGAATGGTCAATGAGGGATGAGTACATGCTGATGGGTTGTGTGCTTCAGAGGTCACTATTCTGACGCCGTGCTGGATTCGCTCGAATCCCAAAACGATGAAAATATCGCCGGGATAACGGCAAAGGTGCAGATGCTGAAAGATGTCAGTTACTTTTGATTCTTCCTTTATGGTCACACCGACGCTGACTTTTGTAACAGCTCACAGTTGCTATAGGCGACGAGATCCGGAGCTCGAGCACTCTAGCCGATTCCCTCAACGAAACTTTTGACACAACCCGTATACGGCTTCGAGGCACGATGAATCGGATGTTGCGCATGGCTGAGCGGACAGGCGTCGGCTGGCGCGTGTGGTTGCTCTTCTTCATTGCCGTCTTTTTCCTTTTTGCCTACGTATGGCTTTTCTGAGCGCTTCTCTCGACGAAAACCGGCGTTGTGGCTATTTGACTGTTAGAGGCCCCCGGACTTATACTCTGGCCTCTCGATTGTTAACCGAAACGATTTCGCTCAACCTGATTGTCTTCCAACATCTTACGGTGGATGCTTCGCTCTCTCATCACGATGCGCATGGACTTGGCGTTTCTAGGCGTTTTGGCGTTGCTTTTTGCTTTGCAAGACGACATGATTGACGCACCGCACCTTTCTACAAGTTCTCTTCTTTCTAAGACTTGTTACAACATCCCTCCAACGAGTGGTCTGTTTCGCCCATGGTCGAGGGTCATAGTTCTCTTCTGCCAGGGATGACTCCAACTGCTTTTATGCCTTTGTGACTTCTGTACGTCATGATCAGGGCTCAGTTGGTCGTGGTGTTGGAAGACAGGTCTGACTGCTGTTGTCGATCGACGGCTGCTTTTGTTTGCTTCGGTGTTTGCACGTACTGCATATTGCGTTTGTCATTGGGCACGAAGCGATGGATGGCCATCCAGGAGGCGAGGAAGATCTGTGACCTCTGCCATGGCTACATGCCACGATGTCACGCAATAAATGTCTCTTGATCTTCCATCTACCGGAGGTACAGGATATTCCACCATGCTGTGTGGCTGATATTCCAACTATTTATCACCACATCACATATGTATAGTTAATCATATACAGATAGATACATACCTCCTCCACCTGCACTCTAGCACGTGTGGAGGACTAATCTTAATGTAAATCTTTCCATACATGAGTCTTCTTACACCTGCGGAACTAAGTAGATAATAGCATATACATAGAAGTATGGTTGGCATCTACTCAGGTCGAACTACAAAATTGTGAAATTATTATGCATTGCAATTATTATTACAAGTAGCAGAAGAATTTTGATTCCTCATGCCAGAAAGAAGCATAATCACCATTAATTCATTCATTAATTCATTCCTTTATTCACCCTTTTGCCAAACGCCATGCTCGACCATATCTATCCTTACCCCCAATTCGCATTGATTAAAATGAAATACTCATAACCCGATTAAAGGTACACAGTTCTGGACGTAGCTCCTAGTCGAGACTGTCTCTCGGTCCCCCTCGTCTGGGAAACCGTCGACCGAATCTGCTAGGTCGTCGGATGCTTTCCTGGCTGGTGATCGATGCGCGGAGGTCGTCATCGTCCAGCGACATTCCGCTGGTGTCGAAGACGTCTGAATCACGACCACCACCGCCGCCGCCGCCACCACCCCAGCGTTGTAGGAACCGTCTCTGCGCTTCCGTCTCGCGCGTCACGGACGGTAGTTGCGGAGGCAGGCCGCGCCCGCTGCCGGGTGTGCGGATGCGAAAATGCTCCGCGAAGGGATCGGGTCGGTCGTCATCGTCGTCGTCTTCGGCCTCCGTGTCTGTATGCTGCCATTCTTCCTCTTGCTGGCTCCTTTCTTCTGCTGCGTCGGGGACATCGTCGTCGAGGTCTCGGCCCATCATCGAGTCTCCGAAGCCTTCTTCTTCTCCTTCGTCTCCTTCGGCGGTAGGAATCTCATCGTCCAGATCGGGCTGGTCGTCAAAGCCGTCACCATCAAAATCATCATTGTCACCGTCATCATCACCGTCATCTGGAAAAGCATCCGGGATATCATCGTCGAGATTGCGCTCCATGAGCTCGTCGTCGTCGACATCTTCGTCTTCCTCGAACCCCTCCTCTCCTTCCTCAACAAGCCCCTCGGCATCCGCATCGGGGATATCATCGTCCAGGTCCCTCTCTAGCTCATCCGCATCCACTCCATCTCCGACAAGACCCAGCTGTCCCTGCGTCGTGTCCCCAAAGGCATCTAACCCCATGCCTGCAGCCGCGGCAGCAGCATTCATCTCCGCAGCGGCCGCAGCGAGACCTTCCTCCCTCTCCGCTTCCTCCTCCCTCATACCCAGCATGGTCTTGGGACATCCCGCCGGCTTGATCCAGGCGTAGCCAAAGGACGCGATATTCTGTTTTCGGACGCGCAATGCGCGTTCTTCAAGGAGCAGAGCCGCGAGGCTGTCGGACGGGGTTGCGGAGGAAATAAAGGCGCGAGAAGGCGGGCCATTCTGGGCCTGGCGACGAGACGATTCGGACGAGTTGGGATGGGTGTGAGGTGGGTAGGTAGAGGTCGTGGACGAAGAAGAGGAGCGGTATGGCTGGGAGGAGCCGAACCAGAGTTCGTGAGACTGTACACAAGCAAGATTAGTTATGCATGCCACATCACATAAAAAAAATAGAAATAAAGAAAAAAAAGAAGAAGACATACATCACGCGGTGTAATGAGAGGAAGCGAAAGCATTGTGACAAGTCTTGCTTTAAAAAAAAACAATAATTAATTCTTCACGCGGGTGTGAACAAAAACATCGAAAAGAAACCCCTCGTCACAAGCTAGCTAGCTAGCTATTCTAAACACAGAAGGAAAAAAAATGAATTCCTTCAAACCCAACCCCAAGTAAGTAAGTAAGCAAGCAAGCAAGTAGGAAAGAAAGTCAATGCCTGCATATGATGGACAGAAACTTGGGGTGATAGAGCTAGGTAGATACCCAGGTAAGTTATGTAAGTACCTAAGGTACCTAGGTACCTAAGGTACGGAGTACTGCTGACCGCTTTCTAATATTAAGGCAGAATTATTTGTTCCCCGCGGGGCACATGCACAAGACACCTAGGTACCTAAGACAGGGCTAATGATCATTGATCAATCGATCAATTGATTTGGTTGATTTGATTGGCCTTGCCTAAAAGGATTAAATATCAACAGATAATGCAATCAATACCTTTAGGTAAGGTCTGGTAAACTGTTCAAACTAATACCTAGCACTATTACTGCTACTGAACTGTATGTTAAGTTCTGTGCCTACCTAGGTGGATGTGTACTGCACTGCACTGTACTGTACTGTATGAATATACATACTTAGGGGGATAAGAAGTCAGGATAATTACTATACAATTAGCATTTAGCATGGAAAATAATAAAAAAGAATAAGAGAGAAATAGAGAGAAAAAGAGTAGGAGAGGATGAATAATGAATCATATCGAGGTGCTATTATCGAATACATCAGGAACAAGAAGAGGGGAAGGAATAAAGAAAGGAGGGGAGAGGGGTGAGAGGAGGGGAAGAGAGAAAGGGCCAATTAATTTGCCTGCACTTATTATGAATTATTATTGATCTGATCCATCACAGAAACATGAGATGAACTGGTAACTACTACTTTTCTAGTATTGCTGCTTCTTATTTATTTGCTATTTAATTATTATTCAAGGATGATAGGCATAAATGATGATGAATGCGTGGATGGCATCTAGTGTACATATAATGTTGCATGTACTTTTGCTTTATTCTTTTGTACAATAGAGAAACAAGTGTATATATATTCTACTACGGATATTCCTCGATAGTACTTACTCCGCAGTATAGTCCTCTTGTAGAGTGTGTGAGGGAACAAAAATAAATCCCCTCTCAGCCAAGTTGAACTGTTCAAGTTGTCACTCGCACTGCTTAGTGGGGTGATGGCCATAGATAACGATACTACCACGTATGTACCCCGCCGTACCCCAGTCGAATGAATGAGTACGTAGTAAGGTATGTACACGTACACCGGAGGTATGCCATCGATCGTCAAGGTTTCTATGGAGGAGCAAGGCTGTCTGGTGTCCAGCAGGATTTGAGTTTGGAAATTTGACGATGCTGATTGCTGCGATTCTCTGTCGATCTGTGTGAGTTTCCAGTCTGAAAGCGTATCTATTCATAGAAGATGCTGTTAGTAGACAGTGAAAACTTTTCTTCAGTTTCATGCAGTTAGTTCCTCCTTTATGGATATGATCTCGACAGATTTGTTATGGCCACGCGCAGGTCAACTGGTCCACCTCATTCTTGGGCAATAATGTCGACGGAATCGGGGACCATTCTCATCGTCGCCTGCTGGCTTGCCGACTTCTCACTGCCGTGCAGCGATTTCTCCACCGCATGATTTGGCTGCTTAAAGGGGCAAAAAAAAAAGGTGTTGCGTGGGCAGCGTGGCCATGGTGTCTCACTTGAAGCTCACGCCTCCTGCCTGATGGTCGACCGTCGACAACACTCCGATCTTCGCAATGGCAGCCTCGCAGCGGTAGGTAACTTGGTACTTGGCGGTACGACGTCCAGTTACACCGCCCGGTTCCTCCCGCGGCAGGGCAGATTTGCAGCAGGAAGCGACCCGCCGTGGCCGGTGAGCTCAAACAGTTCAGGCGCGCAGGCGACTTTCGGGAGAAATCGGAATGTTTCACCAGACAAGACGAGTGACATCATGTGACTCCATCCTCCCTCTCCCTGCCCAGACGGACAGCAGACGGATATTGAAGCAAGGTGTTTGTTTTTCTTGTACCTGGAAAGCCAAGAGTTAATCGTCAAAGCGGACAGTGCCTTGTAGGACAAGCAAGGAAGACCAGAACGACAGAAATTCTGCCTGTTTCGATGACATCCACACTGCAAACTGGCAACTCGACTGCAACTCTGGATGAGTCATCTGCGTCTAATTAGTTAGTCTGTATAGTAGGCGAGCAAGACAACAAGCTTGGATGCCGGAGTTATGGCAATTCTCCGGAGCCATGTCGACGGATGGAACGGTGGTGTTCTGTTTGAGGGGCAGCAGACTGGATGCTGAATAATAGGAAACATGCGATTTCGCACTGATTCATAGCAGCAGGTCGGAAACTAGCCGCCGCGGCGCTGTGGTGGATGGGCCTGGGAATTTATTATAAGAAAAAAATTGTTGGACCAGGCACACGACCACTGCAAGTCTGTAAGTCTGTCATTCGAATGAATGCATCGTTACGGTAACATGACCAGCAGCTGGCAGCCTGAGGCGTGATAATAATACGAATTGCAGATGTTTATTTACTCCTAGCTTAACGCTTACAACACAGCAAATCCAGCAGGTTGGTTCGTTAGATCTGACTCCCCAGAGCGCCAACCTTGTTGCTGCATCTGAGCTTGAGCAACGGCCAGCCAGTCACGGAGGACGCCAAGCAGCGCCAGCAGCCCCAGCAGAGATAGATAAAGCTGTTTGATGACCTTCAGATATGACTGCAGCAAACCGCAGCCGCCAATCAGCGCGCAGGTAAAGGGGCTCTGGCGCGGCTCCGGGGAGCCGACATCGGGCAGAGGGACCGGAGCGCACGTGCGGCCGCCGAACAGCAGTCCTGATCCCGAATTAATGCCACATACCACAGGCTCTACACAGCGCAGCTTGTTTATTTTATTATGAGTCAACGACTGCCATAATGCGAACATCCTCGAGGCTAGTCGCAGCGCCACCCATGGTCCGGCTCGTCGGCTCTGCATTCCTTGGCGTCTCACCACCGGCACGAGAGCTTCTGTCGAGCGGGGTCCGTTGTCGGACAGCAGGAGGCAGATCTCTGGCCGAAGGGAAGCCCTCCGTGCCAGTCATTTTCCTCTTTTTCCTGTCCCCGACCTCGCAGCGCCGTATCGGAGCGTAAGAAAGTACCACCAATTTGGCACCTACCGCCCAGTGCGCTCGCTGGGCAGTGTTCAGCGTGGGGTACATCTGCCGGGGGCATCTTACCGGCCTGGGATGGGGCCACGGGGCCGAAGCTGCACAGTGCACGTTTTAGCGGCATGCACGTCCCCTAGTAGGGCGGGCGCAGGCCACTTCGGTTTGGGGAAGACAACTCGGGGATGTGCGGCAAGGGTCAATCCTAACAGCCAAAGAAAAAAGAAAGAAATACTGTACTCCGTAAGCGAGGACGAATCCTATTATCCTCAGGCTAACTAAGCGCAGGATGCTTTCACCGTTTGCAGAAAAACGATGCCGGGTCGAAGATTCCATTCCTCTTCCGGAAGGCGTCGGAAGCAGGGGAACTGCGGACAGCTCTCCTCCGTCGAGTCCGTACGGATATAGGGGATTGTAAGACATCGGATCTGGATGTGGTAGTCTCTTCCAGTTAATCCTTGAAAGGATCCAATGGCCAATTGATTATATACGACCTTGGCAGAATCCCCTTCCCCTTCTCGATGCCGATCCCCGTGGCCGTTGACCAAATTGTGCCAAGATAGGGATGCCAATATACAGTCTCTACGCTGCCAGTAACACGGCGTCCAAATAATAATAACTGATCTGGGCATACAACCCCACCTTGGCAACGCCACCAGATCCCGGGAAGAGAGCGGAAGCGATCTGGGAGATGACTTGTCCTCCCTGATACGGACTCTACGGAGTAGTGGAGAGCGGTCCGCCATGGCTTTTCGGCCGATTCTGGCATCGGGACTCGGATGGCCGACAGCAGCAACGACCAGAAGAAGGAATCAAATTTCCTTCCATCCTCTGCGGAGGGGTGTGCCTGTTATGCATGCAGCCTGCCAGATGCAGGGACGTGCTCAGAGCAGACCGCAGCCGCTCTCCCGAGGCCACGTCTTCCGGATTTCGGGGGGAGGATCCCACCGTAGCGCAGCGTTCCGCCCGGCTCGACCGCAGCGAAGGCAGACGATTTTCCTATATTTTTTGTCACTGGATGAGGCACCGCCGTCCGTGAGTGGGCGGACGGGTTGGCGCTGCCCTCCGGTCGGAGGGCGCCTGGTCCCCGTCCCCGGCGGGATCCCTGCTCTGCGTCGAATAAAATACGCGGTATGCGTCGTTACCGTAGTCCGTTACCGTCAAGCAGTTCGATGCGCATCGGCTGCTGCCCGCTAGTGGCAGACGTGCAGCGCCTAGCCTCGTCTGCATCCTGTGTCCCCCACCCTGGTGGATCTTGACGTAGCCAGACTTTAATCTTGACCGCGCCTAAGTTGAAAAGCCCCGCCGCTGATTGGCCGGCGCTGTCTTATCTCTGCCACTGCAGCGCTGCTCGTAGGAAGCTTCACCTGGAGCGCTTGCAACACCGGTAGATGATCTAATTGCCCTGATCGCGGGGGGAAGAGCGGAATGCCGCAGGCATGGCGACGCTGGCGATGCTCTGGTGACGCTCCCTGACTGTAGAGGATGGATGTAGTGGCCGACTGGAGCGGAGAATGGATGGACACAAGCAGGTGGCAGCTTCTCCAGAAGCGGCATGGACGGGCAGAATAGAATTCCAGCGCAACCAGCCAGGTGAAAGTAATTAGGAATTATTTTATTGTCACGGCCGCTGCGAACCAGACCCTCCTGGGATAGCTTGTCATCCAGCTGTCCCATCGTCTGGAGATTCATTGGCAATTTTGCCACGGCACACGCAGGCTCTCTACTCCAACCCCACAGTCCTAGACTTTTTTTTTTCCGGGCTTTCACCAACCCATCATTTCGGAGAGGAGCATTTGAATTCCCGGCCTTGCCCACCTCTTTCTTTCTCTTCTTCCTCCTCTTCCTCTCTTCCCTCGCTCCCTCACTCTCTCACTCACACTCGCAACAGACGCTGGGTCGATAGCCATCCTCTGTGCTTCCCTCGGTCTGCTGCTAGGCTGTTATCGTTGTTGGCCCCAGCCGTCGTGACGACATCGTGTCTTGCCTATCTCTCACCCCGCCCTCACCGTCACCATCGCGAGAACCACGTCCCTGAGAAATAAATAAGGACCCCCCTCCCAACTGTTTCGCATTCTCTGTCGGTCACCGGCGGAAGAATGGGTCTCTTGGAGGAAACCTATGGAAATGAATTAATTGAAGAGCAGACTCCCCAGGAGTACTCCGCGTTTAAGCCCGAGAAGGGCTATGGCTGGGCGGAGGCCCTGCCCGCGAAGCAGGGTCTCTACAACCCAGAACTTGAGAAGGATGCTTGTGGTGTAGGCTTTACTGCGTAAGTTTCTCTGGCCAATTTTCTGACTCTTAATTAATTTTTCTTTTCTCGATTTGACGCGATTATCCATGGCTAATACACGCACACAGCCATATTAAGGGCAAGGCGAGCCACAAAATCGTCAGCGATGGTGAGTCTTTCTAAAAACTATGCCATTGCGTTTCTCCGTGGACTTGCTTATTGATGACCCTCTCCTACAGCCCGCAATTTGCTATGCAACATGACCCATCGTGGAGCCGTTGGCTCCGACGCACGAGATGGTGACGGTGCTGGTGTGATGACTAGCATTCCGCACAAGTTCTTCGTGAAAAACTTTGCACGCGAGGCTGGCGTCGAGCTTCCCCCATTGGGACAATATGCTGCGGGTAACCTCTTCTTCAAGCCCGATAATGAGGCGCTGAAGGAGTCCATTGCGACTTTCGAGGAGATCGCAGAGTCCCTGGGATTGCGAGTTCTCGGTTGGCGTGAGGTTCCCCGCGACTCCAGCCTGCTGGGTCCGGCCGCGTTGTCGCGTGAGCCTCTGATTATGCAGCCCTTCGTTGTGCTTCGCTCTGCCTATGGCGATGGCAATAAGCCCGAGATCACCGACCCCGAGAAGTTCGATGAGAAGCTGTTCGAGCGTCAGCTGTACGTGTTGCGGAAGCGGGCCACTCATGTCCTTGGCCTGGCGAACTGGTTCTATCTTTGCTCTCTCAGCAACAGGAACATCGTGTACAAGGGCCAGTTGGCACCAGTTCAAGTCTACCAGTACTACCACGACCTCGTCAACGTGGACTACGAAGCCCATTTCGCTCTGGTCCACTCTCGTTTCTCTACCAACACTTTCCCCTCCTGGGATCGCGCACAGCCGTTGCGATGGGCTGCCCACAACGGTGAAATCAACACTCTCCGAGGGAACAAGAATTGGATGAGAGCGAGAGAAGGGGTGCTGAAGTCGGACATCTTCGGTGATGAACTCGACTACTTATACCCCATCGTGGAGGATGGCGGCTCCGACTCCGCTGCTTTTGATAATGTTCTGGAACTCTTGATGATCAACGGTGTTTTGTCCCTCCCGGAAGCGGTGATGCTCATGGTCCCAGAAGCCTGGCAGGATAACCCTTCCATGGACCCAGCCAAGGCGGCATTCTACGAATGGGCAGCATGCCAGATGGAGCCTTGGGATGGCCCTGCGTTGTTCACCTTCTCGGACGGTCGCTACTGTGGTGCGAACCTCGACCGCAATGGTCTCCGTCCGTGCCGATTCTATGTGACTGACGACGATCGCATCATCTGTGCCTCCGAAGTCGGTACGATCGATCTGGACCCCGAAACCATTGTCCAGAAGGGCCGTCTGCAGCCGGGTAAGATGCTGCTGGTCGACACTGTCGCCGGCCGCATCATCGACGATGCTGAGCTGAAGCACACCGTTTCTCACCGCCATGACTTCCGAGCTTGGCTGGACAAGGAACTGCTCACTCTCCCTAACGTTTACAAGTCCTTGCAGGAGCAAAACGAAGACTTCAGCGTCACGCTGGATGACTCCACTGTCCAGAACGATGCTCGTCTGAAAGCATTCGGCTATTCTTTTGAGCAGGTCAGTCTGCTTCTGGGACCTATGGCTGCCGATTCCAAGGAGGCCTTGGGTTCGATGGGCAACGACGCACCACTGGCATGCCTGGCTCAGCAGCCTCGCTTGCTTTATGAGTATTTCCGTCAGCTTTTCGCGCAGGTTACCAACCCGCCCATTGATCCCATTCGTGAGGCCATTGTCATGTCTCTGGAATGCTATGTTGGCCCTCAGGGTAATCTGCTGGAAATGGACCCCTCGCAGTGCCACCGCCTCCTGCTGCCATCTCCTATTCTCACCCTCAGCGAATTCAAAGCGGTGAAGAATATCACCAAGGTTCACAAGGACTGGCCCGTGAAGGTCATCGACATCACGTTCGAGAAACAGAAGGGCGTTCAAGGTTACCTGGACGCCCTCGATGCCATCTGTGATGCGGCGACGGAAGGTATTCAGAATGGAGACAAGATCCTCATCCTTTCTGACCGTGCCACCTCTGCGGACCGCGTCCCGGTTTCTGCTCTTCTGGCCACCGGTCTTGTCCACCACCACCTTGTCCGCAACAAGTGGAGGTCCCTGGCCGCCCTGGTCGTTGAGACCGGAGAAGCCCGTGAGGTCCACCACATGTGCGTGCTCGTGGGCTATGGTGCCGATGCTATTTGCCCGTATCTGGCGATGGAGTGCATCCTCAAGATGAATCGCGAGAAGCTCATCCGTAAGCCGCTGTCTGACGAAAAAGTCCTTGAGAACTACAAGGCCTCGTGTGACGGCGGTATCCTCAAAGTCATGAGCAAGATGGGTATTTCGACTCTGCAGTCATACAAGGGCGCCCAGATTTTCGAGGCCCTTGGTATTGATGACAGCGTCATTGATCGCTGCTTTGCGGGTACCGCAAGCCGCATTCGCGGTCTGACCTTTGAGCAGATTGCCCAGGATGCCTTTGCTTTCCACGAAAGAGGATTCCCGTCTCGACAAATTGTGGAAATCCCTGGATTGCCGGAGTCGGGTGAATACCACTGGCGTGACGGTGGTGAGGCTCACGTCAACGACCCGGTCAGCATTGCGAACATCCAGGACGCTGTGCGCACGAAGAACGACAAGTCCTATGAAGCCTACGCCCGATCTGAGCATGAACAGATCAAAAACTGTACACTGCGGGGTATGCTCGAGTTTGACTTTGAATCGCGCACTCCAATTCCGATTGAGCAAGTCGAGCCATGGACTGAGATTGTCCGCCGATTCGTCACCGGTGCCATGTCCTACGGATCTATCTCCATGGAATCGCACACCACTCTCGCCATCGCCATGAATCGCCTGGGCGGCAAGTCAAACACCGGTGAAGGTGGTGAGGATCCAGAGCGCAGTAAGAGGTTGGAGAATGGAGATACAATGAGATCCGCTATCAAACAGGTCGCTTCCGGCCGATTCGGTGTCACCTCCAACTATCTTGCTGATGCGGATGAGCTGCAAATCAAGATGGCTCAGGGTGCTAAGCCAGGTGAAGGAGGTGAACTGCCAGGTCACAAGGTGGCAGGGCCCATTGCTCGTACTCGTCACTCTACTCCTGGTGTTGGTCTGATTTCTCCACCACCGCACCACGACATCTACTCCATTGAGGACCTGAAGCAGCTTATCTATGATCTCAAGTGTTCCAACCCTCGTGCACGAGTCTCCGTGAAGCTCGTGTCGGAGGTCGGTGTCGGTATTGTTGCTGCTGGTGTCGCAAAGGCCAAGGCGGATCATATTCTGATCTCTGGCCACGACGGTGGTACCGGTGCTTCCCGATGGACCGGTATCAAGTACGCGGGCCTTCCGTGGGAATTGGGTCTTGCTGAAACCCATCAGACGCTGGTTCTTAACGATCTCCGTGGCCGAGTCGTCGTCCAAACCGATGGTCAACTCCGCACGGGACGCGATGTCGCTATCGCATGCCTGCTTGGTGCCGAAGAATTTGGTTTCGCAACAGCGCCTTTGATTGCCATGGGATGCATTATGATGCGGAAGTGTCACGTGAGCAGACTCCCCAAACTCACATTTTCTTTTATTCTTTGTTTTTCTGCCTTTTTTTTTTCGCAATGTTTTATCTTGTTTTGCTTTTTCTCGCGATGTTTTTCTCTCAATGCTCTGTATGGAGCGGTTGCTGACATAATCCCGTCCAGTTGAACACGTGCCCAGTCGGAATCGCGACCCAGGATCCCGAACTCCGCAAGAAGTTTAAGGGCACGCCCGAACACGTGATTAACTTCTTCTACTATGTGGCCAATGAGCTGCGGGCAATCATGGCCAAACTCGGTTTCCGGACCATCAATGAGATGGTGGGACGGGCTGAACTGCTCAAGGTCAGGGACGACATCCGAACAACCAAGCAGCAGAATATCGATTTGTCTCTGATCTTGACTCCTGCTCACTCCCTGCGTCCCGGGGTTGCTACCTACAACGTCCGCAAGCAGGATCACCGCCTCCATGTCCGCCTCGACAACAAGCTTATCGCCGAGTCTGAGCTTGCTCTGGAGAAGGGCTTGCCTTGCAGAATTGAGTGCGACATTGTTAACACTGATCGGGCCTTTGGTGCTACCCTTTCTTACCAGATCAGCCGTCGGTACGGAGAGGCTGGACTTCCGCACGACACTATTCATGTAAACATCAAGGGCTCTGCTGGTCAATCTTTCGGCGCCTACCTGGCTCCTGGTGTGACCTTGGAGCTCGAAGGTGACGCCAACGACTATGTCGGTAAGGGCTTGTCCGGTGGTCGTCTGATTATCTACCCACCACGCGGTGCCGTCTACAAGGCCGAGGAGAACATCATTGTCGGTAACGTGTGTCTCTACGGTGCTACGAGCGGTACCTGCTTCTTCCGTGGTGTGGCTGCCGAACGTTTTGCGGTCCGCAACTCGGGAGCCACTGCCGTTGTGGAGGGTGTCGGCGACCATGGCTGTGAATACATGACCGGCGGTCGTGTGCTGGTTCTCGGGCCCACTGGACGCAACTTCGCTGCCGGTATGTCTGGAGGTATCGCTTATGTTCTTGACGTCAACCAAGACTTCCACTCCAAGATCAACATGGAGATGGTTGAGGTGTCCGGCCTTGAGGACCCAGCTGAAATTGCCTTTGTCCGTGGCCTCATCGAGGATCACCATCACTACACCGGCTCCGAGCTCGCTGCACGCATTCTTCTGGACTTCAACCGTGCCCTTCCTCGCTTCGTCAAAGTCCTGCCTACCGACTACAAGCGAGTCCTGCAGGAGGAAGCTGCCAAGGCGGAGGCTGCTAAGAAGGCGGAGTTCTCACTTCCCAAGCTGCCCAGCAGCGTTCCCGAAGAGAAGCCGAAGCACCAGCATGAAGAAGCTAAGAAGAGCGACGTTTTGGATATCGAAGACAGCGTCAGTGACTCCAAGACGGAGAAGAAACGAACTGCCCTCATTCTCGACAAGACCAGAGGGTTCATGAAGTACAGCCGGCGCAGTGAGAAGTATCGCAGCCCCGCCACCCGCACGCGCGACTGGGCAGAGCTCTCTAGCCGTCTTACTGAGGACGAGCTGAAGTACCAGTCTGCACGTTGCATGGACTGCGGTGTCCCCTTCTGCCAGTCTGAAACTGGTTGCCCAATTTCGAACATCATTCCCAAGTGGAATGAGCTTGTCTTCCAGAACCAGTGGCAGGATGCCCTGAACCGCCTCCTCATGACCAACAACTTCCCTGAGTTCACTGGCCGTGTCTGCCCTGCCCCCTGTGAGGGCGCTTGCGTGCTGGGTATCAATGATGATCCAGTGGGCATCAAGTCTATTGAATGCGCTATCATTGATCGCGGCTTCGAGATGGGCTGGATCGTTCCTCGACCGCCGAAGACTCGCACCGGTAAGACTGTTGCCATCATTGGTTCCGGTCCTGCTGGTCTCGCTGCTGCTGATCAGCTCAACCGCGCTGGTCACACTGTCACTGTCTATGAGCGTGCGGACCGCATTGGAGGTCTGCTCATGTACGGAATTCCGAACATGAAGCTCGACAAGAAGATTGTTCAACGACGTGTTGACCTCTTGGCTGCCGAGGGCATCAAGTTCGTTCCCAACACTCCGGTCGGTCCCGACCATGAGGTTACTTTGCAGTCCCTGCGCGCTTCCAATGATGCCGTCATCATCGCCACTGGAGCCACTGTTGCTCGCGATCTCAAGATTCCTGGTCGTGAGCTCGAGGGTATTCACTTTGCTATGCAGTTCTTGCACAAGAATACCAAGTCCCTGCTTGACTCCGGACATGCCGACGGCGCGTACATCTCTGCTAAGGACAAGAATGTCGTCGTCATTGGTGGTGGTGATACCGGCAATGACTGCATTGGTACCTCGCTTCGTCATGGTGCCAAGAGCGTGACCAACTTTGAGCTTCTGCCGCAGCCTCCGCCAGAGCGAGCTCGTGACAACCCATGGCCGCAGTGGCCTCGTATCTACCGTGTCGATTACGGTCATGCTGAGGTCAAGACGCACATGGGCAAGGACCCACGTGAATACTGTATCATGTCTAAGGAGTTCGTCGACGACGGCAATGGCCATGTGAAGGGCATCAACACCGTGCGTGTTGAATGGACAAAGAGTGCCACTGGCGGCTGGGACATGAAGACTATTGAAGGCAGCGAGCAGTTCTTCCCCGCCGACCTGGTCCTGCTGTCTATGGGTTTCCTGGGACCTGAGGACCGTCTGTTGGGTGATGAGATTGAACGCGATGCTCGGAAGAACATCAAGACTCCTCCTGGTCAATACTCGACGAATGTTCCTGGAGTCTTCGCCGCCGGAGATTGCCGCCGTGGACAGTCTCTGATCGTCTGGTAAGTTATATCGTCGCTCTTGCATGTGGATATACGGACTAACAGATCGATCCAGGGGCATCAACGAGGGTCGCCAAGCGGCTCGTGAAGTCGACTCTTATCTGATGGGCACTAGCTCTCAGCTTCCTGTGACTGGAGGCATTGTCCGTCGTCCGGCTGCTGACACCGTCCCTCAGCCAGTCCAAGTGGCCACTGCTTAAGGATGACACGACCCAGCTGAAGCTTGGCAAATATTGCGATGGCTTCGAAGTCACGACCTGACTATCTCAGCCAAGCTGAATATGGCAGTGTCTATTTCAGAGCATGGAACCTCCGGGCTTACGGCGAATCTTTTATGACGGAGTCACGGAACAAAGTCAACCACATCAACAATACCTTATGTTTGGTTATGAAAAGATACAATATACCCCAGACTTGGAGCGCAACGTTGCATCTCTTTCCTTTTTTTTTTCCGAGTTCGTTCAGTCTTCGTCATGCACAGGTTGAAGGAACCATGGCGTTAGTGTCGATACTGTTAACTCCATCTATACTATCCGTTTTTGGGGCGGTCATAGATTTTTTCGATGGGTTTCAGAAGACACATGGCTGGATGAATGAATGAGAGCGATCGACTGCGGGAAAAAAAAAACGGACTGGAGGCACACTGAAATTTCTTTTGTTAGTGTCGAAATGTTTTGCGTTGATTTCTGCAGGTTCTTTTTTCTTATTGTCTTCATGTTTCTGACCGCGTTCGATTGATTATGTTTTGCCATGATGTTTTCTCTGTGATGGTAGTTTGTGTTAGCCTCTTTTTTTTCTCTCTCTTTTTTTCTTTGGTTGTATATATTTGCTTCAATTTCAAACTGAGTTCAATTCAAATTCTATGCGCTATACATACGTAGGGTATGATTATCCGTCGCTTTTTTTTTTAGCGTTTTCTTCCACATTAATGCTAGTATTATTATTGAGAAGATTCTTGGGGTATTGCGGATGGAATGATTCGGTCATATATCTATCTAGGTATCTGCATCTCAGGCGGGCTACTGACTCAGATTATCCTTCCCACAGAATGCTTGTCCTGAATGGTGATTATGTTCTCTCCAGGCGGACGTCAGACTCATATGGATCCATATTTGCCTGCCAGCCATGTTTTCATAGCTACATGAATCCTTTTGTTCATCTTTAGAGTATATCACTATTGACCAGCAGAGAACCTAATCAAGACGATAGAAGGCATTAGACAGGGAGCAAGTAAAGGTGATGTTGGCCTAGCCAATGTAAGTTGTTTGCTTAACCAGGCTGTGACCCATGCTGAATTGTGTTATATAGATACTGTGGAAAGGATCAGTCAAACATACTGTTATGAGCCTACTATCCCTCTTAATCTTGGATAAAGCTGCCATGTTATCCTGGTTGCTCTCTCCATCTTATACTATTAGATTCGATATGCCAGCCAAATGGCTTGTTTAGGAATACTACTAGCCTGGAGCACTTTTCGCAGAATGGACCATATTAAAGAGCAGCTGTCTTGGTTTGAAAAAAAAAAAAGACAACTATCTCCATCTATATTGCAACCAGAGCCTGGCTGTATGATGAGTGATCCTCGATGCAAAGTCCAACCTGCCCATAAGGGATCCTGATCGACATAACCAAAACGCTTTTGCCCATGGTGGCAATATTCTTCGCCATAATTCTCGTTATATCTTTTTTTTTTTTAAAAAAAATGCGAGTAATAAGAACACGTTCAAAACATGACTGGGGGTTGTTTCTTTCCTATCGTAATGTACATACAGTGCATGCGTAACTTTCTATCCAGACATAAAGAATGGGTATCTGTCCACTCCGCCTTGGTGCCCATAGTTATACAAGAACGAGAAGAACGAGAGATGTCTATATATTTCCATTATCCGACAAAGCCATTCTCCATCCCTCTTTCTGCAGTCAATCATTGTTGCCGACGAGCCACTTCTTCTTCTTCTTCTTTCATCCGCCTTTCAAGAGCAGCGAAATCTCCCTGGAAGGCATTCTTCACCGGCTCCGTTCGGACCTCCCACACATCCTCGCTGCTCGGGCCCGTTTTGTATTTGATGGCCTTTTTCCGGTAATGATCCCGGATCATCTCCTTGCGTTGCTCGTCCGGGTAGGCCTTGGACTTCATGCAGAACCAGAAATTCTTCCAGTGTTCACTGCAGGACCGCAGCTCGCCGTAGCGATAGATGTTGACAAACTGGCCGCCAAAGGATTGGCAGAAGAATGCGTAGTCGAACGCAGAGCGGCAGTCCATGGTGTCTGGATACAATGACTCGGGATGGATCGAAGCAGGAGGGTCTTTGGGCTTTTTCGTCTCCGCTTCTTCGGCGGGTTGGGCGTTGGAGGACGGTTTTGCCGTTCCCTCGAGGCCGGCAAGAAATTCTTTGAATTCTGCTTCCGCCTGTTCATCGCGCGTTATCGGCTTCGACGGTTTTGGCGGCACAGCGGACGGCTGGGGAGGTTGCCCTGCTTCCTCCAAGGGCGCAGGAGATGGGGGCTGAGCGGAGCTTTGCTGCTCATCTTTGCGTGGTGTGGAGCTCCACCACCAGCCCATTATTGTCGCGTCGAAGATCCTGCGGTGCGTTTGTCGAGGAAGAAGAATTGACTGCGGAGGACGGCGTCGGAGGTTGTGACGGGGAAGATTGATAGAATTGAATCCGCCTTGGCGTGGCCGATAATACGCTGCGTCCCGATCGGGCAACTGCCTTCCCAGCGACGTCATTGGGCTGGTAGATAAACGCAGCACAACAGTCAACCAGCAGCAGCTCCTCTGCCGCATTCGCCATGATGCGGGCTGCGCTCCCAATATGGGTACCAGACCCTGTTTGTTCATTGTCACGTTTGAGGACCCGTCACATGCTCCTACGTCCTCCTATAGCTTGTGGCCCGTATGCGCAACGCACGCAGCTTCTATCAGCCGCAGGCGTGCGATACTCGACAAACAGGCCGTACGAAGAGGGGCGCATCAAAGTAGAGCGTAATGAAGGAATGCTTTTCATCAACAGTGAGCGTCTTCTACCATTCGACGTATCAAATCCCATTAATTGGTTATGATGCGTATCTACAGACATCGCCCCGCTACGACTCCAGTGGTTCTTCCGCCTGTCACCGGTGAGCGAGGGTCAATTTGTTGACCGTGTTTTGAGACAGTTTAATCAGCCCTCCTACGCCGCTGCAGACCACTGGGCCATCGCAAGACGGGCCATGCCGCCTGATTGGAACATTGAGATCAAGGCGGTTGTTCCTCGACTGAAAGAAGGCGGGCTGTTTGTGAAGTACTCCCGTCCGCCTGATAAAACCGATGAGGAGATAGAAGAGGCCGTGAAAATCCATCTAATGGACAAGCCGATAAGACCGTGGTTCAATCCGTTTGACCAGGTCGGGGTAGGGCGCGTCGTGGGGAATCCATGGATCGAGGACCTGCATCGCTTTCCGAGCCCCAAGTTGAAGGTCGAGTTTTGTCCGACGTCGCCCGAAACCACTGCGACCGAACTGACGCAAGAAGCCTTATATACCATTTTCCGAAAGTATGGGAAACTGAGGGATATAGAACGGCAACAACCGGGGTCGCCGGTTACACCCAAGTTCGCCTACGTGGAGTTCAGTCGGGTTAAATTCGCCGTCTTGGCCAGGAGTTGCGTGCATGGTCTGACAGTCATAGAAAAGGATGGGGGCGGTAAACATGGCACGGTTCTGAAGATCACATACGAGCGAAAGATCAAAGGCTCCTGGATCAGGGAGTGGCTGTTCAATCATCCCAGAATCGTCATTCCCACCTTAGCCGCGCTGATCGCGGGGATAACTGTCATCATCTTCGATCCGATCCGCACGGCATTTATCAAGCTCCGGATCAAATACTTACTGAATACCGAGGAGAAGGGCTTTTGGGAGTGGATCCGAAAGCAAGTAAGAAGGGCAAATATTCTCTCCTCTGGGCACCAAAAGAGCCAAAGCAATATACTCGCAGCAATCTGGGACAATCGCAAGAATGATGTCGCTCAATTGCAGTCTTGGTTGATGGAGAGCGCAGGTACTTTTATCGTCGTCCAAGGCCCACACGGCTCGGAAAAGCGAGAGCTGGTTATTCAGTCGCTGAAGCGGCATAGATACAAGGTCATTATTGATTGCAAGCCTATCCAAGAAGCGAGAGGAGACTCTGCAATGATTTCCGCTGCGGCGACCCAGGTGGGCTACCGACCCGTCTTCTCCTGGATGAATAGTATCAGCAGCTTTATCGACCTGGCTTCCCAGGGTATAATCGGGACAAAAGCTGGATTTTCGGACACACTGGATGCGCAGCTTGGTAAGATCTGGGCCAACACTGGAAATGCCCTCAAGCAGATTGCGCTAGAGGAGCGGGGAAAGGATGATCGAGATTCTCAATTGTCAGAGGAAGAGTATCTAGAGGCGCATCCGGAGCGGCGACCCGTCGTGGTGATCGATAATTTCCTGTACCGGGCCAGCGAAAAGACTCTGGTCTACGACAAGCTGGCGCAATGGGCTGCTGCGCTGACAACAGAGAATATTGCACATGTGATCTTTTTGACAACGGACCCATCGTATCCCAAGTCTCTCAGCAAGGCGTTGCCCAATCAAGTGTTTCGGACCATCTCGCTCGGTGACTGCTCTCTTGAAGTCGGGAAGAAATTCCTTCTGAGTTACCTGGAGCGTAATGGTGGTGATGACGGCTCCAAGCCAGGTTTATCTCAAGGATTGGAAGACTTAGAAAGCTGCGTCGCCACCTTGGGAGGTCGTCTGCCGGACTTGGAATTTATGGCACGTCGGATCAAGGCAGGAGAGAGCCCTCAAAGTTTGTTATTCTGCTTCTTCCATGAATGACACCTATGTGCGCGCTGACTAAATGCCCCAGGTGCTGTGAATCGGATCATCGAACAGTCTGCTGCGGAAATCCTGAAATTCTTCGTCCTGGAAGTCGATCCCGACACTCGGCACTGGACTCGCGAACAGGCATGGTACCTCATCAAAGAGTTGGCAAATTCGGAAGATGCAGTTGTCCCGTACAACCAAATCTTACTCTCTGGGCTCTTCAAGGAGAGAGGAGAGGCCGTGATCGAGGCTCTTGAACAAGCAGAGCTGGTCGCGGTCGTCTCGGTTAATGGCCGACCGTCTGCCATTAAGCCTGCCCGGCCAGTATATCACGCTGCATTCAGACGTCTGACCGGGGATAAAGTGTTACGCAGCCGCCTCGACCTGGCTGTTCTCGCTCTGCTGATTGGGAACGAGAATAAGAAAATTAGCAAGTATGAAGATGAGCTTCAGTTGCTTGGCCGCCTTCACAAGCAACCGAGTCAGCTTACCTCGCGGGTCCAATGGGTGCTGCGGAAGATCGAGCATGCACAGGCAAAAGTGGAGCGGTACGAAATGGAAAGCGCATCTCTGGACCGGGTTTTGCAATCTGAGCGCTGAAAGAATTCTACTACTCTGTCAAAACGATGGGCATCGGAATCGTTCTTTTTTTTTTTAACTTTTTCTTGAAAAGGACTGCATATACAAATATATCCGGGATGTTAATGGCTTGGTCAAGTGACGAGAAGGCCTAGATGTGAGTCCGTTTTCCAAAGGTCAATCATGTTGCAGATGGGCCAAGAAGTGCCTTAGCTCTATGCTTTTGTTGGTCTGCATGCAGAGCTCCAACACATGATCAGAGGGTTATCGCGCATTCTTCCATCATGCCTAATATCATACCAACTGGCATCTAGTCGCCTTTGGAGGCTCTACGGAGTATAGCCCGAGTCATCCAAATAAGGGACGCCGATCGATCAACTAAATGACGTAACTGCTAGCATGTCCTGGCTGATGCTGCAACCTTGCAGAGCTTAGCTTCTCCCATTATATTCTCGTTTGTGAAGCTGTAGCTAGAAATACTTGGACCATATAAGTAAGTAGTTCATAATTACCTAGGGAGGCAGAAGGACTTTGTTTATTATTCCAGCCTCACAAGATCAAGAAATTAATCATTGGAAATGAATAATAAGCTCCGTGCCAAATCCAGACTTCCGGTTCCCGCAGTGGAGCCTCACGTGACGCAAAAGCAGCAAGACATCCAGACGGTCCTCTGTGATATCACAGGATGCCTTTAATTCCGTAATGAGAAAAAAAAAGAAATGCATCGACTACTTTATTCGAACATAAAATATAATGCACAGCAAGCGGGAGAAAATCAAAATCTCTGAAGTGGTCGGTCAATTCGATCCCTCGCAATGGACGGAGATCGGACCAGCGCTAAAGCGGCGCAGCAGCGCGCGTCTCATGTCACACAGCCCAAACCTCCCATCTCCACAGCTTCTCCTTGATTCTTTCTGCAGAGGTTGAGAGGCTTTCCTACTTCGAGGGGGGCATGAAAAAAAATCTTATCCCTCTCGTATAACTGCACAGCACCGATGGGGATTGGGCTGCTGGCCGATTGCACTGGTTCGAATCTCTTGCTGTGCCATCACGTGGATCTGATACACTAGAGAGCCTCTCCGTTTGTGTTCGTCGCAGCTCGTCTTTTTTTTTTGGATATTCGTTTGTGAGACTGCAACTGGAAAGATAATTTCAGAAAAGATCCAAAGATGGAGGCCTACGTTACGGTGCCCCATCGGGTGGTGCAGGTCGTGGAGGACATCACCCCGACGCTGGCCCTGCAGACGTTCATTGCGGTGCTGTTCTTCTCATGTCTCGCCACGCGAATCATCAGCGGTCTGCAAAGCCGGCCGAAGAAGGTCATCGAGGGCGAACCGCATCCGGTCAGGAAGCTTCCTTACTGGATTCCTGGGCTGGGACACTTGGTGTCTGTGGCCAGGGGCCACCGAGACTTCATTCTCAAGGCAGGGTCCGTTTTACTTCTCTCTGCTCCTGCTCCTATAAAAGCGACAAATACAAGAAACTGACCATGCCGCAGACAAACCATCAACGAGCCGATCGTGGCGCTTCAGATGGGGCGCCAGACTCATAACATGATCTTCTCGCCGTCCATGACCAAGGCGCTATTTGCCCACCGAGGCGCATCGACGGATTTCTTCGTGTTTCGCATCATGGAAAACGTGTTTGGTGATGGAGGTGCAACTCGGCGCATGGACAAGAGCCATATAAAGTCTCTTAACCATGCTCTGGGCCTGATCTTGCGGGAGCCTTATGTGACGGATACCTCGTCGGCTGCAGTCAAACTCATCCAACAGGAGATCGCCAACTTGGTTTCCTTCGCCCACAGCGTTGTCGATCAAAATGTCTGGGAACGCGGCAGCGACGTCTCCGTGGTCGACGGTAGCGATCCTCCTGTCGCCGAGGCGAATCTATTCGCGCTGACAAGGAGCTTTATCGCATACATCACGACGACCGCCTTCATGGGGACATCATTCGTCGAGTTCTACCCCGGTCTTCTGCAAGACATGTGGACCTTTGATAAGGCATTCTCTCTGCTTATTGCAGGAGCCCCCAAATGGCTTCCTATGCCGAGTGTGTCGGCCGCGTATGGTGCTCGTGATCGTCTTCACAAGCTCGTTACCGCGCTGCATATGGCGTTTGCGGCTGTCGAGGATGGCCGCGATCCAGGGGTCATGCTCCGTGATCTTGACGACCTTTCCGAGATGATCAAGCAGCGTATGCGGACCTGGAGGAAGGCTGGGTATTCCCCAAGCGTTGCTGCCAAAGGAGACCTGGCCGTGCTCTGGGCTATGAATGTGAACAGTTCGAGCATTGTTTTCTGGATCCTGCTCCACATTTATTCAGACCCTAGTCTGCATGCTGCACTGGAAGAGGAAATGGCACCCTTTGTCAAAGCTTCTCGTCTTACTCCCAAAGAGACTGGCCTTCCGTTCGCCGAGCCGCCGCGTCTCTCTCTTAACCTGGAGGGGTTGCTCACCTCGTGCCCGCTGCTCCGAGCGACGTTCTATGAGGCCATCCGGATGTACACTAACTCCGCGTCCTACCGAGAGCTGTCCAGCGACCTCACCCTGACCGAATCGGCCGAAGACGCGGCCATCTTTGGAGCCGCGCAGCCACGGTCGTACCACTTCCGCAAGGGCGATATCCTTGTCGTGCCCAATGGCGCACATCAAATGGATCCTCGGTACCATAAGAATCCCGATAAATTCGACCCCCATCGATTCATCGTGAAGGATCCGGAAACGGGCAAGGTGTCGACAGAGATGGGCACGATTCGGCCTTTCGGCGGTGGTGCATCGATGTGCAAGGGACGTGTCTTTGCGGAACGCGAAATATTGGCCTTCACCGCTGCCATTCTCGCGCTGTGGGACGTCAAACCCGTGAGCCCGAAGGGCTGGAAGCGTCCGGGTTTAAAGCCCGGGAGCGCTACCTATATCCCGGTTGGCGATGTGAGAGTCCGGATGAAGCATCGTGTCTAGTTGGCTATATGGTTTTGTAATGTTTATAACATCTTTTTCTTTTTCTTTCTTTTTTTTGTTCGGGTTATATATATGTATCTATATGCATATTTTCTATGTCATATTCTTAGATCACATAGAGGACAGGCCAGCGCGGAGTTCTAGGATTAAGCGAAGCAACCTTAATGTTTTTGGGCTTATCACCAGCCTATGCCTTCTCCAACCGTCGACTTTTGTCACTGTGTTGTAAGCATATCCACAGCCGTCTTGATCGTCTCCTTGACAGTTTCCGCTGCGGAGAAGAATCCGAGATCGCGGAGTTACTCCACCACGATGTATCGGCCCAACTCCGCATCCGCTGGCCACTCGTGTCCAGCATATTAGAAAAAAGGTTGCTCTAGGCCTCCTGCTGTCTTATTGCTGTAAAAGTAAATAATCGATTGTATCCCTTCACCTTTTATAAGAAATAATATAGGTTGACATCACCATCCAGCATGCCACAAGACGAGGCCGAGCACCTCCCGAAGGACGACTACGATCTGTCCAAACCCATCTCATCCACGTCTGGCCTGCGGCAGGGACTCACCTCGTATGGAGATGCGCATTTCTCTCTGTTCCTGAGGAAAGCCTTCATCAAGGCCCTGGGGTATTCTGATGATGCACTCTCTCGGCCCATCATCGGCATAATCAACACCTACTCCAGCTACAACCCCTGCCATGCCAACGTGCCCCAGCTCATCGAAGCCGCCAAACGCGGTGTGCAGCTTCACGGCGGTCTCGCCGTTGACTTTCCCACGATCACGTTGCATGAGTCGTTCGCGCATCCGACGAGTATGTTCCTGAGGAACCTGATGAGCATGGACACGGAGGAGATGATCCGCGCGCAGCCAATGGATGCCTGCATTATGATCGGAGGTATTTGATTCTCCTTCTTATTTATCTTCTTCTCATCCGTCTATAGTAGAGTATTCTACACGAGTATACTTTTTCTTCTTTTAGGGCATGATTCTGACGAGGAAGCAGGATGCGACAAGACAGTCCCCGCCCAGCTCATGGGTGGCATCTCAGCCAATAAACCAGTGCTTCCTTTGGTCACTGGTCCGATGATGTCCGGGAGTCATCGAGGCCAGAGACTGGGTGCCTGCACCGACTGCAGAAACAATTGGGCGGCCTATCGAGCGGGAGAGATTGATATAGAAGAGATCTCCGCCATCAACGAAGAGCTGGCGCCCACAGTGAGCTTCCCACTCTTCCGGAATTCTTGAATGTGATTGACGACCATTTCTGACTTCTCCAGATTGGAACCTGTGGTGTCATGGGCACCGCGAGTACGATGGCCTGTATCACTGCCGCCTTGGGGCTGATGCCTCTTCGAGGCGCTACCGCCCCTGCAGTCTCCTCTAGCCGTCTCAGAATTGCGGAGGAGACGGGTGCGAATGCTGTCGCTGTCGCCAAGGCAAAGCGTACGCCGCAGGATATACTCTCAAAAGAATCCTTTCTGAATGCGATAACTGTTCTCCAGGCGATTGGCGGCTCAACTAATGCTGTGGTTCACCTGCTAGCGATTGCCAATAGACATCCACAGCTCAAGGGGGTGATTACATTACAGACATTCGACGAGATCGGCCGGAAAACGCCGCTTCTGATAGACCTGAAACCAAGCGGCGACAATTATATGAATGACTTCCACAATGCGGGCGGTATGCTGGCGCTGCTGCACACGCTTCGACCGCTTCTCCATCTGTCTGCCATGACCATAACCGGCAGGACCCTGGGCGAGGTTCTTGACGAGTCTCCGTTCCGCACATTTCCCTTCTCGCAGCAGGTTATCAGGCCTCTCTCTAATCCTCTCTATCCCTCGTCGTCCCTCGTCGTGCTTCGCGGAAACATCGCTCCTGACGGCGCGGTGATGAAAGCGTCTGCATCGAAAGACCGCTCCCTCTTGCGCCATTCCGGTCCGGCCGTAGTGTTTGAAAACAGCGCTGATCTAGCCAGGAGGATCGACGATCCAGACTTGCCGGTGACCAAGGACTCAGTCCTGGTGCTAAAGGGCATTGGGCCCATCGGCAATCCCGGCATGCCCGAGGCTGGCCTGATCCCGCTTCCGCGCAAACTGGGAGCAGCGGGCGTGAAGGACATGCTGCGTCTCTCCGACGGACGAATGTCTGGCACTGCGGGAGGGACGATCGTTCTACACATCTCCCCGGAGTCCGCTCTGCCGGATTCGCCCTTCGGTATCGTGCGGACGGGCGACATCATCACCTGCGACGTAGAAAACAGGAAGCTGCAGCTGGAGATATCGGATGAAGAGATGCAGCAGCGGATTACGGAGAGGAAGAAGGCATTATCTGCGGAGGTGGAGACGAGGAAACACAAGAGGGGTTATCGCGGTCTGTACGAGCGATCGGTCAATCAGGCGCAGGACGGCGTCGATTTCGACTTTCTGACCGCTGAAGGGCCATAGATAGAACAAGGAATTATACTTAGATACATTTTCTACATATAGAACAAACTGTCATTTGAAATGGAAGTGTTTCAATTATAGACCTGATTCGTCGGCATATCCTGACCCTAAGCCCTAAGCCCTATTTTGATACCTAAATCGGGAGTGTGATGCCGTGTCGCGCGACGCGTCGGATTACTCAACGCGTCGGCGGCCATTGCGGAGAACGGACTAGATTGCAGTACAGTACAGATTCAATTCCGCATCACGGAGTCGCTTTTCAAAAGACACTTGTTTTCCTCTGGGCTCGCCCATCCGTGACAAAAGAATTAATTGATTCGGTCCGGTCCGCATGCAACGATAACAACAACAATGACATCGGAAGCAGTTCGACCCAGGGGGAGGCCTGCCCGTACGTATCACCTATCATCTTAGATATGGAAGATCATGCTACGCCGGACGAAAATCTTGCATGCTAATCAAGGTTCCTATTTCCAGACACCCCCGGAACAACCGTCTTGACGTATACTCCCGATGGTCGACGGGTGATTACCGCTGGTTCGAACTCCGCCATTCGTATCTATACAGTCGGGCAGGATGGCGAGCCTACGACAATTGATGAGGGCGTGGAAGGCCACTTTGGGATTGCCGCAACGGTACTGCTCCATTAATTTTTTTTCGATGATCGTTCGGGCTGACGGGAACAGAATGAATCGTTTGTTATGGGCGCCGAGGATGGCACGGTTTGGCAGTATGAGTTGGAGTCTGGCAAGATGGACAAGCTGCTCGTCCGATGCGCTTTGCCCGTGCGAGACGTCGCGATTTCAAAAGACGGCGAGTGGATTGCGGTGGCCAGCGAGTAAGGTCCTTTCCGTGGACGAAGCAACGCGTACGGGAGCTGACAGCATGAAGTGAACTGACAGTCAAGATTGTCAACGTCGAAGACATCACGAAGGTCAAATACCTCCGTGAGCAGACCAAGGGATCCAAACATGTCACTTTCGACCCCACTGGGCGGTATGTCGCCGTCTCCTGCACGGATGGAATTCTGTACATCTATTCCGTTGTCTCTGAAGAACCCGAGTTGGTGCGAAAACTCGACGGCGTGATTCGACGACTTGAGCCCGAAGACGAGGCGACATCGAGAGCGGTCTGGCATCCCGATGGCACTGCTTTCGCATCGGCGCAGGCCACACGGGACGTCGTCGTCTTCTCTGCCTCCGACTGGAGTCGACAGAAGTCGTTCTCAGGCGGCCATAACGGAGAAATTACCGCCCTCAGCTGGTCGCCCAATGGTGCGCTGCTTGCGACTGCAGGTGCAGATGGCCAGATTCTGCTTTGGGAGACGAGCACGCAGAACATCCTGCGGCGGTATGACTTCGCGAACGTGATCAATCTTGCGTGGCATCCCTCTAGCAATTTACTGTCGTTTACTACATCCGATGGCGAGCTTTTCATACACGAAGATTTCGTCCCTCGAGAGTACAGGTCGCTGCTGGACAAGGTACTCGATGCCGCTCCTCTTCTTTCCGGTCCATTGGCGGAGACGTCTGGAAATGCCAGACGGCCGACGGTTAATCGACTGAAGCCTGGAGCGGAGAACAGGCCAAGACGAGATGCCACTCCGGATTCGTTGGATGATATCCTCGGCCCCATGGATGAAGATGACGACTTTGTGGAAGACGATGATGGCGCTGGCTACGCGGAGAATGTCAATGCGTACGGAAAACGTACGAATGGTCATCTGGATGATCTCCCGGGCCATGATAGCAAGCGGCTTGCCTCGTTTTGGCAGCCTAAGCAACACGCTCCTTTCCAGCCTGGAAGTACCCCGTGGAGGGGCAACAGGCGCTATCTCTGTAAGATTCGACTCCTGAATTTGACTTGTGGACAAGGTGACTGACGCTGGTAGGCTTGAATTTGACTGGAGTCGTTTGGACAGTTGATCAGGAATCGCACAATACTGTGACGGTTGAATTCTACGACACAGAGCTGCACCGAAACTTCCACTTCACTGATCCATATCGTTATGATAAAGCTTGTCTAAGTAAGTGGGACCTTTGAGAATCACCGCGCGCAATATACTGACCACATTCAGATGAGAATGGCACCGTGTTCGCTGCGCCCCCAACCGATGATACTCCGGCGATGATCTATTATCGTCCCCATGAAACCTGGACAACACGGGCGGATTGGCGGACTCAGCTTCCTCCGCAAGAGTCGATTGAAAGTCAGTAGACATCCGATGAATTGGGTGACGCACATGCTGACTGCAATAAGCAATTGCATTGAGCGATTCCTACATTGTTGTATTGACTAGCAAGAATTACGTCCGCATATATACACTCTATGGCACGCCATTCCGGATCTACAGACAAAAGAGCTCTGCCGTGACGTGTGCGGCCTGGCGAGACTACGTCTTGACCGTTGGAAACGGGCCGGTGGGCAGTTCTGGGTGTTCGACGCTGACATACTCTATTGAAAACGTCAAGCGAGATGAAGTATGCCAGAACGAAGACATTGTCGCCCTATCTGAGGGCTCGGAGTTGCAGAACGTCTTCTTTTCTGACACAGGGGTGAGTTCACTAGGAGAAAATCGCGGGTGTTCTATGCTGATATCGTGCAGGATCCGTGCATATACGATTCGGACGGTGTTCTTCTGGTTCTCCAGCACTGGCGAACTCCCGGCCAGGCTCGTTGGGTGCCGCTGCTGGACACCAAGCTTCTGGACCGACTGGCCAAAGGCCGGAAGGAGGAGACGTACTGGCCTGTTGCTGTTGCTCAGAACCGATTCCACTGCATTATCCTCAAGGGAGGAGAGAAACATCCGTATTTCCCCAGGCCTCTCCTCACTGAGTTTGAATTCAAGATTCCAGTCTCCACGGCACCGCCCAAGGAGAACGAGGACGAGGAGGAAACGACTTTGCGCAACGACGCAGCCCGGTTCGAGGAGGCATTCGTGCGCGAGAACCTCTTCCTCAGCCTCTACCAGGATCTCATCTCCAGCACGAACGCTACCCGCAACCAGCGAGCGGAGCTGGCGAGGAAAGAGGTCGAGATTGACAAGATCCTGCTCCAGATGCTAGCGATTGAGTGTCGCGAGGGCGAAGAGCGGGGTATGAAGGCGCTTGAGCTGGTGGAGATGATGCGTGACCGCAGCGGCAAGATGCTGGAGGCAGCCATCAAGGTCGCTCAGCGGTATGGGCGGTCTGTGCTGGAGGACAAGATTCGCGAGCTTGGCGAACGACGGCTCATGGGTATGGATGAGGACGACGAACTTGCTTGAAATAGTACTAGGGTGATTGGATTTTTTTCCCCCATTTTGATAATGGGATGAAATCAACGAAATGGGTAGAATTGGGATGCCAGGAGCATTGGTCGGAAGCAATTTTATTCTGTTTATGATTTTATGATTTTATTTCGTGTACGGTTGTTTTGTATACTTGGAGATAAGGGAAACGCTTGATGTTACTAAATACGAGCTCCGTACTGTGCATATGCTCTAGCTGTCTGATTAATGAGGCAACTATCATTGGCCCCGACATTTCAGATCAGCAGATCAGCCAATTAAATTAGTAACTATTAGATTGCAGACAGCATGACATAATTAATTCATTTTTCTGGCGTTGGCCCTGTGGTCTGCTGTTGATTTCTGTCTGGAGAATTGATTTCTTCCTGTGGCTCGGCCCGGCCAACCCAACAACGTCATCGGAATGGCTGCTGCCAGCTCCATCTCGCCATTTCCATCCCTCCCACCCTCTTGCCAATGTATCTCCAGCAGCCACGGCCTCTGCAGCCCGTTTCTGCGCCGGACGAGCTCGTACATCGGCCTTCGTGATGCCCAAGCCGTTCCCTTGCCGTCGTCCTCCTGCCTCTACCGCCATTGCTTCTTCCATCCGATGGGCTGTTGCTCGGCTACGTCCTTCCCCGCGGCCGTCTTCTCCGCGACTCCGACTGCTGCGCTCTCATCAACAACAGCAACCCTTTAGCTCGACGTCGTGCGCATTCCTTGCGCAGCCGTATTACAATTCCCTCGAGGATGAGCTCTGGTTTGCTCCGTCTCCCGCGAGTCTGTTCTCGTCTACAAGAGGCCAAGGCGGCCCTGTGCCCGATGGGTTGAACGGAGGTGCCAGCGGCGATCACAAGCCGCCGGATGAACGGGTTCTGAAGCTTGGGAAGAGTGAAGTAAAAAAAAAAAGATCTAAACGAGCTGTTTGCATTTGTTTCTATAATTGCATGGTTCATGCTAATTGTTTATTTTAGCCCTTCGCACCCTCTCCCCACTTCTTCCGACCATCCTGATCAACCCGTTGCCTTTGGAGATTCTGTCTCCGCAGGTCACCCTCCATCTCTTCCCGTCGACACATCCGCATCTGCCGAATGTCAAGGGCAGAGTGCTCTACCGAGCAGCGCTGTGGACAGTGCCCGTCGCCTGGAGCAGTGTTCCCCTGGTTGGAAACGTGAAATTGCAGATCCTGAGCGAGCGGATGGTCCGTGCAAACACCGTGCTGGGCTGCGATCGCAACGAAAGCTGTGGGGAGGAAAGACTGGTCGTGCGATGGAGAACAGAGGCACGGGATGAAGGGGGTGGTGGTTCGACTTCGACCTCGACGGCATCACCCTCATCGGCCGGTTCCAGCCATCTCGCCGACTCGAAAGCAGGCACGAACAAAGGGCTGAGCGCGCTGCTGGGCGGCGAAGCACCGATCTTCAAACTGGGCAAGGAGGGCCAGTTCACGGGGCTGTTCATCTTCGGGTTTGACGAGGAGGGCCGCATCTCCAGCCACACGATCGAGCACGCTGACCAGGCGGACGGGTGGGATCGCACGGCCAAGTTCGTCACCCTGACCGACTGGCTCTTGGGGAAGGCCAGGGGGTCGATGGACCCTTCAGCTGGGCCGTCGTTGGCCACGCAGGGATGCGAGGAATACAACCTCGATTCGAATCGACGGATACGGCCGAACAAGTAGACATACATACATACAATTGACCTGTCGTCAAACTCGACCAATTCTCTACGTTGGCAATCTTGATGGGCAAACGCTATGAAAGAGACGTGAGCTTGTATTATGACCCAGTTTTGAATTTCTTTTTATATTTCCTGGGCACAAACACACAAAAAAGGGGGGCATTTCATTTCTTTTCATTTCGTTTTTCCCCCCCCATACATTGCACTGCATTTTTGTACTACTATTACTACTACTACCACTAGTACTATTATCAAGATAGCATGTATTATTCCATATTCCATGTCCTTTTCTTTCTTGCTTGCTTTCTTTTCTTGTTTTCTGTTGGAAATCCCCACTCTGTATACATACCCAGGCAGACAGTGTCTCAGTGTACTTGAATTAGCTAGCTAGCTAGCTAGGTAGCTAGTTAGGTAGGGAGGTAGGGAGGTAGTTATTGGGAATGAATCAATCGTCGTCGTCGTCGTCGTTGTTACTGTTGATTGCATCTTTCATTTCGATTATTCTAGGAGGATATTCTGATCAGTCAATCACTAGAGTAGGTATGAATAATAAATAACAATAATTATAAGACGGCGATAGCAATCTAACGTATTGTATTGTACAGTATATACATACATAATACACAGGCCTCAAATCTATTTACTTCTTAAACAGTACTGTACACAAATATATCTATCAGACATTCAATTAATTTAATCTGATTGAAACCAAACCAAAACCAAGGTGAGTAATTAACTGACTGACTGACTAACTGATCTAGTCAGTCTTCCTCCTGACAGGAGTCCTCAACCCCCCAAACACAATCGCGCACACGCCCAACATCACCACCCCGCCAGCCGTATACGCGACCTCTCTCCCCACCCACCAGAAAAACGAGCAGAAGACGACGGGTCCCGCCGCGCGGCCGACCTGGCCCCAGCTGCGCAGACGGCCGAGGACGACGCCGCGCTCGCTTTCGTCGGCCTCGAAACTGCCCAGGCTGTTGAGGCCCGTGACGACGGTGGCGCTGGTGACGGCCAGGAAACATGCTGCGGCGTAGAGGCCGGACAGGGAGGTGATTCTTCCCAGGAGGAAGAATGCCATCGTGCAGGAGAGGACGCCGATGCGGATCGTCAGTAGCGGAGGGAGGCGGCGCACGACTGTGCCTTGGAGGAGCGAGGCGATCAGGCCCATGACCGAGAGGATGCGCCCGTTCAGGGCGGACGGGTTTATCGTCTTGTTGGTCTCGTCGACCAGAGTCGCGGTCAGGAAGGGGAGGGAGAACTCCATGCCTGAGAAGGGGAGGAGGAAGAGCAGATGCACCAGGTTCAGCAGGGCGGGGTGGTTTGTATACTGTCGGTCTTTCTTGCCGGAGGTCGTTTGTTTGGTCGTGCTTTGGCGTTGGTTTTTGCTTTCGGGTGCATCGTTCGAAGTGGCAGGTTCCTCTTTCGAAGCCTTGTCTTCCCGCCGGACAAGCTTTGGATGCGTCTCGGGCAGATACAGATACAGATACAGCGTCTCCAGGACGATCAAAAACAGCGAGAAGCCCGCGGCGGTCGCGAACGGGTTCGCAGCGATGGTGGTGATGTTCGCCAGCGCGGCCCCCAGCGCCGGGCCACAGGTGAAGGCGATGCTGAAGCAGGCGCCCACCATGGCCATAGTCGAGCCGCGCTGGCTCTCATCGCTGATATCCGTCGCGATCGCATTGGCAAGCTGGACGTTGCCCTCGCTCAGGCCGCCGACGATGCGACTGGCGAGGAAAGTGCGGAAATCCGTCGCGGCCACCCACAGCGCCACGCTGAGGATGTTGCCGGCCATGGACCACAGCAGCGCCGTGCGGCGACCGTGCTGGTCAGAGAGACGGCCGATGACCGGCGCGGCGATGGCCTGCAGCAACGAGAAGAGCGAGCCCAGCGCGCCGCCCAGCAGGACGATATCATAGCGGGAATCGATCGGCTTGGCGAAGGCGTTCTTGTAGGTGTTGAGGTAGTGGAAGATGCGGTTCAGGAGGGAGGTTGGCGAGGGGTCGCGCTGTCGGTAGAAGTTGAGCAGGGAGGGGAAGAGGGGGAGGATGAAGGTGAAGGAGATCTAGACGGAAAAACACATTAGCTGAGAAGAAGTCCTAGATAGATTTATTTACATACCAAGTCCAAGAGAAGAGAGATGAAAATCACCCTCAACACCTTCTTCCGCTGGTTCTGGTTGCTCGACAGGGCTGTTGACGATGTCGACGCCATGGCTGGTGTGTTACAGTACCCAGCTGTGCTGCCGGGTTATGCGATCAAGACACGATTCACCGTTGTTCGTCTACTCCCTTAGTAGACAGTTCTCGTTAACTCGTATCATAGACAGGAACCACAGTAGTGTAGGTAGGTAGGTAAGTAACAAAACAAGCAAACAAATAAACAAATAATTAAATCAATGTGTCAATATCAGAAAGGAACGCTCAAATCAATTGACACTTTCTCCCGTTAAAATACTGCACCTGCAGAGAGAGAAAGAGCCGCCGCTGCATGAGATTTTGTTTCAGAAGTGAGAGAGGCTGTGACATAGCAATAACTCCGATACTCCGACAAAGTGGAGCATACGTAATGCACTTAATGCCGCCAATGCATGATCCATGGCCAACCCCCCTTGTTAAAAAGAGATCTACGTACGGCGTACTCCATAGATGACGCTGTTATCCATGGAAATCCATGGATGGAGAATTCTACTTTTAGAACTTTTCGGAATTCAAAATGATAGAACAGAATGGAATGAACCCACCCAGATCTCCTCTTATCGATCAGTGACCAACTCTACACAAATTACTGTCTGTACTGTACAATGGATAAATTTGATTGCTTCACACCCGATCGTTCCATTGCTCCATAACTACCACTAGACATGCGGCACCATGCTCACTCTTCATACACTCACTTGTTCCCGGCAACCAGCCCACCCGTTTATCCGCCTGCGCCAGATTCCCAGGACCTGATCCCATCCGACCAAAGGCTCGTCAAGGATAAAGTAGCGTAAAGTACATGATTCTGATGATGGACATGGAGAAGAGCTAAACAAACATGACGCCCTTCCCACGAGGATATCGTTAATAAAAAAAATAAAAGGAAATTGGGGGAATCGTAGCACCATAAGGTAAAAAAAAATGCAACGCTCAATGACCACACGAGATAATAGTAACATGAACTTTTCCGGAGCCGTAGGGAAGAAAACCCATGCGATAAGCAGCACAGAACATCCCTCAACAACCAAACCCGACGACGGAATTCGTTCCACTCATGGACCGTACCAACGCCGACCGATCCAAAGGAGAAAAAAGAAAAGAAATAACAAATGCAGAGCGGAAAACCCGGTAGAAGAACGCGAGCTGTCGAAGAGAGGCGGGGCGCAATGCAAAGCAGGAAGCACCAGGACCAAGAGAACCGACCGGAATGTGAGCTGCGCAGCCCAAAGTCTACATTGAGTCAGCTGAACATGATAAAAGTTCAGGAGATCTCAACAAAGACTTCTTTTTGCCAAACCAGATCATCCCTGGCTGGCAACGGCCTCTGCGCGGTTGGCCTGCTGGCCTGCAAACCCACCACGACCTCGTCCGCCTCGGAAATCACCGCGGCCACGGCCTCGTCCCCGGAAATCTCCTCGACCACGACCGCGGAAGCTGTCACCGCGACCTCGTCCGCGAGCGCCTCCCCGACCACGGATGCTGTTTTGTCGCTGGTGGTGAACAACCTGCTCAAAGCCATCGTTTCCTTCGTTATTCGCGGCAGTCGCTTGGGTGCTAGAACCATCCTCTGCCCAGGTGGTCGTGGGTTGGCCCGCCGCAGGGGTAGCCTGGACGCCAGTCTCGGTCTCGGCCGGGTCGCGCGGCACCTCAGTCCACTCATCAGCATTCGCAGACGCGGTTCCAGAGTTTGTCTCAGCCGCAGCATTCGCTGCATCCCCGACAGACGTTTGGGAAGGAGCCGTAGTAACTTCCGGTTGAGTTGTACCGGACGGGGCGACTCCATTCGTCTGGGCCGTCGTAGAAGTATCCTGAAGTTCGGTCAAGCCAGCATTGGCCACGGTAGGATCAGACGCTGGCGCAGATTCCGCAGCAGGGGCTTCCTGACTCTGTGTCCAGGTTCCCTCGGGCGGAGCTGGAGCGTACTGCTCCGAAGTCTGCTTCACTTGCGCGTCTGAAAAGTAAAGTCAGCAATGTCGGAAAAAAAATTTTTTTTTTGAAAGAAAATACTCACAAGTAACGTCCAAGATGTCGCCCTCCACCGCAGGGACCTTCTCCTCAGCACCGTTGATCAGCTTGAGCATCGAGTCGACGGCCTCGTAAGTGCCTCCGTAGACCTGGAACAGCACGCCCTCAAACGCTCGGCTCTCCGGCGCAGTCTCATCGCCAATGCGTCTCATGGCAGCAGCAGCACGCAGGAATTTGCTCAGGGCGAGCAATTGTTCACGGATGTTCTTCTGATGAGACTCTTTCAACTCGGCTGCAACTTTTTCCCGCACGGCCTCAAGCTCCTCCTTGTGTGCATTCTCCAGATCAGCCTTCTGTTTGGCAAGACGTTTCTCGTAGTGAGCCGCAAATTTCTTGTACTGAGCGAGTTGCTCCTCAAGCTGGGCGACGTTGGCCTGCAGCGTGGGTTTCTTCAATGCTTGAGCCTTCTGATCTACATTGATCTTCTTCTCGGCAACCAAGTCATCGAGAGATTTTCCAGGGTTTTCGGCGATGATGCTATCAACTTTGGCAGTGGCGTTCTAAGGCAGTCAGTCGATACTGATCAGGAGGGAAGGCTGGACGGTCGTTACACACCAGTTTCTTGGTGGCATTGCGCAAGCTCCTGTAAAGACCCAGATTAGCAATTTGATCGTAAAATTGCGACAATGGCATCGTTACGAATGCAATTCATAAAAAAAAAAAAACAGAGGGTTCTTACTTCTGGAGATCCCTGAAGAAGGTGGCTTCATCAAAGTCGTCGTCGGCCACACCGTTGGTAGCAGGTTTTGACTCAGTGTCCGGGTTCGAGGGTGTCGGGGTCGTGCCATCTACACTCTGAGAAGCTTCGCTCGTTGCTTGCTTCTTTTTCGCAGACTTGGACTCTGTTTGTGCGGTGGAGTTGTTGGTGGCAGGCGAGGCAGACATGATGGCGGTGATGATTTGTGCGTGTGAGAGTTAGGAGGGCAGATGTGTGTGCGAGCGTGCAGCTGGTGCAGGGGAGAGATATGTAGCAGGTAACCAGTGCAAAGCAGTATGGGCGTGCAGGATTAGAAGAATACAGCAAGGAAAAATGGGGGAATAAGTGAATTGCGTGCAGCTCTGTCCAAGGTGTGAAGACTGGAAGTCGATGGACGGCTGGAGAAAGTTAAGACGGTCAAGGGTTTGACGGGGACAGGAGAGCCGCTTGGAGCTCCGCCTCGGTCGCGTGCTTGTCCTACTCCTTCAGGCTGGTTGCGCTGGACAACCGGACAAAGAACTGGTGGCTAAAAAAGAAGAAGAAAAAAGGCCAAAATAATGCCTCTCAACGCTTCATTGGAGACCCGCCTCTTCAGCTCATCCATTTTTAGAATTGGACTTGGCAGATCAGCAGATTGATTGTTGTGAATATCACCGCCAAGAGTGAAGTCTGATTACTGCTGTAATTTGTATAATTACAATTCCATCAGCTAGCTAGCTATAGGTCCTGGGTATCACTAAAATTCACACAAGCCCTCTGATGATAGCAGAAAGACAACCGCCTCTTTAACGCCATTCCCTCATTAACTCCCAATATACCAACATCGCCAACCGCTATGACCCATGTAGAGTGAAAAAGTTATCCCTTCATCTTTCGCAGTGTAGTCTAGAGCTGTGTGAGTAACAATATTCGAATGAATCTAGGAGACGCATGCTGCAGCTGTGACACTGCTAGTCCACACGCACCTCGGTCACCTTGCGTATGCTCCTTGCAGATATGCCCTTCTCCCCAGACTTCCTCGAGCGGATCGAAGCCTCGCGCATGAGCCTACAAGGACGCGTTCGTCAATATGCCAATGGCCATGGGAATCATTTCGAGACGGTTCAAGGAGGACGGGGAGGTGCTCACTCCTGCATGAACAGCATATAGTCGAGAAAGATCTGTGGCAGACAGGAATCAGGTCAGCAACTGAAGAGGAAGACCGGTCAGGCGGTAAACAGCACAGCATAAACAAGGAGGCCATTCAATTGGGCTCTTACCAGAACGTCTGCGTTTTTGCTGACATTTCGTCCTGAGTGGGCTTTGACGATGCGTTTCACTGTCGCGCGAGGATACAGCTTTTGCGCGACAACCATCTTCGTCTCACAGCGCAGTCGCGGTATAAAGTAGCGGCGATGGTATGACTGGCCAGAGACGATTGACGGTGTCGAGTTGGCGGTTCCTGGCAGCGTCGATGGCTGGATGTTTTGTGTTTACAAGCAATTAGTCGGGTGGGGTATTCTTAGTAGCTCACGATTGACGGGATGCCAATTAGCGCCAGGGCGAACCACCCGCTGTGCAGCACAACTGCCCACCCCGGCATCAGCTCATCGAGTACTTCTATGGCCTGCAACCTCGAATTTCTAACTACATATACATTCTAAGAGCCTAGAGAAACGAATAGAGGGCCGTTATCGCCGCCGAAGCCACTTCCACACGTACAGCGACGCAATGGAACCTGCGGCCAGTCTCCAAGCCAGGAAGACGTACATCGCCACCCGGAGACGATCATAGTAGCCATTCAACATAATCCCTACGGCATGATTGGTTGCTTTCTGGTGATCAGGCGGTGACGGTCCATAGTACCGACCAACCCCAAGTCCCCCGATGCCGACCTCGTTCGGATTATACTTGGAGTCGGTCTCTTCGGTGACGGCTAATGCTACTGTCGAAGCATCGGCTGCCGTCTGACTGGGACGTCTGAAAGACCGGACCTTGAGAGCATTGCGTTTCCGTAACGGGTATGTTAAGATGGTAACAATCAACCGGAGATCGGGACACGTGAAAGTAGGATACCTCCACAGCTGGACTGCGTTATGCGGAGGCAGCATATCGAGGAAGTCGGCCATGATACCTAGAGTCAGTCCCCATAACAGCAGTGGGCGACTTGGGTCGCTCGAACCGGCTTGGTTACTTAGGGACCATGCTTTCCACCTCTGGAAGAGTGACAATGACTCGGAGCTGGTGCTCTCGGGGACAAATCCCGGGATCGAACTGCAATACAGGCTCTCGGTGGGTACCAATCGCACAGCAGAGAACTCCATCATGCCGGTCATCCAGCGTGTAGCGAGGCGAGTGAAAAAGCCACCCCGGCTGGCATAACGCTCCGAAAGATCCACGTATTCTACGGTTCGCAGCGACGGGGACAGCAGGGCCCGGAGAGAGACCCAGTGAGTAGATGCCACCTCGGTGGGCTGCAGCTTCAACGCAGGCGAACGGCTCGACGTGAGCAGATAAATGTAAGGACATAGCACCATAAGCCTGTTTGCCAACGTTAGTTCAGGACCATTCAGAGAAGAAGCAGCCGGTGCCCACGTACGGTACACTGCCCCAGGAGGTTGTGACCACCCGTTCAGGGAGGTTGCCCACTGGCATGTACTCTTCAGCTGTCAAGTCGAGCCCAATTTCCTCCAAAGTCTCTCTGATTGCCGTAGCTTGGTCATCTGCATCCTCTGGATCTCTCTTGCCTCCTGGAAGCGCCACATGCCCGGTCCAGCGATCCCCGGCCCTCGACGCTCGTTTGATGAACAACACTTCTGGATTACCGTGTTGTACCCATTCCTGGGCGAAAAAGTTCTCCAGCTGCTGAATGATAGAGACAGACTTGTCTAACTGAGGCAGGGGAGATTCCGGCCAATGGCCGTATTCCGGGCGCACTCGAAGTATGAGAGCTACCGCAGCCCGCTTCTTGCATTGCGGCGGGTTAGACACATGTGGATATGGGTTCTGGTGCAAATTCACAAGCACCTCGTGAAGCGCATTGATTAAAGAGACTTCTCCTGATGCATGGGAGCTGGTTGATGTCATGGTTATAAAAAAAAGAAAGCAGTAGACTTTCCCAAGAAAGATGTACTAACAAACAGAAAGAAGGGCCAATGGATGGGCAATGAAAATGAACATTAGCGAAAAAAAAATAAGTATCAATGAGACTCCACCATGCCTCTATCTGTCTATACAGTCATTAATCCAGGCGAATAAAAATGTCAACCGCGGCAATCAATATCGTAAGCTGCTGAAGCAAGTCAGCTCCGAGGCACGGCGGAGCAGTCCGTCCTTCAGCCTCGCGTGGATTATGTAACGCAGCACTAACCCGTTTTGGTTGGTCTGGGGTAAGCTGCCGGACAATTGCTTTTCCAGGCCGAGAATGATGAAACGCCCGATCCGGTTTAGCGCAGACAGACGGAGATGCGATCCCTTGGATGCCATTGGCCAATCAGCACTGGCGACGAGCTGGAGCTTGCGCCGCAGATTCCAGTGGCGGCGGGCACGTGGGTCAGACTCTCTCTGGTGATGCTTGCTGGATGCGGGCACGTTACACTGCTCGATCTTTCCTCAGATCTCTCTCCATCTCCATTTGGATCCTGGCATCATCTATTTTGCTGGCAGCAGAGGAGAGCCAGGCGCGCAGTGGCTGTCTCGGGAGCTGCGCTGATCCGCGCGATCCATTGCATTCGTGTATCTTACAGGCGCCGCCTTCTCTCACTGAGCAGTCCCTCAGAGAGCTGCTCTCTCTGTTGATCCACGATGCGTTTCGGCAAGACGCTGAAGAAATCGATATACCCTCCGTGGGAGGGGAAATACATTGACTACCAGAAGCTCAAGCGTCTCTTGCGGGAACCAGATGTCACCGGTGAAGATCCCAGCGACAGTGAAAGCCAGCCCTGGACAGAGCAGGACGAGGAGGCGTTCGTGCAGGAGCTGATCAATGTTCAGCTGGATAAGGTCAATGCCTTTCAGGTCGACACTTCACGCCAACTGCGGGAGCGTACCTCTGCCTGCGAGGCCAAATTGGCCCCGTTGGTCCCGAAGGAAGGTAGCGAGCAACCGGAAGTGGTCGACGAGGAAGAACGACGAACCATTGCCAGTGAAGTGCTCCAGGAGCTAGACAATATCACCAAGGAGGTCAGCGAGCTCGAAAAGTATAGCCGGATCAACTTCACTGGTTTCCTCAAGGCCGCTAAGAAGCATGATCGCAAACGTGGTGCGCGGTATCGGGTCCGGCCCCTGCTTCAAGTGCGGCTGTCTCAGCTGCCCTTCAACTCGGAAGACTACTCTCCTCTTTTGAACCGATTGTCGGCCATGTATACGTTTACACGCCAGATCCTTAGCCCGGGTCCGGCAGACGTCAAGGAAGGGGTCAGTGGTGAGCCTCGCGTCGGTCATGAATCATATGTGTCATACAAGTTTTGGGTGCATGCGGATAATGTCTTGGAGGTCAAGACCTACATTCTACGGCGGCTTCCGGTCCTGCTCTACAACCCGACAGGTTCCAAAGAACTGGATGTATCCCAGCCCGATCCTACCATCACGTCAGTGTACTTTGACAACCCTCAATTTGACCTGTATAACCAGAAGGTCGCTCGGGCCCCTGAAGCGGGATCATTGAGACTCCGCTGGACTGGCCAGTTGAAAGACAAGCCGGCCATCTTCCTGGAGAAGAAAGTCGTCACGGACGATGACCACAGTCGGGAAGTCCGGGTGCAATTGAAGGAGAAGCATGTCCAGGAGTTTTTGAAAGGGGAGTACAAGTTTGAGAAGCAGGTCCACCGACTGGAGGACCAGGCGCAAGGGGAGTCGGAGCAGGCCAAGTCCCTGAAGAAAAATGTGGAAGAGCTGCAATCTTTTATCAAAGAATACGATCTGCAGCCGATACTCCGGGCCAACTACAGCCGAACGGCGTTCCAAATCCCTGGGGATGACCGAATCCGAATTTCGCTCGACACCAACCTCGCCCTAATTCGAGAGGATGCGCTGGACGTGGAACGGCCATGCCGCGATCCCTCTGACTGGCATCGCCGGGATATAGACGACGTTGGCATGGAATATCCATTCAGTTCCATCAACAAGGGAGAAATCGTTCGTTTCCCCCATGCTCTGCTGGAGATCAAGTTAAGACATGGAGCACGCAATGTGGAGTGGTTGAGAGACCTCATGGTGTCCCATCTTGTGAAAGAAGCGCCGAGATTTTCGAAGTTTGTGCACGGTGTTGCCCAGCTCTTTGAGGACAACATCAACACGTTCCCGTTCTGGTTGGGTGAACTGGAGAATGACATCCGCCGCGACCCCGAAACCGCTTTTCAAGAAGAGCAGGAGCGGTTGGCGAAGCAGGCGGAGGAGCAGATGATGGTTGGCAGCTTCTTAGGAGGATCTCGGCCGAGCCCTCGACAAACCATGGTGGGATCACCGATTTTGCCGCTGCGAAGCGGCGGTTCTCCAGCACTGTCAGCGGCAGCCGGTCCCTCGACAGTGGCACCGGCCGCGAGGGAGCATCCAGCTCACGCTGAACGAGAGTCTCGGGAACACGCTCCTGAGGCCGAGGCAGCCGCCAGCACGTCTGGGGGGTCTCGTTTCGGCGGATTGATCCCGTCGTTTTCGATGTCCCGCTATGCTCGCGCTCACCGACAGCGGGTCGAACTGCCGCCCGGGGTGAAGCCTCCCAGCGTGTGGATCAAAGACGCAGGGCCGGTGCGGGTGGAATCCAAGGTGTGGCTGGCCAACCAGCGCACGTTTATCAAGTGGCAGCATGTCAGCATCTTGCTCGCGTCTCTGTCGTTGGCCCTTTACAATGCGGCAGGGGTTGAGAACAATATCTCCCAGTCGCTGGCCATTGTCTATACAGGATTCGCAGTGTTCGCGTCAGTGTGGGGTTGGTACATGTACGAGACTCGGTCGCGACTGATCCGGCAGCGGAGCGGGAAGGATCTCGACAATCTGTTCGGACCGATCGTGGTGTGCGTGGGGCTGGCGGCGGCGCTCGTTCTGAACTTTGGCTTCAAGGTGAGATGTCAACGGCCATTCTTGCATTCTAGGACGCGCTGACACAAGCGTCAACAGTACCAAGCGGCACTCCGCGAAGCACGTGGAGATGATAACGTTCCTGCATCATCACCGGCATATTCGAACGCGTCGGAAGAATCAGTGTGGGGGCTGATCAAGCAGGGTGCGCAGTAGGAGCTGTGCTCGCTTCTCCTTTTTCCGTGGCTTGTCTATCATGTTTGGTTTTATTCGGTTTATGGGGATGGAGCGCTGATTATATCAGATTTTGTATACCGTACCGTAATGGAAGGGAATTCTCGGTCCAGACTGTATTGGTAGGATAGAGCGTTATGTCCAGGCTGTCTGCTGTTAGACAGGTATAATTATTGAATCGTTGTTGATTATTCTGGAGTTGTTTATGTCCTACAACCATGACTTTTATCGTCGTTCCGGACCAGACAGGGGATCGGTGTACCAATTGGAATTCTTTGCAAGAAATCTTGAAACAAAACCCCCCTTTGACCCCTGTCAATCCCAAATTGCGTGATCGATATGAAGTATACTAAGTACAATCTTAGTGGACACTATTATTATCCTGCCACTCGTACAGCCGTCAGCACCTTATAGGGTAACGAATCGCCAAGCCGGTGACAGTCAGCTAGGAAGAGATACGCAATTCGGTTGCAACAGGTCAGCCACCCGGAGAATATGAGATGAATTGCTAGATCATCTCGGATAGCTGGGAAAGGCAGCTTTGCAACGTTTCTGGTACTAAGTACTCCGTAGAGACTCCGTCTGACAGCGTCAGGATTCAGTGCATGCATAATACACGCGGCATTCTGAAACACCGTCAGACAGGCCGGATTGAATTGCATCCGGCGTGATTGGACCAAAGCCGAACGCTCCACCACGATGTCTTCGCAGGGCGAAGCGAAGCGCGCTAGCTCGAGCTCCCACCTCGAAGGCTGGGGATGGACCGCACGCTTGCTTTTTGGGGATATGATTCACGGCTCCAGATGCAACCGGGCGACCAGCGGGTGTCCCAGCCGTGCGCCCAGCCAGCTTTCTTCACTTCCAAGGGCAAGATTGTTGCCGATCGCTGCCATCTGGCCAGGTAGGGTCCGTAGGGATCGGGCAATCTGTGTGACACGCAGCACGCTGATCAGATCCTCAGGCCGATGAGCTTGTTCGAGCCCTCCGATCTCCTCGTTTCGGCACTCGCCCAACAGTCTGGATCGCTGGCCTGCATGGGGCCAAATTTAGTCTGATTCTGCTCCGTTGCACCTCGAAAACAACAATGCAACCTGTGCCGACAGGAATCTATTATTATTATCATCAGGCGATGCAGACACAGACGTTGGATCCCTCAGCTAATGCTATCTATGCACGCTGCATGTCAGCTGCTCCAACATCTGGCACATAAGCGAGCCTAGCGAGGTCCAGGTTGGGGTCCTGACTGAGCTCGCTGACTGCTGTGGAGTAAACCTTGGAACGGACAAGCTTTGTTCCGCCACAAAGACGGTACATGTAACCTTTGAACGGCACTTCACAATCCTTCCCGCTCGATCAGGCCCTGTATAGAGCTTATTCACCGCCAGTCGGGGCAGAAACTCGTGGGAGGTGATGGCGGACAGAGCTCGCATTGTCCGTCTCTGCACAGACGTTGGCACGGGCCGGCACGTGCCATCATCACCTGCGGACACTCGGACGCCTTTCTCCAGCCGACCGCCTTGGCCACACACTAACCTGCACTAACAACAACACGCGCGCCATTAGCCGTGATGCCAATTCTGATGACTAACGGTGAGCTGTTCGATGAGCTTGCCGAGTGCTGCTATAATGACTGACATTGTGCAGGGCAGCTATTATCATGATCACGTCAGTCCCGGTCATCCAGCACGGACTATCCTGGGTATCCCTCCATCCTGCGGAGGACAATCGCATCTCGAGTCGGACGCTGTTTCTCTTGAAGAAGTGACGAATAGCATCCTCGGTATACCGCCGGGTCAGCCACATCCGGCCTGGCTGCAGGATATATAACCTTAGGTACAGAGTCTGGAGTACACCGTGCGGTCGACCTGGGCCGCCCCCACTGTACACGGCTCAATGCTGCTAAGATAGCCAGTTGCATCAGGGTCCCGGTGGGCTGTGGATCCTTGCTGAGCCCTAACCTTGCTGTCAACGGAATAATAGAGTGTGCAGAGTATACTAGGCTGCCGCACCAACCGTCTCCCACTCGTCATCTGTGGTTCGTGTGAACAGACCAAGATTTATCTTGGGGGCGGATTATAGGCTCTACGGCGAACCTTGTTGTTAGCATATTTTGGACCCCGATGCTGGGCACGACTCGAGCCACAAGCAAAATGGCGAGACCGCCAGCACAGATAGAAAGATTATCTGCATGCTGGAAGACTGTCGTTATTACCCTTGCAGCCTGCCTCAGCCTTATGGTTTGGGCATGCTTTCTTCTCGCCCATCCACTCATGCCTTGATCAATTCACACAGAGAGGTCGTCTGCAGGAGACATGAACGGCCGAGCGCAGGCCCCAGTGGCCGTTATGTGGACCTTTATAGCCCTCAGCACAGCCTTTGTGGGCGCCCGACTGTTTACGAGGCTGCAGTTGCTGAACACGATCGGGCTGGATGATTATATCATGGCATTTTCACTGGTAATTCTCCAGACGTCCGCCCCAAGATTTTGATATGTAGTTGCGATTCGAGCTAACAGTGTGCCCAGGTCATTGGTATTGTCTTCACAAGCCTTGTCACTGCCTCTGCGGCTGCAGGAACTGGCGAGCATGCCTCCGACCTGACGACCGAGCAGCTCTCGCGAGCGCTGCTGTTCAGCGCGGCGTCCTTTCCGCCCGCGCTTCTGTCGTTTACGGTGCCCAAGCTTGGTGTGGTGGCTCTCTTGACGCGAGTCATGAATCCGGGGCCTCGAATGAAAGCATTTCTATGGATATTTGTGGGGGGCAGCACTATCTTCATTTTTGGTTGTGTGATCATCATGTTCGCTCAGTGCCGACCCACGAGGGCGCTGTGGACGCCCACGCTCACCGGGGCGACGTGTTGGAGCCCGGCAGTGCTAGAAGATTATTCTTTCGCTAGTGGTGGTATGTGCAGCCGATGGAAACAGCATGGGGTTCGGAAGATTGACGTGACTAGCGCTATCGGCATTTGTCGATCTGTTTCTCGCTGTGTATCCGGCGACGGTAGTATGGAGGCTGAATATGAGTCTCAGGAAGAAGATTGGCCTGACGTTTACGTTGGGCCTGGGCGTCTTGTAAGCATCTCGACTGGGCGAGTGTGGGCATTTCCACTGACCAGCACAGCGCCTGCGCAGTGTCTATCTACAAGTCGACCCGTCTGACGGGGCTGGCTGATAGGAACGATTTCACCTGTATGTGCGATCATTTAAACTTCGAATGGCTGAGACTGGACTGACGATGCACACAGACAGCACGGTGGACGTATTTCTATGGACGAAGTAAGTGTGATGACCGATGTCGGTATATATATTCTGCAAGGTTTACTGACTTGATCCAGTATCGAAGCCAACACCATCATCATCGCCGCCTGCGTGCCGACGATGACGCCGCTGATCGAGCTGATCTTGGGGAGGAAGATTTTCAGCACTCGGTCAGCCCGGCAAAGTTCTGCATATGTGCAAAGCTCGAGCCTGGTGAAGGGCAAGAGTGGCAGTCAGCCAGGGAGCCGGGGCCACCGGAGCCGTGGCAGCAACCAGTGGGCATCGATGGCGACGGTCCAGATCGAAAACGGCATCGCGGGGGATGATCTCGAGAGCCAGAAGAGCATTCTGGGCAGAAGGGAGGACGACATCCCGCTGGACCGGATCGCGCGGACAGACCATGTCATTATCGAGTATGAGGCAGCGGACGATCGACCTCCACAAGCGTGGATACCGTCGCGAGGGAAGGAATAAGTATATACGTACAGTACCTATAACGGAGTACATAATGCATAATAAAAAGGATGATACCCTTGTTGAGTTTGTATCGAGTGAAACGAACGATGGAGCTGGATCTCATCTGTCTATGTATGTACTGTACCAAGGTGTCTGTCTATCTTTTCGACTACAGTGCATGTCGACAATACAGATATCCTCCCTATCTTACGAACAGGATATATTTTATTCCGTACTGTACGTACAGTCCCGTGCATGCAGCATAGCCATGCAGACTCGGAAATGCTTCAATCGCCCTGTTAATTGTAAGGTAGATCCCTTCTATCAGATATTGGCTAGACCCTTGATCCATGTACTGTCTGTCCAATACATGCATGCGTACATGCAGGTAAGACCATTTGAGTCCAATCATCATGCCCCAGTAGGTGCTAAGTATGTATGTACTGTGCACAGATGTATCTAATATCTAATAATTACATGCTTATAGCAACCTCATGGCACGCTCTTCTAGGAACTTTGGTGCAGCAGTACTGATACAATGATAATAAATTGCAGAGACTGAGCACAATTGACTGACTAATCGACTAGGCGCTAATATTCTACCTATTTTTCTTTTTCGTTTTCTCTTTCTTTTTGAAGATTGGTAATTCGGAATTCCCCCTTCCCAAATTCGAAGTTCGTCTGGGTAGAGGGGTGTATTACAATAAAGTACAGTACAGTACAATACAATACGTTACATATGTCCAAGGGGATGATGGCTGATGCATCCTAGCAACGCGGTCAACTTAGCTGTTATTAAATAAAAATAAAGACTGTATTTCTTTTGTTTTTATTTTCTTTCTTTTCTCTTCTTCTTTCTTTTAAGTGGTTAATAAAGACATGCTTTATCATGAGAAATTACTTCGTAGCTTGGGGATTGACTACCTTGCCAGTTTTGCGGGGTACTAGATGATGATTGGTCTAGCTTATCAGTCGCGTGGCTTTCTGCAGCTTATCGGGTCTTAATACTCCGTATTTAACGTTTGAGCTTCGCAGAACCCCGCGTCGGCACCTTTGTCCCTGTCTCTGGCAATCGGTAGAATCCAATCAAATGCGCAGTTCAGATGAGGAAGCAGCCAGAGACTCGCAGAAGGACCGGCTGCGTCCAGTGCAAAGGTGAGAGAAACAGTTGATAGAGTCGCTGTGAGGGAGGTTGCTTTGCTCACGTGGATGGACTGTTCTCCAGAGAAAAATGTGCAGTGTACCGAGGAGAGGCCACGATGCCGGCGCTGTGTGAGACTGGGTCTGGAATGTGTGCGTGGGCTGAAACTCCTGTTCCGAGAGGATGCGGTGCAGCGAGGAATCCATTTCGGCCGTGAAGGTACGTACTGTACATAACGTACTTCGTATTAGTAATGAATCCCCTCAATAACGCTCATTATCAGGCACCGGGTCGAGACCATGCAAGAAGAAACGGAAGTTGCCCCAGGTCTTTCCAGGGCTGCCGTTGGACCAATATAGAGGCAGGTGGTTTTTCCTGAATACCATGTACAGCGACTTTTCAGAAGATAGGCGCGTTGAGCAGAGGAATCCTCTGGTCCTGCGTCGTCTGGCGGAGAGTTTGACCGACCAGGCAATAATAAACCAGTGTCTTTCGACGTCCATCGGTCGCTCATTATTGCGTTCTTCCAACCCCGACATTGAGAGCAATCTGCTCAGCTACTTTGTCGAGAGGATCGGTCCTAGCTGCTCGCTGAGTTCGTCGCATAACCCATACCTACGATTTCTTATCCCCATGTGCTTCCTTTACCCGACGCTGAAAGATGCCTTGCTCGCGGTGGCGGCCAACCAACTTCGGCTTCTGGGAGATATGAGGTTCGAGAAGGAAGCGGTCCTCTTCAAGGACAGAGCGCTGCAGGGGTTGCAACGTCTCATTGCGGGAAGGCAACTTTGACCATGGGACAATTGCTACGGTGCTGATGCTTTGCTTCTACGATGTATGTATTGTACTTGCCCGGCTTGTGTGGTTCTCCACTGATAATATGATCCTGACAGATTTCTTACGACTGCAGTGCTTCGTGGATCTCACATCTTCGCAGCGGACTACGACTGATTGACTTGATCCCATCCGATACCGTTGAGAGTGAATCGTTATATTTCGTCGCTCATGACATCATGAGTCGAACGGCGTCGGAGGATTCGGGGGACGACGAGCCGGTGCGCAGTTGGCTGAGGACCGACAACTTGGAAGAGGTTTGCGGCTCTCACATTGCGTTCCAAAGTTGACGATACTGACAGTGTTGTCCATCAGATAGATACGATCATGGGTTGCTCACGCGAGCTCATGACTCTGATCAGCAGAATATCTGCCCTAGCATCGGAAAGAGCGAAAGTAGGGTAACATGACCAGATACGTGATGACACAGAACTGATTTGCAATCCTGATCCAGATTTTGAAACGGCGTCCTCTCACATCTGCGGAAATGTCGTATTTTACGGCTGCTTACGATGGAATTGAGTTGTCCTTGCGCAACTTGAGACAGACTCTGCCATCCCATTCGGCAAACAGAAAAGATCTCATTCGGATTGCGGAGATCAAACGTCTTACCGCGTTGCTGTATCTTCGAGAACGGATCGGAAGCCCTCTTTCCCCGGACAATTCTGGCATAGACGACGCTGTAGCAGTGGCTACCAATTTGAGAACCCCATATAAGCGGCATCTGGTCTCGTCGATTATACACTTGATCTCTACCGTTCCGGTTTCGGCGACTCTTCTGTGGCCACTCTTCATCGTGGGGAATGCCGGGCTGGACGACGAAGAGCACCGACGCTTTGTGCTGGACAAGTTGGAGATGATCCAGCAAACACGCAATCTGGGAAGTGTACGGCGTGCCAGAATCGCGGTTGAACAGGCTTTTCGGGCCCATGATCTCGGCCATCGTGGCAAGGCCTGGGGTGATGATGACGTCGCATATATCAGTTTGGCATAACGTTCTGCATATCCTCAACGAGGATTTGCAGATGTCTACATGCTTTGGCATGATCAAAAGGTAAATTCTTAATCGAGCGCAAGTCTCGCGGTGTCCTGTCTGGCGTTCTCGAGAATCTCCTGGAAGGCACACGATTTTTCTAATTAAAGGATCCAGTTCTTGACACGTATCCTACATGTTGGAAGTCATCCTGCCGAGAGTAGCAATATTCTGCACGTCACCCACACGCCAAGAGATATCTTTGTCCCAGCCTGACGTCGCAGTCTCTTTCCATTTCCACCGCTCTATTCTCTGCTCACCCTCCTCGAGGACTTTCATCACCCATTTCCCCGCGATGGGCAGCATCTTGAACGCGTGCCCACTGTCTCCGGACGCTACTATCAAACCCGCTTTCCTGTCCTTTCCGCCCGTGTTTGGGACATAATCTATGATATAATCGGAATCCGCAGTGTCGGCACACCAGCAGATGAACGGCTTCACCAGCGGCCGTTGCGCCAGGTGGGGAAAAGTCTCGTTGAGAAGACGGCGGATGAGAAGTTCGTCAGCGGCCGGAATGCCATCGTTCGACTCCGTCGGAAGAGAGACTGTGCTGTCTGCGCTCTTGAGATTAACGTAACCAGCGCCATTTGCCACGATTTTAAGCAGTCCGGTGTCGGCGTCGGGCTCGAATAAAAAACCCAATATCTCGGCAGTTGATGACGGGGATGTTTGCCAATTCACGGGCCTCGGCCGGCGAGAGCTGAATGTGTCCAACGGCCCAGGCTTTCGCAGTTAGCTGAGCAGCCGCGCTTGGAAGCAAGGAGACTGTATGGGCGCCCAAGCACAAGATTGTGGTATCAGCGCGATGCGTCGAGCGTGCCGTCTTGACGCCGACGAATCGTTGCGTGGAGGGTTCAAACTCCAGCTCGGTTGCGTGTCCGTCCTCGCCGAGGATGAATCTGACCCCGAGTCGGACGCACTCGTCGTATGCGGCCTTCATCGCCTTGCTGGCTCGGACATAGCCAGCTTTGCGGTTTAGAGATCCTTGCCAGCCTGTCACCGGACCGGGATCGCTTGGACGTGTTTCCTCAGATCTGCAGGGGAAGTAACGGGAAGAATGGCATCTGCATTGGTGTGTTGTATCGAGGCGAGGGCTTTCTGCAGAGTCGTTTTCGCCTTTGCGGGGGCTTCTGGACTGACGACGACTGCGTAGCCGGTCTCGCGGTAGTAAGGGGCCCAGAAGGGAGTAGACCAGGCGTCCATAGCTTCCTGTGAGGATAAGCAAGAACTGGCAGCAGAACATGGCATGGCAAGATGACAAACGCCCACTCACCCGTGCAATGTTCGCGTACCACTCATCCTCATACTCGGTGCGCATAATCTTATTCAGATCGTTCCCGGCAGAGTAAGGGGAGGGGCTGGAATCGGCGCGATCCAGCACAGTGACATTCGTGTACCCAGCGCCTGCGAGATGGAGGGCCGTCGAGAGGCCGAAAGTGCCCGCGCCGACGATAAGAGTCGACTGTTCTTTGGGCGCAGGTGGTGGCATTGATGTCGGTTAATAATAATAATCCGGGAGTAAATAAATAAATAAATAATAACAGACAGTGTAGATTGTTTTGTTAGTATCTGCCGAGTACCATAAATATATCCAATCTTGCAAATGTGTGCCCATACCAGTAGCTCTTATGATTACAATATATACTCTAACTACGTATATGCATGTTGTGAAGTACAGTTAGTTGTGTGCTCGGTCGGATCGATCATACGAGGGACTGACTGACGCCAAAACGATTTTGATTTGTCGGGTCTCGTATCGACTTACCTACTACCTACCTAGGTACCTAATCTAATACACTAGTTTCATGACAGCAGCAAGACGTAGTGATAGTAAATAATGCCAATGTTAAGTAAGGTACTAGGTAAGTCTCACATCCCTGTCTATACTTTCTCGAATCGAAGACTGCCAGGCACATGTACTGTAGTGTATGTACTGTACATGTACGAATTAAGGAAACTTAGGGAGTAAGCTTCTGTAGAACCACGGTCCAGATATTGCAGGGAAGGTCCAGGCGAGAGCTGGAGGGAGGACTGGAGGCCTCAAACTAATTAGGTACCTAGACAAAAAGGGCGAATTCGGCTAATCAACCACTCACTGGTGCATGTTTTACTGCATTTGGGTCAGAATGATAATACTGTCCATAATTAGACTCCATACGTGGATAGATTGATGGATGGATGCATGTTGGCTAATATATTATATGACTTATATTGCATTTCACAGTGATAGCATCTATGTAAGCCTGTTATTTTGCTCTTCTCTCTCTTTTTCTTTTTTTCTTTTTGGTTTGACGTCCGGAAAATTTGATTATTTCCGATCTGTATATGACAATACATTACAATACGTACCGTTGTTTTTAAACGCAAGCCAAAAAACTAAAAAACCCTAACTATGGACCTAAATCAATAATGCTCAAGTTAATTGCCGTCGTATCGACCATCCTCTCCGGGACAATCTAAATTCTAATCTTCCTCGTTAGTGTCATCCAATTATGTACTCCGTATCTTCAGCTTAGCTAGCCGTTAGTAGTTAAATGCTGCTAGCCTATTTCTCCGCAAAATACATGTAGACAAGCTGCTGAGCAGGTGGGTCATGATAGTCGTTGGGGTACGTAAGTTAATGCTATCTTTACCTTACTAGTCATCAACTTCAAACTGGCTCTCCGCTGTCTTCTTGACGGAGAGATAAGCATGCAACGGCGCCGCCGCCTGCGGAGAGATACGCAAGATGGATGCTCAGGCTGATGATCGAGGGAGATGGTTTATTATTCCGACAGATAGCGAGGGACGCGGTGGCCGACGCTTGCTCCGATATAAGAGACTCCTGGATCCAGATCCATGAATCCACTCTGCCAGCTACCAGCTTGCTGCTTTGCTTTCAGACTGAATAATTTATAACACCACGCAATATGGCGGATCAGAAACAGCCTCCTCCTCCCGACGCAACACCCCCCTTGACCGAACAGAAAATACCACTCAGCCATGGAATGGATCAAGCTGCCGAGTATCTGGCCCAGTCGACAGGCTATGCGGCCCTGTCGCCAGAGGCTGAGCGCAGAATGTTGCGGAAGATGGATTGGATTCTCATCCCCATGGTCAGTCGTTTATGTCCTTTCGAAACGGATCGATCCATTCAGCTGACGGCCGCAGCTGTTTCTCACCGCGACTCTCGGTGCTGTTGACAAGGTTGCAATCAGCACCGCTGCCATTTACGGACTGAGAGAGGGTATGATATGATATGCACCAGTCAAGTGCATGAACTCACCGTCTACAGACCTCCATATGGTTGGCCAACAGTACTCCTGGGCGGGATCGATCCTGTCGTTCGGTGTAGGTAGATTACCTTCTTCCCAGGCTTCCCGCTGACTCTGTCTAGGCGATTGTCGGCATGTGGCCTTCCTCCTACCTGGTCCAACGACTGCCGTCCGCCAAATATCTCTGCAGCTGCTCCATCGGCTGGTCGGCCATGGCCCTGCTCATCCCGGCATGCCGGAACTGGGGTGGACTGATGGCTCTCCGATTTTTCATGGGTATGCAGGCCCTCTTTAGTTGGCAATCTCACAAAGCGATTGTAGAATATGTAATCGCCAGCTGGTATGATATAACCCGTCCGATAATATGCTATACAGATAACATTCATAGAAGGTCTCCATGCATATAGTGTAGAGCAGATAGGAATCAATCTGAGGACAGCGCATAGGAGTCACATCATGAATAGCCTCTGCGTGGCGATGCTATGAGCTGGAATAACATCGCATCATATGTTATATGTTGAAGTCATCAGAAGGGATAATCCTTAATTTCACAAATTCATATCTGTATCTATATCTAGGTCTATTTAATAATAAGAATCATGACCATTGAATAAATGTAGTAGGAGTCGATATAGACGAGACCCCCCCCACCCCCCCCCTTTTTTTTTTTTGCTTCTTGTATACACATACCAATCGAACAAATGTTCTTGATCCATTTGCGTGGATGCACATACATACGCTTAGTATTAGAATAGCATGTGTTCATACACGCAGTTATCTCACAGATCTTGATCCTAACTAAGCACTACGTACTGTAGATGTACGAACATACTTTCTTCACACTAAGAATGACCATCTGTAGGAAAATATAGCACTATCCCTGCTAATTACCTTAATAGCAGAGACCTAGAACTACATACTCTGAATAGGCTTGATATAAGGGATCACAGGTTCTGATCCATTCATCCATTGACCTTGCTAAACACTAATCTAGAATCCTGTCTTGATTATCAAAGCTATGATATGTAGTCTTCTTATTGAGAGCAGACATACATTGTACAGTACATACATGACTAATCCTAGGGCTATTGTGGGACAGGTACCGTACCGTACTGTACTGTACCAAATTCTGAGCTCATACACATTTCATGCCAAGTTCGCGATTCTGCAAATTTAATGAATTAATCAATTAATTAATCCAATTAATCTAATTAATAGTTTCCAACCCTACATAAAAGAAAAATCTTCAATTGAAGCAAGCTTTCTTTAATTTCCGGGGATGGACAAACGAGATCGAGCGGGCAGGACCCCGCACAGTTCATGAACAAATTCATCATTTTATCTCAGGATTGCTGCAGATTAGATAATACCTGGTAGATAACTAACTAGTTAGTTAACTACCTAACTAGTACGTAGGTAGATTAGATAATGCGCTATTATTAGCGGATCGGATCGGATCGAACGGCGACATGCTTAGAAATAAGAAATCCATATTTCCCATACAGTATGGCAGTTGGAGGAGGGATGGATGGATTATTAAGAAGATGCGGGGAACATAGCCATTTCCATCCCACCTCTATCCCACCTTCTTCCCTCTTTCTTATTCTGATGGACTAATTAATAGAGGATTCATTCATTCAACTTTTAAACAATTAATGAGTTAATTGATTAAATTAATTGACGGACTGACTAGCTACTACCCAAGAGCTAGCTTTATTATCTGCCGCCATGACCAAGTACACCATCGACATTGTCTCAGATACGGTTTGTCCGGTAAGCAAGCAGATACCACCTCCATTCACCCATCTGTCTATCTACCTAGCACATCTATCTACACCGTCCTGACGTACTCGTACTTCATACTAATGACATCAACCAGTGGTGCTACATCGGCTACCGCCGCCTCACCAAAGCCATCACACTCCACCGCCAACAGCACCCCAACGACACTTTCACCCTGTCCTGGCACGCATACTACCTTAACCCGAACGGACCTACATACCCCGGCGTGGACAAGCGGGCGCACTACGAGCAGAAATTCGGCGGAGCGGGGCGCGTGGACGCCATCTTTGCGCGTCTCGCGGCCGCGGGGGCACAGGAGGGGATCCAGTTCAAGTTTGGCGGGAAGACGGGCCGCACGCGCGACTCGCATCGTCTGATCTACCTCTCTGGGAAAAAGTATGGTGCGGAGGTACAGACGAAAGTCGTGCTGGAGCTGTTCCGCGCGTATTTTGAGGAGGAGCGGAATATCACGGATAAGGCGGTGCTGCTGAAAGCTGCTGTGGGGACTGGGAGTATCCCGCAGAGCGAGGCACAGGCTTGGCTGGATAGTGACGAGGGTGGTCCAGAGGTCGATCAGGAGGCGAGAGAGGCGTCTCAAGTCAAGTTTGTCACTGGCGTGCCGCATTATACGATCAATGGAAAGTATGTTGTCGAGGGGGCGGAGGAGCCGGATGTTTTTGTTGATATGTTTGAGCGGGCGAAGGAGGAGGAGAAGACTGCGTAGTAGCAGCAGTATATAGTACGGAGTATATAGTATATAGCACAGCGTACAGAGTATACAGTAGGAGCAGACAGTATATACAAAGTATGTATGTATGTACATACACTACTGCACTGTAGGTATATAGGTATATATGAGTTGGTGTTAGCAGAGCTGGAATTGTTAGTTTATACCGTGTGATATAATTAATTAATGACTGAATTAAATGCATTGATCTAGCAGGTTGACATCAGCATCATTAATTCACTGCAAGTTCTGTCTGATTGATTGACTGCAATAGCACGACGCGTGTATTCATGGACACAACTACATTTCTGTGACATTACGCAATGTTGTAATCTGTATATTATATCGTCCAGCAGAATTAGGGTCAGGTCAAGGTTCATGATAGCAAGGTCTCTTTATTATTATTATTCTAGGTCATGTCAAGATCGTACACAGCATACAGCATACACCATAGAATACAGTACATACGCTCATGCTCTGCTGTCTGCTGTCTGTCTATAATTGATATCACAAATACCACCGATACAAATACAGCACATTAAACTAACACAGAACATAGTAGCAAACTGCAAACTCTGTCAAGTAAGTAGACAAGAGACAAGAGACAAGTAAACAAGTAAAATAAAGTAGAATGCATTGTATGGAAACGACTCTGCTAGCAAGTAAACTCCACTCCATTCAAGTCAATCAGTCAGATAAAAACATAAACATAGACAGTGTTCAGACGAAAGAAACCACAACGCCAGCCGGAACCATGTTGGTAATACAAAGATGCGCTTCTCTGAGTATATTAAATAAACGAAAAAAAAAAAAAAGCAAGCTGCCGCCCATCAACGCCGGGTGCTTCACGCACGATGCATGGAGAATGGCAGAGGAAATGACGCTGAAGGGGAGGCGATAGGCAGGGTATTACTGTACAGAAATGAAAAGTGTTGAAACAGCCAGAGACAGCTGAGACAGCCGTTCTGGGAGTAGGATGCGCCTCGGTAGGAGATGATTTCGAGCGAAGCGAGGACCCGAAAAAAAAAGGCAGCTACTGCAGCGGACTGGCTTGGTGCAGCTTAAAGTCGGGCAGATAGTCGAACCAGTCCGTGTCCGGGTTGTAGCGGTACACCTTGAAGTCGACGCCGTAGGGCTTGGGCTCGAGCATGTACAGCACGCCCAGCGGCACGTCCAGGCCGGCGACCTGGTCGCGGTCCAGGCCCAGGAAGTACGCCAGCAGCACGCGCGCGACCGACCGGTGGCCGACCAGCAGCACATGGTCCGTCATGCGCTCGACCTCGATGATCACGGCCCGCAGCCGGTTGATCACGTCCAGATAGCCCTCGCCGCCGGGCCCCGGGTAGCGGTACTGCAGCTTCTCGCGCTTGCGGTGCTCGTACTCCTCGGGGAACTTCTCCTTGATCTCGTCGTAGGTCATGCCCTCCATGCGCCCGGCGTACAGCTCGTCCAGCATGCGCATCTGCTTGATGTCGTAGTCGTCCTCGTTGAAGTACTGCGTCGTCTGGATGGCGCGCACCATCATCGACGACCACACGCAGAAGTTGCGCGGCCGGTCGCGCGGCCCGTACGCCGGGTTCGGCGGCGTGCTGTCGCCCGGATGCGGCGGGAAATGGCTCATCTCCTTCTGCTTCTGGTGCGCCTCCCACCGCTTCCGCTGGTCGTCGATGAAGCGCGCCAGCGCCTTGGCGTAGCGGTGGCCGTTCTCGCTCAGCTCCGAGTCGCCGCCGATGCGGCCCAGCTGGTTGTCGATGCTCTCGCCGTGCCGCGTGATCCAGATCTGCCGCGGCGACAGGTTGAAGTTGAGCAGGTAGTAGACCACCTGCGACGAGAGGAAGCCGTTGGTCTGGTGGGCGACCACCTTGCGCCCGACGTCGATCATCTGCACGTAGGGCATGTTGTGCTGTTCCTCGTACTCGCCCAGCGGCACGTACGACTTCTCGTAGAGCGCCACCCGCTTCTTGAAGTCCTCCAGCGCCTTGACCGGGTCCTGGTCCTTGTAGTCGGGGCCCGACAGCTTGAGCCGCATATTCGACTCGAGCAGCACCGGGTCGACGCAGCGACTCTCGAGGAACAACACGCCCAGTTCGGGGCCCGCCCGCTTCCGGATGTGGTCCATGATCGCCTTGCGCCGCTCCAGCGTGCTGTTGGTCGCGTCCAGGATGCCCACGCTGCCGCCCTGTTCCAGGATGTAGTCGAGCAGCTCGTCGAGCGTCTCCAGCGCGACCCGCTCCCGCAGCTGCACGGCGCGCTTGTTGTCGGGGTCGAAGAAGTCGGCGGACTGGTCCATGACTT